AAGTCAAAAAGATCTGTTTCGGAGTCCACCATGAGTAGAACTACAGGCCAGTTCGAGTTACCTATGAGAGTGTCTTCCCTGCCCAGGGATACAGAGGCTTCCTTTACACAAGGCACTGGGACAAGCAAGAAGGTGTATGGTACAGCTGGTAATCAGATGGATTACATCGTGACAAAAAGTGATAATGACAGCAACGTGTATACGTTTCCCAGATCAGAAACGTCCTACTATACGTAAGTAAAGCTTTATGGAAGCTTAATATTGATTCTGTCTCTCTTTCATGTAGAGAATATATCTGAAATTCACACTGTATTTTTATATCAATTCAGTGCTGATACAATTTATTAATTTTGAAAATAAAGAAGACATAAATTCCAAAAGGTACGTATCCTACCGTCTATATTTCCAGAAGCACCAGCAGTCTTCTTGATCGAACTGTGAGAAGCAAAAGTTGTCACTTTGGAGTATGTGCAAAAATTACACTAGGCTTCATTGTGCTGATGTTGATTATATGGGGTATATTGGTGCCTTTATATTTCACAGGTAAATTTGACAGGTAAAGTATTGAGGATGACGTTTTCATGCGTTTGCTATACATGACTGATTCTGCATCTCCAATTTGCCAAAAACACTAAAGAGTAATACTTAGCTCAGTTAGTTTACAAAGAAAAGCATTATTTGCTTAGATTAAAAAAATATTTCATGGCTGTTATTATCATTTTACACATATCTTGAAATTTTCTAACATTTGATAACATTTTCTACCCTTCAGATTTTACTGACAGTAATTTTAGCCAGCCACACAGATACGGCACAGTCTTTAAAGATGTTTTTTGTCTTTGGGTGATCCATATGATGTCGTTTTTTATCCCAATAATTGGAGGTCAAGAAGAATTTCATCAGCTGTGTTATGTTATAAGAATAAAGTGTAAAAATTTCTTCAACCAACAGCTAATATTGAAATCCAATATTTTGATGTTTATCTAGAGCATCTTCAACAGCTGAAGTGATTGAAGAAAAATTCTACTTTATTCAATACGCGGCTGGTTTTTAATCTTTTTAGAAACCTCTATAATACAATAGTTCTTGATTGCTTCAGGAAACCTTCCAATGGGAAGCGACAGTGAGGAAGAAGTAGCAGCCGTGGTTAATTCTCCCCAGGAACTTCACGCGGAAAAGAATGTATACTCGGTGGCAGATCGTGTCCTTAAGCCAGAATCAAACGCCACAGGTGAGCAAACATTGGTTGCAAGTTTCAATGTAATTTAAGAGCCCAAGAGCCAATAAGAGCCCAACCTTTTAACATTTTTTTACTATTTTTCAGTAAAAAAGACATTCGCTCTACGCATGTTATATATGACATTCATTTTTGTTTTTTTTTTCTATTTTTTTGTTTACGCCTATTTTCTTTAAATATGTGCGTAACTCTACTTTTATTAAATTGTCGGCCAAACGCCAACATTTTAATGAATTTTAAAAAGTCAATCATGAATATTTACATAAATTAATGAAACGTTATGTTGACTTTTCAGTTTTGAATGCAGCGTCTGGGAGTTTCAGGATCATGAATTTAAAGTATGCCCTGGAGCTGGAGAGCCCACTTTCTAAGAAATATCAGATGCTGAAAGAGAAGTTGGAACAATTGGTGAGTAGGGCGACAAATCTTGGAATTCCAGGAACCAAACATCCATGTTGATAGTTTCATATTTAAATTGAACATTTAAACATTAATTGAACTAGTATAACTTTAAATAGCACATGTATGACGTTTGTATTTTAACCAACAATTTCATAAAAAATTTATTTTCTGAAAAATATGCCTACAGTGTATAAGATTACCACATCGTTATTTTTTCAGTTAGAAATTGTTTTCCATCACAGTTTTCTCACAGCTAGTTTCGACAAAGTAGTGATCAATGATTTCAGGTAGGATACGATCTCTCTCTCTCTCTCTCTCTCTCTCTCTCTCTCCGGCCCCCCTATCAGTATTTACTGCCACTTTATTCGACCGAATGAAAAATAGTAAAAAATAAACATATATCCTAATGATACTATTTCTGAATACAGTGCTTTTTCATTTTACATGTATACTACTTTGTTATCATGCTATCGCTGGTCTATTTGTAGTTTAATGCCATTTCATTTCTATTCATGCGTTTCTATATGTTACTACATTACTCCGCTAATATTGCTGGAAGGTTTTTTTTTTCGATGAACAAAGTGTCTCTGCTTTTTCAGTTGCGATGTTTTGTACATTATTTTTCACTTCTAGTCCTGACGAGACCGCTATGATACAAGTCCAATTCATTGTCACATTCAAGACTGACATGGGACTGCACGTCACCGATTTAACCACCGAAATACTGCAAAGATATCTGATCACATTTCAGTCCAAGCTGGGACCGTTTACTGTGTCTTCCAAAACCGTCAGCTTTGACTGTAAGTTATTTGTGATTGATTATATGTTCAAACGACTCCTGCATAATAACAACAGATGTTACCGTCTTTGATTCATTGGTTAAAGATGCATATTAAACGAGTACTTATGTCAAATTATTGCCGCTAAACCTGGCCCAATGCCACCATACAGTTGCTAATGGGTTAACTTAAAGATTTCACTGTTCCGTTACATTATAAATGAATTTTGCAGGTGGATGTTAATCTATTTCAGTTGAGAACAAAACTGGTAGATCTGCTTATTTATTTACAGCGTTTTTACTCTCGACTCGTGTATCTTTAAAGAAAGACTTGTGTGGCAAACCATTGAGGATTAAACGTGCTGTCTATTGGTACGCTGGAAACAGGGTGCTTTCATACGCTCAAAGTTGTTCGTAAACGATGTCACATATGATATTCGCACGTACCTCTGGAGCCTTACGCGATGTGACTTGTAGCAGTTTCAAGCCTGTCTTCCTGTCCTTACGTTTATTCTTTTTACAGATTTGTTTAGTGGTATTTATGTTCTGCCGCAGCCATATTTCTATTCGCACACTTAAAGCTTATTTTACGGAAGTAAAAATCTCTAATGCCTTCCTTTGTGGCACTTGTAAATATCATTTTTGGCAACATGTAATCGTCCTTTCAAGTTTTATCTTTTATAGAATGTCGATCGATCAATAACGTAAGAACAGGAACGAAGATTGTGACCAACTAAGATTATGGGGGATACTTCCCCTGCCAGTCCTAGGCGGTGCTGGTTAGCCCTACAAGGTTGGTCACCATGGTGACTGCCTCAGGTACTCCAACCGAGGCACATGTAGATTGGCTTTTTTTCAAACATTCTGACGTCTTTATTTCAGCTATTGCAGACAAGTGCAGACTGAACAATGGCGGATGTTCCGACTACTGTAGCTGGAACGTGTTCTCAGACCTGGTTCACTGCTCATGTCCAGAGATGTATGCGCTGGAAGCAGATGAAAGAACGTGTGCTATGATAACAACGAGTAAATCTGTCTCTTTTCTACATTCTTGGCAAAATATAACTACCTTATACTAAAATAAACATGACACTAGTTGTATTTTCATTATTTTCTCTTTTAAATAAATTTCGTCAAACCCTATTTCGTATGTGATAAAGTCTAAAAGCCCAAAATTTACTTTCACATCAATTGAAATTGTTCTCAGCTCATAATATCTTAAAGACAATGCATATCACCCTGTTTTTCACTCCAGCCACCCCCGCCCCACTCACCCTGTCTTGGGGTCCGGCATGTACGCGGCAACAGTTTCAGTGTCACAGCGGCAAGTGCATCCCGCTCTCCTGGCTCTGTGACCATACACATGACTGTATCACTGGAGAGGATGAGCAGCCCTATCTCTGCAGGAAATTGGACGGCGGTAATGCAGATCATAACTTCATGTCCTGACATCCTTGTTGTTATTTTTGTACTGTCTCTGTCACGTTTTCTGTTCGTGTACTTAAAATATATTTGTCGAAGATGTTATTCATTTGACTTAGATGTATCAATTTCCTTTCATACACGTAGTCATACACGTTAGTCTTAGTTGTTTTTTATCTCAAATGTCGGACTTTATCCGCAACCTATCCTTTTTTATATTTTTTAGTTTACGAAAGAACATGCACTAAATTTAAGTAAGGTGCCTGAAAACAGCGTTGTCCATGAGTACGGAATGAAATTATGCTGATAAATGTTGAATTCACTATCTCACTTTTAAAACTTAGCTTCCTCAAAAAGCAGTCTTTCGTCTGCAGGATGAAGAATTTTTCCAATAATAATAAATAAATAAATAAATAAATAAATATTAACACTGTTTGTTTAGGTAAGCCGCTTTTTGTTCTCACAACGACGACATCTACCACTGAACTGCCCACAACGACGACGACGCCAACAACTACCACCACCACCGCGACAACTACCTCAACCACGACCACACCTCTACCTACCACCACCCAGGAGCTCACAACACCAGAACCCGTACCGACCACCGACTCCAGGGTTGTTCTAGGTACGAAAAAAGGAAGAGATACAATACTTCGGCCGTCTGGTTATCATATGTTCGGAAAATAAAGAGAAGTACAGACAAGTATGTGGGAAGGGTTGTCTGCGGTATTATGATGTAGACAAGCGTACTGGTAATGCAGGGAAACATAGATGTATATAAATCGCCCCGTAGTAACAGTCAGATATGAAATATTCTCTCGTTTCGGAGGGCACCAAAAGATAAGTTACTCGCAAATGTTAAAGAGGATTGGACATTATTTGCTATGTCCACGTTTTTATTTATAGAACAGCAATGTTACTGAACAGAAGAGGGGGCATTAACATTTTTTCTGATTTGATTTTCCATTTCAACAATTTGGCATCATTTTGTGAAACATTAGAAATGCTATTTTTCCACTGTGGTTGTTATAGGTGTATTTACATAATATAGCAACAGTCAGTTTAACTCAGTTATAAGTAGTGCATCTACTACTATACCACCTGCATAACTGTTATTATCAGGAAAGCTATAGGGGCGGAGTCAATAAAATGCAAAAATGGAGAACTGGTACTTTTATTTTTTACAATAAATCCTGCTCCACGCTAAGCTGGGCTAAACAGTACAGCACTGGATGATAAAAACATTGAATAAAAAAATCTACAACTATATTTACATCTGCAAGTGCCACCTAGTTATGCTGTTGGCTATGGAAAACCAGTTTACAGGTAAAAACTAAAAGAAATGAATTGCTTCCTGTATACTGCCCAACTCACTTAAAACACCAGTATTGTAACCCTGGTCAAAATTTTTTTCACCATTATATAAAAATAAAATTTTTTAGACAGCACAAAGCTTAACTGGTAAATTTCACAGAGGAATAAACATCTTTAAATGTTTGTCCTCTGGCTTCCTAATGGTATTTTTCAGAACAGGCTTCTGCTGTGCAGATTAAAATTAAGAACTTTGTTTTAATTTTCTAGATCACTTAACGAGTGACCTTGCTAGAGCAGGTTTTTATCAACCTTTGAGACCTCTCAGGTCATAACACAAAATACACCTACAGATTTTCTAGCTGAAGATTATTTTACAAAACTGATCACATTCATCTGAAACATCACAACATCCAACATTATCAGCACAGGCAAAATAATATCTGCCACAAATTTCAGTTGTCTTGACAATTCTTTGGGATTTACGTATTATACTAAAATTCACTTTAAATAACAAAAATGGACTGCCACATTTTTCATGGTAATTTGGCACCCAATAAAATCCCGACAAAAAATGGTGATTAACTCACAGTGCCACTGACGATCTGGAATAAAGTACCCAAATAGCCTTCCCGTTGCCATATGTAAGACGCTGTTAAAAGCAAAGCCGCAACTGATGAAAAAATAGATGAGAAATCTTCAGTAATGTATATGAACTACAATAATTGCCAAGTTGACAAGCCAGGATATATACTATAGGAAACTTGGATTTACTACCATGTGCACCCTGGTAGATCACATACTTCATTGGAAACTTAACAAAAGAGTCGCAGAACTCTGTACATTTCAATGCTGGACATTTGCATTACAACTACATATACAGAACATTCTTCTTGGTTCTAGGATGGAGTCTGGGACAAAAGTCTAGATAAGTATCAGCTTTTTAATCCTTCTAACCAATGTCTGGCAAATGCTGCCTATTTTTAGCGATAAATATAAAAGAGCAGCCACTGGTCCTTGCCACTTTCTACAAAACGGCAAAAGCCAACTCGAATGAGATGCTTTCTTCATCCATTGAATGTTTTTGCTGCTGTCATTCTGATTCAAGCATCCACTTTTCCGATGTTTTTATAGCAGTACCACTACAGGCACTGGGCTGCAGACTTTGTACACCTTGGGTCACTTCCTCTTAATTGATGTAAGTTGTAATGTTGTAGTCTCATGAAATGATCTAAAAAAGAAAATAACAAAAATACACACAAATTTCAGAATAAAAAAAGGTCTAAAACAATGAGTTTTCTATTCGTACAAGGTTTAAAGACAAACAGTCAAGGACATGTTTCCTTAAACTCAAGCAAAAAAGTATTCAGAAGAATGTTGGCTTCTTTTCAAAATGATATGAGCCACTTTGAAATATTCTAGTTATCAGAATAACACTGAAGTGAAAGCATAAACTAGTTCTCAGCATTAAAATTCTAATTTAGCTTTCCTTTTTAAATGCAATAAATTACCTGCCGTACTGTTGCTTTAATGAAATCTTTCCTGTCTGTAAGATCAAACTCTGGGTACTTTGCATAAACCTGAAAATTCCGATAAGATCATCTGTTATCTTATATCCTACCTGTCCTAAGATCTACGACTAATAGAACCTGCAGCAACATTTGGACTTCCTTGCAAAATATCAGAAAATCAGCATTAAGATTAATTCTCTTACCTATCAACCTGCTTGCTAATAATAATAATAATAATAATAATAATAATAATAATAATAATAATAATAATAACTGAAAACTTATCCATACCTGTTTACATACAGTTTTCATGGTAACTTCTTCCAAGTTGGCACCATCTAAGATTTTCTTTATAACATCTTTAAGCTCTTCATCCTACATGAAAAGGATATTAAAAATATTCTAGAAATACTGTCAGTAAAGACCAAAATTTAGAACAGCCTTTCCCCTTAATACACACAGAATCGTGCATTCTGCCCTTCCTTTTGTAAGGATTCATTATAAACACAGTGTCATATATCCCCAATTTCAGCATTTAAGTCATCTAACGTTACCCTGATGACAATCTCTTGATGAATAAAATTTTGACCATCTTTGATGACTGCCCATTGGTTACCAGCATTTGAATAAATTGATGACAAACATGGCCTTAGTGTATATTAGTACCCACCATATCAAGAAGCTGTAATAAACATGGTTACTGACCACTTTTGAAATAATCAGTTGAAGAAATGTGTAAAATATGGTTTCTGTGCTGAGTGGCTAGTCAAGTTAAGAGCTTGAATGATATCATTTGTTATGTTGGCACTGGACACTAATACTCAGCAAACACAAGCAACGACTATATCACAATACATTCATAATTCATGTAAGAGAGCAAAAAGATCTCACCACTGGTGGTCCCTTTGGCTTCTTCATCAATGGTTCATCATCTGAACTGTCTTCATCTGAATCTGTGGACACTGGCGCTAAATAGGAAATTTCCAGGAATATATTAGAATTATTCCATTCTACCAGAAGAGTGATCACTGTAAGCAGTTTTAATATCTGAGATACAGTGACATTGTAAATATGCTAATGCTTAAATTATCCTACCTTTCTTTTTCTTCGGAGTTGCTTTCTTAAGAGGGGACTTTTTAGGCTTTGCTGGTTCTTTTTTTGGTTTCTTTTGTGGAGTCTTCTTCGGCGTTTTTTCCACTTTCTGTTTCTTTTTAGGCTTTCAAAGGAAAATCAGAAATTTAATTTGCCATAAAAAATATAATGGCCGCAAAGAAAGGTAACAAAAGAGCCCTGTAGGATTCTGTAACTTATTGAACATTTGTAAGATGTAGCAAACCTATAAATGTAGAAAACTCCATTATACAAAAAAATAAAAAACAATCACCTTTTCCTCCTCCTCCTCTTCTTCATCCTCTTCCTCATCACTTATCTCATCATCATCATCGTCTTCATCATCTGCATCTTCATTGTTCTCTTTTTTCTTCTCTCCTGATTTCCTTTTTCTCTTTCCCTTGCCTTCTTTTTTACCCGAAGATTTCCCTGTAATAAGTGGAAAGGTCTGAATCAATGTTTTAAAGTTAATTCTCTGTTGTATAAGGATCAGTTACCTTTTTTCATTAGGTGTTGCCTCTCTCTATTCAGAAGTTTTGATGCAATGAAGAACTGTAGATAATGTACATAACAGGATGGGAATGTCACCAAAAGTCCCAAGAGAGAGAGAGAGAGAGAGAGGACACTTGGCCTATGCTACTAAAATATGATAGCCCATTATCTAAACTTAGTAAAGTTAATTGAGCAATGAGCCTTAGCGCATTTCACTAACTATATTTAACAGCTTTATACAGTAAACATATATTGGCTACAGTTAAAACTTTAAGTGCAAAGTGAGGTGCCAAAAAATATTATGACCTGTATCTACTTTACAGATGAGAGAGAGAGATGGAGAGAGAGACAAAATGAGATATGTTAGCTACCTAAAGATCCATAGGTTTTGAGATGGAGAGAGAGACAAAATGAGATATGTTAGCTACCTAAAGATCCATAAGTTTCTTAGATAGCTACAAAAAGAATATCTACATACTTAAAAAACTTTGTGAAGTGGAGTCAAGTGAAAGGCACCTTCAATGTGTTGGGCTAGCAAACACAATGATTCACCGCAAATATTTCAAAACTAATAACCTTTAAGTAATAACACTGACTCACTTTTCTTAGGTGCTGGAGGAGCTCTGCCAGAATCCTTAGGATTCATTAGGAAGTCCATTATACGTGTAACAATGGTATCTTTTGCCCCAGACTTCTCCAAATCCAACACCTCACAAATTAGCTTTAAAACTGGTATGTGGTATCTGTATAGACCAATATAAACCATTAGATAACATGTGCAGACCAAAATGGTATATTTCATCAAGTCAGAACAAATTACTTAGTTAACAACTTCTAGTATTTAAATACCAACTGTGAACAAACTCACAAGCAATTATTGTCTTTTGTTATTTTGTGAATAATCATTTGATTTTATTGGCTTTAAGTGAAAGAAAACTTACTTGTTTAAAGATGCAACTTTTTTCTCAAACTCTGTTGAGTCACTTTCAAATGGAAAACCAGAAAACTGGCGGATATTTTTCTTGATCTCTGATGCCTAAATGAAAATAAGACTAAACTGATATAAATAGTATTAGCAGTAAAAAAAATATAACACTAAAACTATGTAAATGATGTTATCAAACTCGTACAAAGATATGCAAATTATGTTCACATAATTCAATATTTCTTAGCGCCAACAAAACCTCATTAAGTTAGTTAATAATAAAAAACATGTTACTGGCTATATTTAATGCACAATCAAATATGAGTTCAAGGACATTATAAAAATCATAAGCATACTATGTTAAATAATAGTATCAAACAAAAAAACAAAACTGAGAAACAATGCAGTAAGTTTATACTCACGGATCCAACTCTGTTGTACAGAATCCGATGCAAAGGTTTTAATTCTTCTGATTTCGTTTTATTCAAAAAATGTTCAACTGGAAAGAGAGGAACAAGTGATTTGAAAAAAAAAATACAATGAAAGGGAAGAAATAGTTTAATATATTAAGTTTTTGACAATGCAAGCTACAACACAAAACAAACAAATAAATAAATAAATAAATAAATAAATAAATAAATGTCATTAAATGCAGACAATTTGACCAGTTTGAATATGTTTATATTACTTCACTTTTAAACAAGATCTTTTTCACAGCTTGTAAGTACTTACTTCTTACACATGCCCCTAGCTTGATTCCAACTCCTTCTTTAATTTCCACTTTCTTGTCTTTTGGAGTTACTGATAATGTGGCCTCCAGTCTTTCTGTTTTCTTTCTTTCTCTCTTGCCTGATTCTATGATGACTGGACGTTCAAGCAAGCCCACTGAAATGACACATATGAAGCCATTCATAAAGTATTTTTCACTATGAAGTCATTTTGTTTGATTTTTCTACTCAGCAACTTCAGTAGATAAAATACTGCCATTTTTACTACTGATTTTTTTTTCAGATATATCTTTGTTGCAGCACCACAGCCAGGATTACACAAATAAACCTCAAGCAAGAGTACTCAAAGTTCTTACACTCTTCCTCATCTCCCTCGTCTGACTCATCATTTTGTTCTTTCTTCTCTACTTTTTTTGGAGATTTCTTTGCACTTTTCTTTGGCGTTTGCTTTTCTTCCTTCTGTTCACCATCAACTCTTTCCTCTTCATTTTTTTCTTTATCAATGCGGTCTTTCTGGTTTTGGACAGGTTGATCCCCCTGAAAAAAAAAAAAATAAAGACAACTATAGCTAAATGCCATTTTCCATCTAGTATTTCAAATAGGATAACACTACTGAATTTTGTACTGTTTTTTGTTTCCATATAAAAAATTAGCTGAATAATATTTAGTTAATATAAATAACGACTCTTTCCCTTCATCACTCTTGATATATTCCAATTTCCAACACCAGATCATACAATAAATACTAAGAAAAACATCAAACTGTGCTGTGATAAGTTTACAAATTCACAATACAGTCAGAAATAAAGAGTATTAAGTGATCTATACAAACCCATTGGTAAAACACAGAGAAAGGACAAGAATATACTGAATGATAACATATCCTTTATTTTAGAAAGAGGGTTCACTACCTGGTATTTGATAATCAATTAATGGTTTGGTACCACCACCTATTACAAGTTCCAAGATACTGCTAGTTTAGCAAGTGTTCAATTTCATCATCTCTATGGCAGCAAATAAGGCTGATTAATTCAAAAACTGTATGAAATAGAATTCCAAAAAGAAGAAGTGCTGAATTGTTTCAATGTGAGCCACCACAAACCGACTGGGCAGTGCCACATGGGACGGTTATGACCTATTTCTAGCGTGTCTAAAAATAGATCATAAACAACAACGTATTTATACGACCACGCGGGATATCGAAAGTGAGAGCACTGCCAGAAAAACAATTTGATGACTGTCAAATTTCAGAGTATCAACTCGAAAGTAACTTCAGCTTGAGGACATTTCGTCCACGTTTGCAGCTTCTCATTAATTTTACCGGTGACCCGCATGCTTGACCTAGTTTTTCAGGCCGTACGAGTGAACTTGATGCTTGAGCCGATATTTAAAGACTTATATACAGACATCAAGGAAGTAATAAAGACCAATATCCCTGTTTTCTCAGAGATTTTTTTCTGTTTAACATGCCACGTTACGAATGTGTACTGTTAAAACAGTACTTCATAGCAAAATAAGAACTAACTTCCCATGACATCTATTCATTCAAACGAAACTCTAGAAGCTTGCACGGAAGGGCATATTTACGAGTCAAATTTTCATGATCGAATTGCCCATATAAGCTAAACTTGCCAAGAGGCATTAAGTACTATGCTGAGATTCATCCTGTATACTCTATTTTCTTTTCACTTACCGCTCCCAAAGTTGATGAGGCTCCTAATTCGGTGTCCGACATGGTTTAACGCTACCAAAGCAAAATGGCGGCACAAAGTCGCGGGAAGCAAATCAGCCAATCATAGTCAAGATTTAACCAGATTGTATACATTTTTAAGTAATGTGTATAAATTGAAATACATAATGTACTATGATAAGACTAAAAACACAAATTGTTCGAAATCCACTTAGTTAAATCTGTGATTGTCATCACATCACAATATTTAAAAAATGCATAGCGCCATCTATCGAGGATATAATAATAACAAAATCTCGGGAAAAATTCTCCGCATGCAAAATTTGGTTATCGTTTCTACTTGGGTTGTTTCAGGTTAAATCGATAGCTCAAATTCATGATGTGTTGATGTTTTCAAAGGTACGTTCTTTATGTTTTTAACCATATTCTATAGGCGGGACATTTGCACTGGCAGCTTCATTTAGGAGTTAGTCATAGATGTACTGTACAATCAGTCAATAATTTTATACCCAATTTTATATATTATTAGAATTATTACAGTACTACATCAGTAGTTGTTTATAATTATTTGAAATTGAGAAGCTTCTCTTTAGAACTGAGTAAAATATATGGTTAAAACAAGTAGTAACGTTTTCTTTCTTGTAGTTAAGGCTGTGTAGATGAGGTCCTCTAAAAACTGCAGGCTTTTTTACTGGTATGATTTTACTAAATTATTATACATGTACTGTATATTATATGTATAAAATATGATTCTAGGACAGTTCCCCCCAGACAACCCCCCCCCCAAGATAACCCCTTCCCAGAGAAGAAAATACTCTTTAGTCTTTGAATGATTTATCTGAGGCATTTACACATTTCTTGAATATACTACTACTAATAATAATAAGGGTTTATTATCCTCTATGAAATATATAAAAAACATATATTGAATGTCTTGAAATGGAATTGGGTTAAAAATATACCTTTCAAATAGATTTTAAGGGAAAATGAAAACACTTAAAATGTTGTTCCCCATTATTTAAAAGTTCATGATCACAGTTCATTAGCATGTGTATAATATAAGCAATATGGTATAAAAGTCTTTCTATGTCGTTTGGTTCAACATTTTTGTAAAACATAACTATAATGATTCCTGAGGTCCTTTTCAATGACACTGGTGTTAGGTAAAAGATGGTTCAGTCTATAAGTATCTAATTTGATCACATTTAACTTTTTTTGCACAAGTTAGTACGGCAAGATTTCAAGATGGCCAATTTAGTATAATTTGTTTATTGCTGCATTGTATGTAAGTACAGGGTATATAATGCGTAGAGCTCTTTTCTGGATGTTCTCTGGGGATTTAGATTGCTGCACGGCAAATATTATACTGAATAAAAGAAAGAAGACAGATAATGATGTGTTGGCTATTCATTACAAAATTCAGGAGGCTCACTTGTGTGCTTAAACAGACTGAAAAGGCAAATACAGGTATAAGTTATTAGATGCTAAAGATGCAAATTATGCAAATCATTCCTCTAAAGGTATTTTTTACCCCAAATCCAGGTCTTTAATTTTATACAGTCCATCAAATACTGGTAAAAGAACTTGATTCCGACATTTTCTTTACCCTTTATATTAGTATTATAGAGATTCTCTGTTATAACAGATAAATACTCCCATTGTATATATTTGCTCTAATATATTAGTATAGCAAATGAAACTTGCCTTTTACTGATATAATTAGGGTGGATTTCCTTCTGAAATGTAAAGGAATGCATGATGGTGTAAATATCACAAGAAACATTTAGGACTAAATGTTTTAATTAAAAGTTTTATAAAGTATAAGTCTTGTTTTATGGACTGGGAATGGTGGACGTAGGCAATACATTTTGTCCTTATGAAAGAAAGTGAGTTGAACATTTATTGGTGCAATAACTGTCTTTATTAATTTTTTAATATATGGATTTCATATATTTTAAACTATTATCTGAGTAACAGATGTATAACACAATGTTGGATTCTGGAAGTGTATGCCTTGATGTATGGATTGATTTGCTGTACATAGATGGCATTCCTGATAATTAGATTATTCATTTAGTTGCATTGATCTGGGAGCTTTTCTCTTTACATAATGTGATTATAGACATCAGTATATTGTAAAATTATGCATCATTATGCCAAATGGGTAAAAAATGCTGTACTGCACTTAGATATTAGATATAATATGTTACATGTACATAGCCTATTGCCTGTGATATGGTTGTGCTAACATTAGGACAGTGAATGTAAGCCCAATATGATATTAAGTTCAGCTTGGTAGAGGAAAGAAAGACTGAAATAGATTTAATTACTTGCAGTTATTTGGCCATAATTTGATGGATTTTTATATGACCCACTTCTTTTTGAAATAAAAAATGAGTTGAGAAATACTTTTAGTTCTGGCACTGATTACCAGCTTCCAGAGAAAGTCCCTTCTGTCACTAATTACATCAATGCCTGCCTCAAGAACCATTTATCAATATAAATTTTCATTAATCAATTTTAATGGCCAATATTTAACCAACAGCTTAATGATTTGGAATAAGTTTGAAGCAGTGTAAGTGGTCTGTCCTGGATCCATGTCACCTTGTAAAGATTTGTACTACATGTAGTAAGCAACATGGAGTTCCTACAGCATTTTTATTTTCTATTTTTATTTAGATTTTATTTGAACAGAATGTTTTGTTTTCTGGATGTTATAGGTCCAATAGACAGGAATTCATTGGGCACAAATTTAACAAGCTAAATATTGAAAACATTATTTTGATATATATAGTTCTCAAAATATCACAGGCGATTATCATTGATCATTATCATTTGTTGTGTGCCCAAAAATCTCTCCAAATAATGTAGGTTTTAGTAATTAATTTTTTTCTTACAATTAGGTTATATTTTTACCATTAATAGCTATGCTTTGTCTTCAGATTAGATTATTATGTTGATCTAATCCTTAGTACTGTTGATAAAGACAATAATGACAGTAGTAATTATGTACAGTACATGCGCATGTTTAAAGAAAGCTACTATCAACAGTGTTTATCATTTTTTTGCCAAAGCACCTCTGACACATACAAAGGCTCATAAGAGAAACCACTTTTGTAAATTACAAACAAACAAACAAAAGAAAATCACATCCTAATTTCTTAAGCTCACATCAACAACGTGATCAAGGCTCTTTGATGAAGTTTCAAAGCTTTATGCTTAGTGGGTGAAAACACATTCAGTCCTTAAAGAAACAGTTATCTTTTTTAGCCATCTTTACACAACTAACAGTAAAAAGCATGTCACCTAGAGTTAAAAAAGTAAGGTCTGGAAAGCAAAGAAGGAACAAAATTAGTCAAAGATGCATATTAAATACATGTTTGGTACATAATCCACTACTTGTTTAACTTATCCAAGTACAAGTAATACTTATTGATCTAATTCATCACCTCCAGAAGAACTTCACCACATGTCAATCATCTTGACACAGTTTTGAATATTGCATGTAACCAGGAAGTCGGTGTGAGTAATGATCTGAAAGTGATGGAGGAATAAGAAAAACCCACACTTATTGGTGGATGAAGGATTTTTTAATTTTCCCTGAGCACCATTAAAATGTGTTTCAGAGGTTGGTTCGCCAGAGAAAAATAGCGTTTATCCCAGGAAAATTAGTTAACTACAACTTTTTGGCAGGGAAATCTTACACTGGGCACCTATAAGTAAGCATTTATGTCAATTTATTTCCATACTGCTAACCATATGCCACCATATACTGTCAAATAGTATCACTTAATGAAATACTTCAGGGTTTTATGACATTTCCTGAAAAATGATATTTGTACAGACCTTTTCTGCTTACTTTCTGTGCTTTATGGACTGGATGAGGAAAAAGTAGGTTAAAATTACTACCAGAAATTTGAAGAAGGTACCATTTTAAAGCCTTTTTTTCTGGTGCTTGAGAGATGTCAGTGTGTGTGTGTGTGTGTGTGTGTGTGTGTGAGTGTGTGTGTGTAAGAAAGTGGTTCTAATAATTTATATTTGTTACAGAGCATTACTCTTGCTTCTTATGTATCTTTAACAAAAACAAGATTATCCATAAACAAATAATTTGTTTCTTCGTTGAAATATCCAAATGCTCTGCTAATTTAAGACTCGTAAATTGAGACAGGCAAAAGATGATTAACACTGTGTTAAAGGGAAAAGTTGTCCTGATATTGCACACCACTAAAACAATAGTTACTAATTATATAATCATCTTGTGAGTGCTAAAATCTGTTGAATATAATGAGAACTGAATGTGATAATTGATTGAAATACATGCTGTGAAGGTATCTATAGGTGAATGTATCTATAGTCAGAGATAATTATTCCTTCCAGGTAAAGCATCGTGCTTTTCAAGAGATTGGTTTACCTGTGGACCAAGATGACATAGTCTACGTCTTAGCTGGCATTATCCAGTTCGTAATACCATAACCACCAGTAGTAAATTTGTAGTCTTAGAGAATGGAAAGCAAGGTGAAACCCGTCCAGATGATGGCCAGCTCTGAAACCAGCTCTGAGAGCCAGGAAAAAGATACGAAAGAACAAACAGAATCATCGTCATCAAATAAAGATGATAAAAACATGGTGACAGTGTCAGTGTTCACACCTATGGGTGCTCATGTGTTCTACTCTCCAGGAACACACAATACAATGGACATGGCCATTGAGCCTCTGGTCACATGCAGGCTCTGTTTAATGGAGTTGCCTGCCAGGGAAATGTATGAAATGCAGGATTGCCAGTGTCTCTATTGTCAAATGGTAAGTCAAAGGTAAAAAGTAAAAGCACTTAAAGAAAGACTGTTTACAATATGCACATAGGTGTCATCTAGACCATTATAATTTTTGTCTATCAATCCTTGTATTTAGATACGTACTTGTACACCATGATTTAGGTATGACACACATGGGTGTAAAGCAGGAGTGGATGTCACATCTTTTTTTCTTATGGTGCATTCCTCAATATGGCAGATTATGAAAAAAACTGACCTTTTCCTTTTATGTCAGTTTAATGTTGAATTTTATCTTAATAGACATGCTTAATATCTGATTTTAAGGAACATGTTATTTCTTTAAAGAGATTGAATTTGTATGAAGTGACAATTGATTTATTTTTAAGAGTCTGATGTAGTATTTAAAAGTCATGTATTATGTTATTGTCATACATGTAGGAATCGATATTTAGAAATGGAAAATTGTTTTTTTTTTGTTTTTGTACTTGACATGTTATTTGTAGTAATATTGTCTTCCTAGTGTGTAATCCAGTACCTGACTGTGATGATCTCAGATGGGAATGTGTTGGTCATCACTTGCCCAGATGCAAGATGTAGGCAGGGAGGAAAATTTTTACCATCAGAGGTATCTTTCCTGTTGTCATTGATTTAAGAAGATTACTGTGCTGTGTGTAACATAGAACTTACATTATATAGTTTGGAAATAGTACTCATGCATTTTATGACACAAGATTTTTTTGTTCTATATATTGGTGTTCTAAACTACATGTGTGATGTTCTGATAACCACATAATGAGGGATTAGTCAGTGTCAATTTATTGTAGTGATATCTATTACACGGGTCGTTACCCTAATGTTAAAAGGATATTGATATTTTTGCTATGCAGTTATAAGAACAACATTATTCTTGTTAAAGATGAGTTCAAAACTGAAATGCGTCTCATTTTAACAGAGCCTGAGTCACATCTTGGATCAGCAAATTAAAGAAATACTCCATAAACTGGTTATTTTTATAGTTTCTCTATATGCCTTTGTCTTGTACTTGAGTTAAGACATACCTGCCACTTTAATCCCCTGGTTGACTTCAGATTGAGCAGTTAGTTGATACCATGACCTTCAAGAGATATCAGAGATTGAAATTCTCCAAAGGTTAGTTGACATTTCCAACAGTTACATAAAGAAGATTGGGTCATGTTCTTTTAATGACAAACACTTGAAACAGTAATTGTTTTTAAAAACCAAACATTTATAAATTGATTCTTTAGGTAAGCTGTAGATGGTTGTTTTTATATGCTCAATGCCAAAATTTTCAATGTTTCACTTACTGAAGGGTCTCATTACCAACAATTTGTATGTGACTAGAATTATAATAGAGAATAGTCCTACCTTTCTTATCCCCCATAAGATTATTCTTAATATTACAGGTATGAAAGCAATTTTTGTTTTTTGTTTGCCATTAACTAACAATAATTACCAATTAATGATAAACCCGGTCTTTTGTTTGTCATTCCAGAAGTAGATCTAGATCCTAGTCGCATGTGGTGCCCAGAAATTGGCTGTGAAACTGTGTGCCATGTGTGCCCCCTCAGTGACAAGAAGAATGTACAGGGTATACCTGTGAAGTGTCCTAAGGTAGTGAAGCACTATTTGAAATGCATTTTAAAAATGTGTACGTGGGGCAAAAAGTCATGTCCAGCCTTAAGAACTCCTTGGCAATAATTGAAAGAAAAATCGTAGTGTTTTCAGGATGAGAATTATGGAAGTTTAAGTGTACATCCAAAAATTAAATGTTTAGGCAAAAAACATACCTCTTTTTGTAGTGCTACCTAGAGTTTTGCTCAATCTGCAAGTCCAACTGGCATGCTGATGAGCCGTGTGATGCTTACAACAGCAAGGTCAAAGGTCATGATGCTGGGTGAGTTGGTAAAGACAAGTGTTTTACTTCACAGATTGCTTCTGTTTACCGATGGCCGGACAGCCATTACCAACTCTCCACTTTTCATTGTTTGCATCTGATGATTTCTTGTTAATGACAAGATGAACAATAGATCCACACATTTGTGTGCTGTAATAATGGCAACCCAGGGGTGGATTTAGGCCTTCTTCTGGGTCTTCCAGAAGACGGTCAGATTTTCAAGTTTACATTGACGGGTATCCAACTTTTAATGTTGGAAGACGGTCAAAATTGGAGGATGAATCAACAAAGATAATTTGGAAGACTGTCAGTATATAGCTCTGGATCCGCCCCTGCAATCCTATTCTTAAAAGGTGTGATTGAAGTATTTGTATTGATGCTGTTGTTGTATTTTTTGTTGTTGTTGTTTTTATTTAAATTATTATTAAAAATATTCACCTCAAATGATTAATGCAATTCACAACCATGCACCAACCTATTAGATATGAAGAAAACTATGAACTCGATCCCTGCTCTGACATTTTCTTTTCATAATATTTCTGTTATAACATGTTTTATGAAAAATGTTTCAGCATACCCATCAGCAGTGAGGAAGAATCCAAGATCAAGCGTTGCCCCATGTGCCACATTCCAATAGAACGTGCCGATGGCTGTGCACAGATGATGTGCCGTCAGTGTAAACATGTCTTTTGTTGGTACTGTTTACAGTCATTACAGGTAAACACTACATCTTTTTGACATCATCAAAGCACACTTTCCTCAGATGATTGACAAACAGTTTTCCCCATGAGTAAGGGGATTTTCTGTCTTCTTTCACAGTGTATGATCAGCAATGTCTTCGTTTCAAATAATTCATACATGTTTTATCTAAAGAAAGTTTGTTGAATGCTGCTTACGTGTATATTATGAAATATATGCTTATTTCAACATTTTAAGTGGTTTTCATGGATTATTGTTTTGCCGTAGATTCAATTTTGTTTTCATCTCCTATAGGATGATTTTCTCCTCCGCCATTATGATAAAGGTCCCTGCAAGAACAAGTTAGGTCACTCCAGAGCCTCCGTGATGTGGCATAGAACACAGGTATATCTCATCTTCGTTGGTTTAAGTTGGGTTAAAAATAGGGTTTAAAGCTAGGTTTATACCATGAGATAAACCTAGCTAATGGTCTCTTTACATCAAGTTTCCTGGGTTTTTCCCCCCTGTGTTTTAATTTATCAATAGCAATGACCATGTAACTTTGACATTCTGCAGGTATTCTTTACATTTCAGGTTGTTGGCATATTTGCTGGATTTGGCCTGCTTCTTCTGATAGCTTCACCATTTCTGCTCCTGGCAGCTCCTTGTTTGCTGTGCTGTAAATGTAATGCCTGCAAGGCATGTGCTGAAGAAGAAGACGTTTGACTGCAAAAGAGAAATCTGATACTCACCTCCTAGGTCCCAGTTTAATTGTTGATCATTGTGAATGAGATCAAACTGGTGATCTCTATAGTACCAGTAACAGCCAGCATTTATTTGTTATTTTATTTATTTATTCAGTCATGTATTCACATTGAGTCTTTGAAAAAAAAAAAAGACTTATATTACTAGCATGGCCTGCTCTAAGGTGAACCAAAAATGTATTTGTCAATTACTCATGCCCATATGTCAAAGAAAATGTGCAAATGATCTGAGTGTAAACCAGTATTTTAACTTTATTGACTCATTCTTTTTGGGCGTGTGGATATGTGAGGTTTTGATTGACAGTGCACAAGGAAATATACCAACTGTAATAATGAACATCAATGATGAAGCAAGAAATGGTAAGGTTCAGGTTTGATTTACCCAATCATAAAAAGCTGGTACTTGATAAGGGTTGTGGTAAAGTGGAATTGTCACAGGGTCTGTGAAAAACATCTGTACAGGAAAACGCATGAAACGAGGACAGTTGGCAAAGTGCAAACCTCTGAGAGGTAGAGTAGCATGGTAAGTGTAACCCAGAACTTGTGGGAGGTAGTAGCAAAAAGGGGTGGTTTCTCATCCACCCTGTCTCACTGAATATGATGTCAGATTTTTTAAATTGTAAAGGTGCACACACAAATATTTGTATCAAAAAAAGTATATTAATTTAACAAATGGCTCTCTCATAAGTATTCCATGTATATGTTCTATTGTCACAATAACCACTTTAAACTTTTTAAAGGAATTTTATTTACAGTAAATTTAGCATAACTGTGACACTTTTGGACTGAAAAATGTATTTATGTTGTAGTATTTTAATAATTTTCAACTAAGGCCAATACAAAAAAATCCATTCCTCAAGATTTGTTGAAGATGAAAGATAAGTTAAACGGTGACAAGATGTGTGATAAATGCTGTAATTTTTGTGTGCAGACACTGCATGTGTCTGTATATATTCTGATCACTGTGTCTGACTGTGTGATCACTCATTGCACATCTGTCGTCCACCCTTTAACTGCCAAACAGTATTATTACTTCAGGGTTCATACAGCAAGGTAAAGAGCATATTCAAGAACATGAGTGTAAACAAGGGCAACTTATTGTCATTTTCAAGTCTTCTCCCATTCCAAAATAATTTTTCTAGTTACTCTTTTTTACCAATTGCATAGTAGTTTCTTCTAATGCCAATTCATTCTGACACTGAATCAAACCATATATATAATAAATGTTAATCAGCATTACCCTTAATATTAACAATTTGCAAATACTTCAGTTGATAATAAAATGGCAACAATCAAAAGAAGGGTTTTCAGCTGTTTTAAACTAACCATTATTGTGTCCTCACATTCTTCAATATTATCTTTAAATGATCTGGTTTATTTTTCAACTTGATTATCTTATTTATTTCTAACAGTTCCAACTCTTTCCTTCAGAAAGAGTTTGATTGCGTTTTCTCTGATTTCTTTTGTTTGGTCTGTTATCAAAAAGAATGCTGCAGTAACCTTATATGTCCTTCAGCATGTGCAGAAAATAGTCACCTATGCCAAAAACAGAAGTATGATGTTTTTGTAGAGTTACGTGATATTTTCCAGACATCAGCACTGTCTGGAAAAGTAGTGCATCTAAAAAAGTAGATACAGCCTAAAGTAAGACTGCATTTGTCATCATAAGCTAAATGTGACCAACATTAGGGTCCATCAGATCACAACTTTAAGCACTGTATTGTTATTAAATTTAGCTGCCGGTGGATGTCACTCTATAGTTGGTATTACAATTTTATATTACTAATTAGCACTATGGGCAGCTGGAGATACAGCTTTGAACCATCTGAATTTGAATAAGACTTATGGCAATCCCCTTTTCTTCAATTTCTGAGAACTTTCTCCCTCATATAAAATGTCAAGTATCTTGAAACAAGTACAGTTCACCTTTTGAGTGTCTCCCTTAAGGACCTTGACCTATGCAGGCCTACCCAACTACCAGACTCTGTACCAAATGATCCCAAATTCACCAGTAGATTGAACCACACTACCCGTCAGTACGCATTTCACAGTAACATACCTTGGGATGAATTTTGAGACGAGATGCACTACTGCCCAACCCCGCTGAGAATCACCACTATCACATCATGTACTAGGCAAGAGCGGTGTCGTGTCTGATACTTCGAAAACGTTTTGACACACAAAATGGAGCAAGAGAAATTACTTTTTTTTGTAAAGTGTCTGTATTTTAGTCAGCTTTGCTGTCTTGTCATTTATTGTCAACTGCCCAAGTTGTTGTAAGATGGGCATATACCACTTAATCTGTTAAACCTTGTATATTTATAATTATGAGCCAAAATCAGGATCTTGTCCAATTTTTATCCAAGTTGTCATGGTCGCAATGCTTTTTTCTTTCTAGTTGTAAACACCTTACTAATGATGCCAGGACATCACATATCATCATGATAGTACTTTTGTATCAAATGAATTATTTGAGCAATGGAGTATACGTGATAGGAATTGCATCTTGTCACCAATTTTCTTATCTGTTGCTCTTGGTAGATGCATCATGAAAGATCTTACATTAAAACTACTGTCCTTGTTTCAACATTGTTGGAGTCTTCACTGTTTTATTGCTTAAGGTCTTGTCATGCATTTTAACAACTTACTATTTCAAAGCAAACTATAGCACTTAAACATCATGAAATTTTATGTTCAGTTATATGTCAAACAGAAGTCGCTCAAAACAGCTTTCCTTTTATGCATGTTAAACACTTTCCTTTTATGCATGTTAAACACTGAGGGCCAAGTCCCCCAAAAATGTTCAGTTAAAATGGCTTCTACGCTCTCATCTCTTTCCTCCTCCCAGCCACCTTGTAACAGTGATAACCTTTTATTTTTAAACAAAGACCAGGCGCATTTTCAGAAACATGATGTACACTTGATCCACACAACTCTATAAACCCAGGTTAATGACAACTATACAAGTTTATTATTTAATATTACAAGTACAGAACTTTTAAGACTATAAAACAAATGTACATCTAATACTTCACACCATTTATGACTAAAATAATACGGCAGTATCCTTTGCTTGGTCAAGTATCTTACAGAACTTACAATTTATACAGTTGGTACCTTCCTGCAACTTTATTATATGTTTAAAAGGTTAAAATTGTTATGAAACTTAAATGTATTTAAATGCATGTAGATCAAACAAACATGCCAAGTTCAAATCAGACCTTAAAATGAATGTTTTATCTAACCAAGATCAAGTACAACCCATAAAATAATAAATTAATGCTAAAAACTATAAAATGATAGAAAAAGCTTCCCTGCAAAATTTGGTCATCTTTTTAAAAAAATGTAAAACTATACTTCCTTGCGAAGAATTCTGAATTTTAAATATATATGCATAAAAGTTTCAAATCCTCTAAAGAAGGATTATTAAAAGTCTGCATCAAGGGTAAATTGGTGATTACTTTCTCCTTTTGTGGATGACATCACTCCCATTTTCTGATATTCACCAACTCGCTTTTCAAAAAAGTTGGTTTTTCCTTCCAAAGATATGTGCTCCATGAAGTCAAATGGGTTTTCTACATTCCAAATCTGAAAAACAGAATAACAACACTTTCCATAATAATCAGATATTCCTGTAGTTCTTCAAACAAATAGTACAATGGGGAATTTTCCATAAATTGGAACAAAATATTGCAGAGCTGAAAGCAGAAAAGGCCAAATAGTACAATGCCAAGTTGGTCTTAAATGGGCATTTTTCACTGCTTCTTACCTTTTCACACTGAAGCTCCACTAGCAGCCTGTCTGCCACAAACTTTATGTACTGTGCCATTAGGGTGTTGTTCATGCCTATGAGAGCACAAGGCAGAGCTTCTGTCAGGAACTCTATCTCAATGTTGACGGCATCTTGAATTATTTCATGAATTCTTGCCTGTGTGGGTTTGTTTTTGAGGTGTTTGAACATCAAACAGGCGAAGTCACAATGTAAACCCTGTGGGGAAAAAAAATTAATTAGTCCATGTTTTCCACTCAGTTTTGTATGGTGTAGTTTCCAAACTGTTTTTGTGTGAACAATGTTGATTGTAAACTGGTGTCAAATAACAGAGATACACTTTAATGTGAGAAAGGGTGTCAAAAGGAAGAAATAGTGCAATTCGCCTGTTATTTATGAATAACTTTAAAACTCTTATGCCCCACATTTTAAAAGTTAAACGTAAAAAATACTGTGAATTCATCAAATAGATATATAAAATAAAAATAACTTGCCTCATCCCTGCTGATAAGTTCATTGCTGAATGTCAGGCCTGGCATGATACCTCTTTTCTTGAGCCAAAAGATGGAAGCAAAAGAACCAGAGAAGAAGATCCCTTCCACTGCAGCAAAAGCAATAACTCTCTCTGCAAAGCTGGCATTTTTGGCATTGATCCAGCGTATAGCCCAGTCAGCCTTTTTCTTTACACAAGGCATAGTTTCAATTGCATTGAAGAGAAATTCCCTGGAAGAACAAAAACATTTGTTCATTTTAAAGCAAATAATTCCGTCATCCTAAGGTGGATTGAAAAAAAAAAAAAAAAAAAAAGCTTAATTCGTTTCTTAGTTTGTTGCATAATTAGATACAGTGCCAGTGGTGATGCATTCACCTCATTTAAACAATGTTTACTAAGAAACAATAACTTTTATGAATGTTCACACCATCACTTCAGTTAAACTATTTGTGTACTACAGACCTAAAAAAAAGAAATAATAGGAGAATCGAATTGTAGCTCCCATGCTTGAACTTTACCTTTCTTTTGGATCCCTGATATAAGTGTCTATAAGCAAGCTGTACATTTCAGAGTGAATGTTTTCAATTGCAATTTGGAATCCATAGAAGCACCTAGCCTCTGTGATCTGGACCTCCTGGGCAAAACGCTCTACCTAAATATAATACAAGAACAAGAAATAATATTTGTCCATTTTGTGACAAATTGATTAAAAATTTCTTAGAGAAAATTATGACATTTACGTATTTACTGGTTGTTTTCGTTAAATGAATGGTGTATCATTTTTTTTAAAGAAATTAAGATTTCCCTTACCAAATTTTCATTGACAATGCCATCACTAGCAGCAAAGAAGGCCAATACATGAGAAATAAAATGTTTTTCCTCTGGCTTCAGCTTCTCCCAGTGTCCTAAGTCTTTAGAAAGATCTACTTCTTCAGCAGTCCAAAAAGATGCCTCTGCTTTTTTGTACATTTTCCAGATGTCTTGATATTTTATAGGAAAAATGACAAAACGATTTGGGTTGTCACGAAGAAGTGGTTCATCATCTACAGTTGCTTTTGTCTAAAAAAAAATTAAACCATATACTTAAAAAGAAACAAAATATTTCAGTGCATTTATTTTTCTATAATGAGTACCCAGTCTTTGAATAAAAAATTGAATAAATAAATATGTATTTATTATTTATTATTGTATATAAAAATTGATGTTAAAAAAATGCCAACGAATAAAGTGCCTTTAAATCTAAAAGAAATGGCAGTAAAATATATACCTGTTTCACATTCTCCTCTTGCTTCAATGATAAGGTAATGCTGGTTTCTTTTTGAATATTCTGAAAATAAGAAGTTTCAATGAATACAATATTCCTTTTAAAATGAAAATTTTATTTGGCCCAATCTGTGAAATTATTATAACTTAGTGATAAACTTGAATATAATGATCAACCCTAATTATCCCTTGCTCAAAAGCCATTCCCCGCTGAGGTACCAAACGGAAAACTTACACAACCAAGCCCATTGTGTTTACAGATTTCCCGCCAGTGACGTCAATGGCGCGTAATGTTATATAAAAAAATTTTTTGAATTTAACAGAAATTCTTGGTAGTCCGCAGGACTTACCTGAGATCGATTTTCGCCAAGAACCTTTGTCTTCTTTAAAAAAACGGAAGGGAGCTGAAATTAATCGTATTTAGATTACTTGGCATCGACGACATAACTTATGTAAGATATATATAACTTCGAAGTTATCAGTTGAAGTGCTGCCTACCAGCTCGTCAACACAACATAAAATGATAACCTTAAATTGCAGTTTAGTTTTATAATATTGGATTTTAACACTGTCTATTGTTTCTTAGTAATCACTGGTTAAATGAGGTGGTTATATCACAACTGGCACTGCATCCAATGCATTAGGCAACAAAACAAGAAATATTTCAGTGTGATTAAATGTCTCTCAGGCAAGACAAGGAATGACAATGCCCCACACACTTATTTCTGCAATTTTATCATTTTATGAACTTTCCTCGCCCATTGTTATTTTTCTAATTAAAAAAAGCAATGTTGAAACTTTGGCGCCAATAATACTGCAACATGCATTATTCACTCACTTGATTCTCGTCGTTGACTGTGGATTTCCCCATCTTTGAGACGAGCTCAGACTCTATCCTGCTGGTAGTCTTTGGTGAATGAGCAGACAGCATAGTTAAAAAGCGTGGTAAAAGAAAATTATGTAAAATAGTAATGTGAAGTGACTACGTCCAGGTTCTACCAGGCTGCAAGCGGAGTACAAATTTTTTCCGCGAGTTTTAGAGTTAAATTCTCGCGGCCTGTTCAGGTTAGCCAATGAAAAACGGTGATATGTTTGCGGTGTCAAAATTGGATTGATATGATTGGCTTAACTTAGTATCGTCCAGTTGTAGGGGAATAGGATGTTTCTCGTCAAAAATAAATTTGGCTGAAAAGTATCATCAGTTTGTGTGATCCCCCCCCAAAAAAAATACCTCCATTATTCGTATCTGTAAAATGTATGATGCCATGACAGGAAAATATACCAACTTTATAACGCGGCATCTTAAAATTGACTCTTCACATCAAATTAAAAGAGCCGATATTGAATCCTTTAGTAAAGTAGTACCCCGGTCATGGAGTAGGTCGTGGTCATGACAACAAAATTACTGCACACAAATGAATTAAAAACGGTTATTGCGTTTAAAATGGTTGCATTTAAGTTCTTTTTTGCATTTATAATATCATTAGCTTAAGATTAGCGACTTTCACATGGTATATTTTCAGCAAATCTTCGTGTGATGTAAGATTTATGTTTTTATTGGACCTTTTTCACAACGCGCACATATTTCCAAACATCACAGTAAAGGCAGTGAAACAACATAAACAACATGGCGCTGGACAGCCTGAGAGATGTGGACAATTCTTATGTTAGCAGAATTCACAGTAGGAGGACATCAGGAAAACTTCATAAAGGTATAATCATATGTACAGCTAAGATAGGAGTGTCGCCTATAATTTGATTGTTAGAATAGTCATACATTACTGTCATTATTAACTGAATTAATGTAACTTGAGTAAAGCAAAACTCATGAGTCGTACAGTACAATGTAGTTCACACTCCAGTGTATAACCTGAGAGTGACAGAGTGACAGGGGACGTGTCAGGTGTCAAATGTTTATTTCATGTATGCCAAGTGAGTACATTGAAGCAGAGGTTACGAATAACACCGAGCCATACATGCCAGGCAACAATAGTAGTTTTATTGGCAGTAGCATCAATTGGTATAAATCAGCTAAAAGTACATGTACTTGTATGCATGCCAGAGCCCCTATGTCGTTATTTACTACTGTACAAAACCCAGTAGCATGGCTTTTATCTCTTGTTGTGATACATAATGGAGTATATTACTCCCTCAAGATAGATAAATATTATTTGAAACCTTTTATTTTTGTTTCAGGTAATAGCATAGCAGCACCAAATGCTTCCATACCCAGCAGGTACCAAACTATAATCACAGACAATTCAGACAGGAAAGGATTCTTATCAAAAGCCAAAAGATTTAACCATGAAGCAATTATAGTAAGTTCATCAAATGTCTCATTTTACTTAAGAATAACCAACAGAGAATGTAAACTTAGGCTGTTGTTCATTAATAATATTGGTAAAATTATGGTATTGGTTAGAAACAAAATCACTTAAAGAAAAACTATAAAATTGCTAAACTATAAAATTGTTTTATAATATTCAAGCTTTCTGTATTATATAATTGTATTAATTTGGATTATATTTGATTTCTAATATATATCTTCATGAAGAATTTGTTTTTACCTTGAACCCTAACAGCATGGTAAATTTTTATTTTTCCTTTATCAAGGATGATAACCCTGGTCCAGGAACATATGTAAATCAAACAAAAACAGAAACTGTCAGCACATCATTCTCTAAAAGAGGAACAGGAGGATTTGCATCAAAGGTTTGTACATATATTTTATCAGATACTTTTAGTATTAACTTCCCCTCCCAGACTTATTGTTATTATTATTATTATTTATTGCGGTTCAAGTACATTTTTTACAATGACTATGACCTAACAGTATACATTATATAATCATATAACTAAAATTACAATAGTAAATTACAATATTGTTTATACAATAACTGTGATCAGATTTTACAATTGCAGTATACGCTCAGTTACTTTGGTTGACTAGGTGGTGGTTGGTTGAGAATATTCTTTCTTTCCTTATTACACATTGTGATATAGTGGGCCACATTGTTTATAACTTGTAAATCATTTGACTGCATTATGCATTTGAACTGACCCTCTGGGGTTTGTGTAGGATCTGGTTTTAGGATCTCCCTGTGTTTGGTGAGTAAGGGGCATTTTATTAACCAGCAATTGCTCACTCTGGTAAGATTAAAACAAGACATCTAGAATTAATTGACTTTGATAATGAATTATATTTTATAATATCACTTTTTCTTATCAGACAGGATTTGCAATATTCGATTTGTCACTTAATGAGAATAAACCATGTTGTTATACTTTCTTATTATTGCAGAGTAAAAGAGAACAAAAAGTGGGGCCAACACCAGGTCCTGGCTCTGCTGCTTATCAGTTGCCAAGTTTGTTACAGTCAAAGAAAGATTTTAACAATGCATATACAAGAGTATTCCACAAACCTATAGCGCAGCCTGTTGCAAAACTGTCAGCTGTACCAGCACCTAATGAATATGAGGTAAGGTTTAATTAAATCTTAGAAAATGCATTTCTTTCCAATGTTTTCTATTCAAAGAGTTTAAATCTGAATTTTATGAAAACTGCTAACTTTATAATAAGATACAAGTCTATAAAAGAAGCATTTTATTTAATTGAACTTCAGCTTAAAGAATGCATTTTACACACCTTTTTGTTAGGATTTTTTAAAATTTGATACCAATACTAGATCGGACTTTGTATATTTGATTTCAATATGTGCCTTATTTTCTTTGTAGGTCCTCAGGTACAAGCCAGGCAAGGCTAACAATGTATCTGCTCAAGCAGCTTTCAAGTCACAATCAAAACGGGAAGTTATGGATACAAAGGAATCTGCAAAGAAACCTGCTCCATGTAAATAAGTTTGTTTTATTTCTTGATAATTTTAAAACCTTCATTTAAGGTTTTTTATTAATTCAGTATGATTTTCCCCCCTTTATAACTATTCTTTTTTAAATGTATTAGTATATATTTAAGTTTTTTTAAACAGAAGTGTTATTGCATGGTATATGTGCAGGTTTGTTGACAGACTTGATGTTTAAAACTAATAAGCTCCAATAACTGCTTATAAAATGGATTTTAAGATAAGAAAAATCAGCATTTTTGCATGTTGTATCAAGGGGTAATTATGATAAGAAAAAAAGAGGAAACCTCCAAATAATACCATTTTATTAACTTTTATCTGTAATCTTTCAGGGCAATATCATGTAGATGACAAACTCCTTCGTGACAGTATCAAAGTTCCTTTTTCAAGTTTCAAGTCAACATCAAAACGACAAATGGCACCAGATCCGCCTCCTGTAAGTATATCAAATAATTATGAAAATGAAACATCTAATGGTATGATAAATTTGCTAAATTTTCTTAGAAGTATATATTTATAATATATTTTGTTATGATGTTATAAATTGCTGCGTGTGTAGACCATTTTGTGGTAACCAGTGCTGTGTGACATTTTATAAAATAGATTACATGTTTTTATTGATATATGGACAAAACTTAATTTTTTTCTTATATCACAGTATCCTGGACCTGGGACATACAAACCACATGAGGCAGTAGAGGAGAGTGCAAACAAACTCATTTTACCGTAAGTAAACTGTCTTCTGTATATGAATTTTCATAAGAAGCTGTGATGGTTATACATTTCTGAATAGACATCACTGTTAACGATTTTATTACAAAAACAAGGATGAAAAGCTTAAAAGAAGTCCTTGGCCATTGGTATACTTTCAAAATGATAATTATATATGGTGCCAATTTCATACATTTCTTAGTATTTCCTATACAGTGCAGTGTACAATTTATTCTGGTAATGTAAACTGGCACTTTACAAGATCTTGTTACCAGTTGTTATATAATTATTATTTTAGGGTTCAATTGTTTTTAAACCAGGTTAAATTAGATGTTGATGATATTCAGATTGGCTTAAATAAAATTAGAATTGAACATTTTATAGATATGTTCCCCATATGTTATTCGCAGGTGAATTGGGAACTTATTTTCTTCCCAGTAATCATTCACTCAATCGATAAAGTTGGCATATGAAAGGGTTGGTAATTTACTGTGCTATATCAGGTGTTAAGAAGGGAAAGCCGTGAAACAGTATATCCTTCTTGATAGAAAATATCTGACAAACAGGAAGTTGAAAGTAGCAGACTCAAAGGACCTAATTTGAGTTTTCATAAGCATCACGCTTGGCATTTATTGATTGTTGGATGAGCATGCCTTGGACTTTTATACATCAAAGTGAAATGTTATTTTTTGCTTTTCCAGCTGTTCAAAAGAGACTGGATATTGTACAATTTTGGTTTTGTACAATGTGTGTAGTGTTTCCTCTTTTTTGTGTTAAAGGCCTCATAAACGATAATTACCATTTGCTAACATGAGTCTTAGATTAGATTTTACGTTGGGGTACTTAACTCGTGGCTGGAGTCATTAATTTGTGCATTTGTGCTCACAAATATGAGGCTTGAGTTAACAAATGCCTTATCAGTTTATAAGGTCCTTTTTAGTAAAAAATTTTCCATCTTTTCCTTCAGAAAATGCCCAGATCTATTTTAATTATTTTCTTCCTATCCACAAACATATACATGTAGGAACAAACATATATGCATGATGTGTGTTTGGGCGTAGTATATAGATAGTAAAGTTGCAGTTCTATATTTGTTAACTAAGACCACATACTGTACTAGTATTTACTTGAGTGAAAATCAGATATTGAGCTTACATGTACATATATGTGTGCTGAACATAATCTTTTGCTATGATTTTATTATTTAGAGTGCTTCCAAGTGATAGTTATCTAGAAGCTTTTAAAATAATTATGTTATCATAAAGAAATGCAGTGACATTAGCGGAGATTGATGTAAATTTAAAGGGATGTGAAGAAGTTTGACGATTGTATATTGCATCTTGGTTATTGTTAAGCATTGAAATACATTTTAGACAAACCATATTATATTTTATTTTTAAAGCCACAGGATAAACATATCATGAACACTTATAACACTCACCAGAATATGCTAAGGGGCATCCTAAACCAATTATACTAATTATATCTTGTCAAGTTCAGTGGTTCTCTCTACAGGGAATGTGCTGTCTCGTTGACCTGTGTTTGATATTAGATTATTTCTCTGTACAGCATCTTTGTCTGTTTTAAGCTTTACTTTACGTGTGTACTTGGACCCATATTATGTTCAAGATGTGCAAGAACAAGGACATGTCTTATTAGTGTCATTGTTTTTTATGCATCCATATTATTTCTCAAATCAGCTAAGTAAAGTACCACATTCTATTTAACTGAGTGAGAGGAAATACAATTTACAAACACTACTTGGAATATGATACAGATATATAGTACAATGATTTTTAAAAAGATATTAAATATTTGCATGTCATCATGCCAGTGTGAAAGGGAAAGGAAAGGGTTTAATGCCTGATGTCAATCATGTTCTTGCTTGATGTATCACTCCATGCTTACACAAGCTGCCGGTGGCAGCTGTACTTGTATTTATAACACAGTATTGAATAGCAGGTGAATTATTAGCTGAGATAATAGTGACTTTGAAGAGATAAAAAAGTGACAAAGAAGAGTTAAGGGCAATAGGATGACCTTTATTATCTGCAGACACAATTGTGTATTGAATTATCCAAGAAAAGATGAGTAAATCAATCTGCATATGAGTTAGACTAAATTATAACCGGCTTATTCAGCTTCATTGTCAATATCAACATGAAATAAGTTGCATAATAATTGTGCTAGAGTTAGATAACTGCAATTAGTGTAATGACATAGCTAGATTGGACTTGATTTCAACCCTTCCAAAGCATGGTTATGTTACTAAACAATACACTGTCCACAAGCCTGATATACACAACAACATGTATATTGGGCTAAGGGGTAGCAGTGCATTAGTAATAGATAGACCCCGAGTCAGCGAGGGTTATGTGGCATGCACGAGTGCGTAGCACGAGTGGATGTCACATAACCCTCACTGACGAGGGGTCTATCTTATTTAGACCACGGATCCATTAGCAGGTTATAACGCATTCATGCGAGACATGCGGTTATGCGAGTTACACCACGTCTGAGTCTTTTGTTCTTCACTTCCACCGTGGTTTAATTTATCATACATACAAAGGGAAATCGTACATGTTTCCCATCCAAAACCCCAAATTTTGAATGGAATACTTTGATATCACCTCCAAAGGGCGAAATCAAAGAGCCCCATGGTACCGGTATGTATATAGCCTTGGACACAAAATACTTGTGTATTTTGTGTCCAAGGTATAGCTTTGCAGTCCACCTGGATATGAAGTCATTCTAAAAGAAATCTATTGATTAGTATTCTAATTGGCAGGAAACTACATCTAATCAATTGGTGGCCAGTTAAAGTCAGTAATCTAAGCTAGATTGGATGTTGAAAAACATGAGGTTTTGATATTCAGTCCAGGATTGCTTTAAGGTGGAGTTAACTTAAACATCAATATAAGTGCTTTACTCAGAACGATCGATCCAGTTGAGCATCTTGTAAACAATCAGTGTGGTGTTGAGGCGAGGAACGCGGATTATGACTTGAAAAGAGCCATTGTACTTCTGCAATGATTGATAAAATAAAAAAAGGAAAAGACACTACAAAGATAACAGTGTTTTGTGCTGCTACACTTGTAGTTACATTTTAGTTCACTACACATGTTTATGATGTGTACAGCATAGATGTGAATATAAATATATACAGAGAGGAAGAGATATANATAGGGGAATAGGATGTTTCTCGTCAAAAATAAATTTGGCTGAAAAGTATCATCAGTTTGTGTGATCCCCCCCCAAAAAAAAATACCTCCATTATTCGTATCTGTAAAATGTATGATGCCATGACAGGAAAATATACCAACTTTATAACGCGGCATCTTAAAATTGACTCTTCACATCAAATTAAAAGAGCCGATATTGAATCCTTTAGTAAAGTAGTACCCCGGTCATGGAGTAGGTCGTGGTCATGACAACAAAATTACTGCACACAAATGAATTAAAAACGGTTATTGCGTTTAAAATGGTTGCATTTAAGTTCTTTTTTGCATTTATAATATAATTAGCTTAAGATTAGCGACTTTCACATGGTATATTTTCAGCAAATCTTCGTGTGATGTAAGATTTATGTTTTTATTGGACCTTTTTCACAACGCGCACATATTTCCAAACATCACAGTAAAGGCAGTGAAACAACATAAACAACATGGCGCTGGACAGCCTGAGAGATGTGGACAATTCTTATGTTAGCAGAATTCACAGTAGGAGGACATCAGGAAAACTTCATAAAGGTATAATCATATGTACAGCTAAGATAGGAGTGTCGCCTATAATTTGATTGTTAGAATAGTCATACATTACTGTCATTATTAACTGAATTAATGTAACTTGAGTAAAGCAAAACTCATGAGTCGTACAGTACGATGTAGTTCACACTCCAGTGTATAACCTGAGAGTGACAGAGTGACAGGGGACGTGTCAGGTGTCAAATGTTTATTTCATGTATGCCAAGTGAGTACATTGAAGCAGAGGTTACGAATAACACCGAGCCATACATGCCAGGCAACAATAGTAGTTTTAATTGGCAGTAGCATCAATCAGCTAAAAGTACATGTACTTGTATGCATGCCAGAGCCCCTGTGTCGTTATTTACTACTGTACAAAACCCAGTAGCATGGCTTTTATCTCTTGTTGTGATACATAATGGAGTATAATACTCCCTCAAGATAGATAAATATTATTTGAAACCTTTTATTTTTGTGTCAGGTAATAGCATAGCAGCACCAAATGCTTCCATACCCAGCAGGTACCAAACTATAATCACAGACAATTCAGACAGGAAAGGATTCTTATCAAAAGCCAAAAGATTTAACCACGAAGCAATTATAGTAAGTTCATCAAATGTCTCATTTTACTTAAGAATAACAAACAGAGAAAGTAAACTTAGGCTGTTGTTCATTAATAATATTGGTAAAATTATGGTATTGGTTAGAAACGAAATTACTTAAAGAAAACTTGCTGAACTATATAATTGTATTATAATATTCAAGCTTTCTGTATTATATAATTGTATTAATTTGGACTATATTTTATTTTTAAAATATATCTTCATGGCAATTTATTATTTTTCTTTTATCAAGGATGATAACCCTGGTCCAGGAACATATGTAAATCAAACAAAAACAGAAACTGTCAGCACTTCATTCTCTAAAAGAGGAACAGGAGGATTTGCATCAAAGGTTTGTAGATATATTTTATCAGATAGTTTCAGTATTAACTCCCCCTCCCAGAGCCTCTTCTACAACATGATATTGTATTAACCACCAATTGCTGACTCTGGTAAGATTAAAACAAGATATCTACAACTAATTGACTTTAATAATGGATTATATTTTATGATATCACTTTGTCTAATCAGACAGTTTTTGAGGAAAAATGTTCATTAGCTTGGTAGTTGGATCATAAATGAAAATTCCCAAACACAAGCCGAAATATCTTCATACCATTAGTTAACGGCTAACCTATTCATAGGTGGCTCGTGACCGCTGATGTTGATAGCCTCTCGTATCTCCCGCTTTTCATTTATCACACAGTTTTTGTTTATTTAAAAATAAATATATTTATTTATTTTTTTTTTAATTACCTGAATTTTATTAAATAATGTTATGATTTGCAATATTCGACTTTTCACTTAATGAGAATAAACCATGTTGTTATACTTTCTTATAATTGCAGAGTAAAAGAGAACAAAAAGTGGGGCCAACACCAGGTCCTGGCTCTGCTGCTTATCAGTTGCCAAGTTTGTTACAGTCAAAGAAAGATTTTAACAATGCATATACAAGAGTATTCCACAAACCTATAGCACAGCCTGTTGAAAAACTGTCAGCTGTACCAGCACCAAATGAATATGAGGTAAGGTTTAATTAATCTTAGAAAATGCATTTCTTTCCAATGTTTTCTATTCAAAGAGTTTAAATCTGAATTTTATGAAAACTGCAATCTTTATAATGAGATACAAGTCTATATAAGAAGCATTTTATTTAATTGAACTTCAAAAGAATGCATTTTACACCCCATTTTGTTAGGATTTTTTCAAATTTGATACCAATACTAGATGGGATTTTGTTTATTTGATGTCAATATGTGCCTTATTTTCTTTGTAGGTCCTCAGGTACAAGCCAGGCAAGGCTAACAATGTATCTGCCCAAGCAGCTTTCAAGTCACAATCAAAACGGGAAGTTATGGACACAAAGGAATCTGCAAAGAAACCTGCTCCATGTAAATAAGTTTTTTTTTATTTCTTGATAATTTTAAAACCTTCATTTAAGGTTTTTATTAATTCAATATGATTTTCCCCCCTTTATAACTATTCTTTTTTAAATGTATTAGTATATATTTAAGTTTTTTTAAACAGAAGTGTTATTGCATGGTATATGTGCAGGTTTGTTGACAGACTTGATGTTCAAAACTAATAAGCTCCAGTAACTGCTTCTAAAATGGATTTTAAGATTAGAAAAATCAGCATTTTTTGCATGTTGTATAAAGGGGTATTTATGATAAGAAAAAAAGAGGAAAACTCCAAATAATACCATTTTATTAACTTTTATCTGTAATCTTTCAGGGCAATATCATGTAGATGACAAACTCCTTCGTGACAGTATCAAAGTTCCTTTTTCAAGTTTCAAGTCAACATCAAAAAGACAAATGGCACCAGATCCGCCTCCTGTAAGTATATCAAATAATTATAAAAATGAAATATCTAATGGTATGATAAATTTGCTAAATTTTCTTAGAATTATATATTTATAATATATTTTGTTATGATGTTATAAATTGCTGCGTGTGTAGACCATTTTGTGGTAACTAGTGTTGTGTGACATTTTACAAAATAGATTACATGTTTTTAATGATATATGGACAAAACTTAATTTTTTTCTTATATCACAGTATCCTGGACCTGGGACATACAAACCACATGAGGCAGTAGAGGAGAGTGCAAACAAACTCATTTTACCGTAAGTAAACTGTCTTCTGTATATGAATTTTCATAAGAAGCTGCGATGGTTATACATTTCTGAATAGACATCACTGTTAATGATTTTATTACAAAAACAAGGATGAAAAGCTTAAAAGAAGTCATTGGCCATTGGTATACTTTCAAAATGATAATCATATATGGTGCCAATTTCATACATTTCTTAGTATTTCTTATACAGTGCAGTGTACAATTTATTCTGGTAATGTAAACTGGCACTTTACAAGATCTTGATACCAGTTGTTATTATAATTATTATTTTAGGGTTCAATTGTTTTTAAACTGGGTTTAATTAGATGTTGATGATATTCAGATTGGCTTAAATAAAATTAGATTNATGAGGGTGCTGTTGATTGTAAGTGACAGCCATTGACATGAGATTCAAGGAAATATGTGGTTCAGTAAATCAGGGAATTATATCAGATATAATTCCTTGAGTAAATACAGTTGTCAGTGTTCAGTCATGCACCTAAAACATCTGAAACAACTTACACCAACAGTATGAATTAACCTGCCCAAATGGGACCTTGATCATCATGCATTTATCTCGTATTCCTCATTATCTTATTTTTTCTTTCAAGTTTACTTTACTATATAATCAGATCTATTATTTTCTGTATTACAGACGCAAACATTACTTGTGTATCTCAGCCCCAGCCATGCCCCTGCCTCCAGCACAGCCCCAGCCTGGACCTGGCAGCTATGAGTTGGTGGACTTTGATGGTGCTCCCAAACACTTCATGTCTAGCTCCATGTTTGTCTCATCTAGTAGTCGGTGGACTGGGGACATCAGAGGCACAGATCTACCTGGACCAGGTGAGTAATTTTTTTTGTAGTGTGTGCTTGTGTGTGTAATGTACATGCACATGCTGCTATATTTAAGTGTGTTTGGCTGTAGATACAGATGTACATGTTATATTCCTTTAGATCTCTATGTGCAGTTGAAAACGTTCAATCCATTTCTAAACATCATTGTCAGGCCACCCAAGGTTATCTTACAAGCTTGGTCTGGCTAGGCTTCTACAATGTGCATTAATCTAAGTTACCCTGAATAGATCAGTTCATGAATTTGATTTCTTACTCAAGTGGTGGAGTGGTGAATCTGCTATTGTCATGGATTCTTACAAGATTATTTTAGGAGGCAGCCATGAAAATGACCAGTATGAATGCCTTTTCCTGTAAGCTCTTTTTCTTTCTGTCTAAAGACTTAGAAATCACACTTTCAATTTTCAAAGATATTTTGTCTTATTTTTCAGCACATTACCATCCAGATAGTACAGGCAAACAGAGCTTCATCTATAATTCAGTTGGCAGGTGGATTTAAGTTATTTGGATGCAAGATGAATGAAGAGGTGCATTTTGTTTAGAAGGGACAGAGGACACCAAACATTGATAAATAATATTGGACATTTATTACTTTAATTTATCTGTGATATACTCAGAAAAAAAAACTGTGATACAGAGATTTTTCAGTTATCAGATATTTGTTCCAACAACATGTGTTTATTTCATTTTAGTTAATATTGCTGTTAAACAAAGATTTGGCACAATATTATCTGTAAACAAAATTATCATTGACTAGATATACCAATTTCTGTTTTTGAATTTCTTGTAAGCATGTTAAATCTGACCGAAGCTTGCTTTTATTCCACATTTAGATTTTAAGGATTGAGCAAGGCTTTCCTGAAGACCTCTTTTTATTGTTGATGAACGAGTAGTTCTTTGACTACTTTTTAATTAAAATTCATAAAGATTAAATCACTGACTTCAAAGTACTAAGTTTGCGCTAAGTTTCCCATTGTCAGAAGAGTCCTGCTGTAAATTGAGTGGGTACATGTATAATGAACAAACTTGTATATAAGATGTATAAATGTAAATTTGTAATTTTGTATATAAATGCAGGTGATAAGAAAATGAAAAGGTATTAAGAAATAACTAATATCTTACACCTTAAAGTAAAAATAAAAGTTAAAAAATAGTGTTTTTCTTCTTTCTTCTGTTTTACCAGTAGGCGTCCAGAAGCCATCTTTGTGGAAGACGTGCTGAAAGACATTCTGCAAATAATCATCAATTATTTAATTTAGCTACCCTTAATATAGAAAGAAATGCCCACACTTTGTATTGATTAAATCTGAGTACACTGCAACTTTGCGCCATTTAAATGTCATCAGAAGAGTAAATAAAGGGTTTTTTGGCAAACAACGTTGGGAATTTTTCAAATGTCGCTCAGATCCCATAAAAACTTGCATACGAACTGATATGGTGAGAACTTACATGCTCCTAATTTTTTTCAAAATCTCAATGGGAATGTAACATCAAATGCCTGTATAGCATTTGCATATTGTTTTCTGAGCGTAGTTTTTAAGGTCGATTTTGACTGATAGGAAAGGCGAACAGAGCAAGGAAAAGTGGAATTTTCGAAAACACAGCTTTAGCCTTTTAGCTCTTGGTTCCATCTTCCGGGTCGCCCTCCTTTCTCTACATGCCCTTTTCTGATTTTATGAAAACTACCTGTTATAATAGTAGATGAATGAATTTCCATCCAAAAGCCTTCGTGGTGTTTATTGAAACGCTGATTGGAAAGAAAGGAGTTGCTCCATGTACAGCCAGCACTTTGAAAAGTAGGCCTACACCAGAAATGCAATGTTCTGCTGAATGGAGGACGCTGCAGGTCTTATCAAAATATTGCTCAAAATATTGCCTTAATGCTAGTCGGTTGTCAAAAAAAAAAAAGTTAAGTAATCCGTTTATATTTGTGAAATATTTTTTCATTTAGTATTATTAAATTTTACTCGCTTCATGTAACTACTCCCTGCCCACTTCCTCGCCTCTACTTATATGATAAAATATTATCTCCCACAGCACGGGGAGCACTAATTCCGATAATTTACCTCCCAGGAGCTGGAACTTAATTTAAGGTCTGTTCTATAAGTAGAGCTAGCGCCAATGTTATGTTGCGCAATTATGGAGCTTTTGAGTCCTGATCATTAATCGCAATTATACTAGCATCAAACTCGATAGGAAAGGGTAACATGAAATGGAAAATTTACAGTAGAGTATGATATTTGCATTTTACAGAATATAAAAGTGTTATTCTAGTTCTCTGTTTTCCTAGACTTTCAGATATTCTATATAGATATCCTCACGGCATTTGAATTGTTCACTAGATGCAAAAATCGATACGGCCAACTGCATTCATTATAGAACTTCATTGAAACGACATCTTACGCCAATATATCAAGCAGTACTAAATGATAAAATCACTGCAGTTGCTCTGATGCACAAGTTGTGTTGATTAAAAGCAATTTGAATTTCAAAATTTCGTGAAGTGCTTATTAAGTGCATTTTCTTTTGAAGTGGTTATCAGAGACAACCGAGAAACATAAAACCTTAGAGGAATGGAGGGATGTGATTTATATTTTCCAGCTAACGGTTCTAGCAAGCGGTTGCCTTTTACTTGGTTCAACTCAAAACATGTCAAAATTCACCAGAAATTACTTATGGTTCGGTTTCGAATACTACATCTGATTTTCACTGGTCCTATTTGAATCATTACGAAATAGTCAAATTATCAAGAGACCTCAGAACATAAAGCTTAGAAAAAAATCCTTGTTGGCGCCATTTGTGTCATGTAAATGCAACATACGCGCTTTTAACAATGTGGCACTTACTTGGTTCTAGCACGATAAGTATTGAGTACGAGGACGTGCGCTGCAAGAATATGTTATTTGGAGGGGAGATTACTCCGTAAATGCAATTTAAATCTATTGGAACACGAGCCACTTCGAATTTGCAGCAAGGTTCTACTGGTATATCTTTGGTAAATGTTCTCACTAAGAAATCGATCAACGCTTATGATTGATTATATGAATTCAAGATCACATCCGCAAGAAGAAGCAACATAAAAACGGCGGGATTAAAAATTTTTACCTCCAGCGGGTTAGAATATGGCGCTGCGAGCGGTAGTCAATTGTTTCACTGACAACTGATTGAATGCAATGTTGGAATTGTCAGTCGATGGCAATCGACCTCAGGCATAGACTAGATTTGTGATTATGGGCCTACAATGCATACACTTGGGTCCTGTGTTTGACATGCGTTGTAGGTGGGAACGCAGTTATTGACAGTATATTAGAGCAGGTAAATGAATCCCTCGCTTAATAAAACCGCTATGAGCTTTTGTTAGCACGCGCATATGTTTTTGTGTGATAAAAAAATACAACAATAATGCAACAAGCATATGTGACAGTTATTATGCATAGGACACGTGATAAGCGGATTAAATGCGTCTTGTGCAGTATGTACGTGGGCAAACGAACTCTTTGATGGATTGGACTATATTGACCATTTTCTTACAATGTAAGAAGCGGAGACAGACGTCAATAGAATCGTGAAACATAATTATCACTCCCTGAACAATTACCATTGCCAATCCTACCTGTTTTGCACGAATGATTAGCGAAGGTGTTGCCCAAATGAGCTTTTCTAACGCTGAAGGTTCACAAGTTGATAATGATTTACCTTAGGCTGCTTGACACGTTGCTCTTACACAAGTATTTCAGGAAACGTGGGCTAATCAAAACACTCTTGAAATGATATTTTAAAAAATCAAATTTAGAGCCGCTACATCCGAACATTTTCATTTTATTGTGCATATTGTGTTTTTTATTTGGCCTTCTTATTGTACAACACATTCATGTTAACTTTAACTAAACGCCCGAAATATTAAATTGTGAACCTAGAGTAGTTTTTGACTTTTAGATGTTATGTTAATTCATATTGTATAAAAATATTCATCATGAATTAGTGTGTTAGTAACAGACCACTTGTTATAGCGAAATTAGCCCTCAGTTCTCAAATGTAAACAAAGCAGAATGAAATTTATTACACCAAGAGGGTTGGGCTCCCAAACCGGGACTAAGTTGGAGTATGTACTGGTAGGTTAGACTTAATATTTGCTGTTTTTTTCGTATGTGGAAGGGTCACTATGTGCTCAGGACCTGGACTTTATTTTATGGAAATATTTGGGGCTTCGGATGTCTCTACGTATACTTAATTCAGGCACTTGTTATTTTGAGTGTACAGTAAAAAAAATGACAAAATGTCAGGATTACCTCTCGGCACGGGACTTCAACCCTTTTGGGTGTCAATTTCGTGGTAATGAAATTTCCCCTGGTCAATCACATTTATTTTAGATCAAACGTAATAACTTGGTTAAGTCAAACCTTAAATGGTCAGATATGATGTAATGTTGAGTCCCATGGAGATTTTTTTACATCGATTTTCCCATTAGTTGTCCTCCTGGGTCCTGCGGCACACCTAAGGAACCTATTCTAACTGCTTAAGTCAATGAACCATGTTTTTGATCTTCAAAATGTGCACGTGAGTTAAGAAGGGGATGTTGAATTTAAATGAGAGAACTTAGACTGCATAATAATATGTGGCATTTTTGTTCCCTGAAAACTTAATCGATTTTGTAAGGTTAAAAAGTCAACTCAACTGTTTTATGATTAATATGTTAGATGAACCCTGAAATAGGACGTCAGGACTTATGGAAGGGCAATCAGTTAACGAAATTGGAAAAATTAGTATGCATCTAACAATTATACATGTGTTTACACATACATACTATTTATTTTCGAAACAAAAATATACACCCTTAATTGTATTATAATATCTATACGCAGTGGGTAAATTCTATCATAAAATATATAGTGCTTTACCAATATTCATGACTTCGTGAAATGTGTACCAGCTAGTACATTGTATACGTGCCGTCTGATACTAACGGCCTATCAAGATCAAAAAGTCCTTTGCACTGTGCGTGCTCCTGTTTTTATAACATTATTGTCGATAAAACAATGTTTTCTCCTTGACCGCATTCTTAATGATGCGCGAGGCCACCGACATAAAATAATTTCAACAACCAATTTCATATGCGTATACACTGCATTTATAGTGTATGCATTTTTGTCCATCATCATGTTTTTTACGAAGCTTCAAATGATGAAGACAGTGAAGCATAAGGTAGGATTTTTATTACAACCAATTTCTTAAGATTTGTTTGTTGTACTTTTTATATTATATTTCCAGAAAAGCATCTCTTTGGATACCGGATATAATGCATTGACAGCACAATAAACATGGCAATCATAAAGCAGGCACTGTTTCTCTTTTTCTTTTTTTTATAAAGATGTGCTGCCATAGCAACTAGTGCTATATTGGATTTCTTCATTATGTATCAGTAATTTATTGCTTTCCTTTCATAATACTCTCCGTATATCCGGTAGATGATGGCTTATATCTTTATATATGGCAATATCTGCTGATAACATCTAAGCCATTTGATTTACGACTGTGCGTGTGTTGATAAACAAATTCTTCATTTTTCTAATTACACAGTCATCATTATGACCCTCCAGTTTTGTCATCGCGTCATAAGCTAAATATTGTCTAAATAAACAGTTTGTATAGATCTTGTGCTCTAAATGACGCACAAGTGGGGCTTTTTCAAAAAATGTAAAAAAAATCAATGAAACAGTATGTTGTTCTTCCAAAACATGAAAAATAATTGACGAATTGATCACGCGATTACATTGCTATGGTAAAATGTTAGAGATGGATGCTGCAAATAGCTCTACTTAGTGGACTTTAACGATTCCTTCTTGGCAGACTATGGCCTCCCCGACCTGCCTATCTGGCTGAATGCTGCGCCAGCGGGCTGACGTTGGAATGAGGCGTTCCAAAGGGCTTGAAACCTGGCGGTCGTCGTCATTGTTGAGGTAGACCTTGAAGGACTCGTCCTGGCCTTCGTCGTAGTAGTTTTTGAGGAAACTCGGCACCAGAAGCGATATAGCTATTGTAGCCCCGCCTATACAAAATACCACCAAACCTACAAGCTTCACAGCATCAAAATTGTAGTTATAATAAATGGCATCCTTGTCGATCACAGCCGTCTCGCCGTCCTTTTCGATAATCATGGGCTTTTTTGGGGGTCACATAACCTACCAGTATCCCCACTAGGCCGATTACAAGAAGAGAAACACCGATCCACGAAAAGACCTTCCACCATACGGAACGGCACCACTTTCTACGGTTGTTTGGACGTAAAAGATATGCACTGTCGTCTTCTTCGTACACTTTTGGATCTTTAAACCCGGATTCGTAGAAATAATGCAAGTATGATTTAACCCCAAAATAGTCAGAGCAGCCGGTTCTTTTATCCTCTTGATCGTTGGTTGATTCGATCACTTTTTCCAGGGTCGGATGCCGAGAAATGCGCACTGTTTTCCTGGGCCTTTTGGGATCCCCACTTTGCTCTGGTGCTGACTGGGAACTGGTATCTGATATAGAACCATCACTGTCAGAAGCAAGGTCCCATGATTCAGGTCGTTCGATTGGTTCTTTTGAAAACGCTGCGTTTGTTGACTCCATATTCGAAAAAATACCAAAAGCGTTAGAAATGCATACTTTACTGTGCTATGCCCAGCCTACACAATGTTACCTTGGTACAGTCTCTTTACGATTTCCGTAATATTCGATCGTGAAGTCCACCCTTCAGGGAATGCTGGCCTCTCAGTACTTGTCACAGTAGGAAGGTCAACACAGCATCTGCACCGGTGATCTGAACAATGTAATTTGGAAACCAGCTATGGAAACCGTCCGTCTGAAATGCACATTAGTCTAAAGTTGTTTAGAAATTTAATGCAAGTGAAATGTAAATTGCTGCTGCTCAGAAACCATAATAGTTTAGTGTTGGCGTGCATGAGAATAATTTCCGTAATTTGTCATTTTGTTTTGTTTTATATTAGGAGGAAATAGGAAACATTTCTGGGACATGTTTTGTACACATGGATAGACTACTTAGCAAATATGTATCATTTGTTGTTGGAATCATTAATAAAGATGAAAACGAATATAGCCAATGTTTAATATGTCATACGTGTCACAATATTGCTGTGAAAGGTTTTAGTTTTGTAATATCGGGTTGAAAGGGTAAAAATATGCATAACAGAACATTATTGCTTACTAAAGCTAAATGTGCTCTAATTTTTGCTATTTGTCTCGATTGTTCGCTAACTGTCAGTTGGGCACATTTGAAAATATTGATGCCGTATTCGAAAAAGCGACCTAAAATCAACACTATGTAATAGATTGTGGTCAAATGCAATTCTCTGAAATGCGAATGGCACTGGGTTATATTTCACATAATCCAAAAAATCCACCCATAACCACGAGTTCCATTTCAGTGTAATTTCATGGAGATAGTACGGTGCTAATGCCATGAATTTCAAAATGAGTTGAGCTCTGGACAGCTTTTAGCTACTTGCTTTGCCAGTCATATTAACTCAGGTTATCTATGGTACATATAGTCTACTTGAAAATATCTAAGCAAAATATTCCAGTCACAAATTTTACAAATTAAGCAGCCAAATAGCATTGATCTGTCTTAAAAACCACACAGATAAAATTCACCTACCTTCAACTGTTGCTGTAATATCAGCACTTGATCCACCATTAAATCGCGTCACTGTATTTACCAGTCAATCAAACTCCCTTATTACAGTGGCTCTCACAGATCTGAGGGGCTGAGATTATGCTCGAATGACTTGACGGATAGTGTTTCTCCTCATATGTTACCTGTAGCTTCACGCTGAGTAGCATTGAAGGCTGTTTAAAAGGAAATGTCTTTTTCGCGTCGTGTTTCTAGCCACAACCACGTCGAATAACAGATCGCCCAACTAGCCAATAAAGCTAGCGTATCACGGCTCTTCGGGCTGGATAAAAATTCCACGTTGAATCCCACGCTGAGTTTGAATGCGTGAGTCAGCTTCGTGTCACTGAATGTTGACAGGCTCTAGGGTTGAAATATATCGTGTATGCTCTTAATATTTACCAACTCTTCATTATCATACTGTCCATAAAAACCATATGGTCTCTGGTGAAAAACAACCCGGGCTTGATGCTCATTATTCCGTCCAGGCAGTTTTTGCTTTCCGTGGCACGATGAATCTGTACAGATGTAGATAGATTTGTAAATACCTCGCTTGGCGATCGATATGCATTTGCGCCCTGTTAATTGCTATTCGTGAGATTTGTTGATGTGATGTGATGTGACTGTTATTTTTCTTTTGCAAGGGTCCTTATTGAGCATAATAACAATATGCATAAATTAAGATAACAGTGAATTTTACCAAATAAACGTAAGAAACGTAAGTGTTCAATGAATGTTCACTGTATGATCGGTAAATTCAGGAGATATCGGTAAAGCCACAAATTTTGGATCAAAAAAAAAAAAAAAAATCAAAAACATTATTTTATGTAAAATAAATTAAAATGTATATATTTTCAAGACCCGCCTGATCAACGGAGGTCTATGGTTTTTCTTCAACACACCCAGCCGCACCCAGCTGTTTCCTTTGTTTATTTAGAAAAACATCAGTGCTGCATGGTCTTGAAAAAGTCACTCAGGCACACATGACACACGTGAACAAGACGTGACAAGAAATCTCTATACGTTATAATATACGTTTATACATGAAATCAAGGCTGGGGTTAACATTCCCAAAAATTGTCTCAATGTGGTACCCAAATACGCATTTTACACGTTCATATTTTTACCCTGACGTTCAAACAAAAACATTTGTACTTTTCGAATCTGTTTCTAACCTACCATTGCCTTAATCTTCTATGAAAAACGAAATACTGCCCTAAAACGTGCTCATTTGTAAATTTGTTTCAATTTGTTAATTTGCTCACTTTATTATCGTAGAACTTTCCACGTTTTTAAAATTCTATTTATTGTGTACGCGGCCTTTAAAACATTACCCTCCACCCCACCCTAACCCACGGTGATTAATCATGTTCTTTTGTTATCTTTTGTTACTTATAGTAAAGAGCCCAAAAGTGATTGCCATGCTATGCACTCCACTGATTCTACGGCTTGTTTTCCGGAAAAACAACAGCAATTAAACCCACATAGGCTAATGAGATCAATGCATTCAAGTCAAGGCGGCCAGCCTGTGTCAAGGAAATAACCCGTTGACTTTGACTGTATTTACTAGGGCAAGAGGATAGAATCAAAGCAGTTGGTTGATTAATGTTTATTTGCAGAATTTATGATGTAATCAAGTAAAGGTACTGTAGAAATAAATTTCCTGTCATATCTACGAGAGCGTAAAAACACGTTTTGATCACTTAAAATTTGGGAGACAGGGCTCAGTTATTTTTCTCCCACCAATAATGGGTTATACATGTAGATCCGTCATTATGGTCTTCATTTTACATCTTTTGCCCTAGTTATCTGTCTGTCTCGCGTTCTCGGGCCGCGTTTTTCATTTATAATAGAGTAGCGATAAACATGTTTAATTTCATATTTTGTCAATTATCATATGAAGTCAAATAAAATGAAACAGGACATGGGAATTATACAAAGTATGTCGCGGTTGCTCTCGACATGAAAGAATGCACACAAGTGATGATTAGGAATTGTTTAGGGGGCATAGAAACAGATTGAGAAAATACCTTACGCTAACATTGTAATTGTTATCTGTGCGTGCCTATGTGTGTTTCAAAAAAGTTTGATGACAGATAATTAGAAGACTTTTGTTTCTCTTTAATCCTCCTTCCTTTTTAAAAACATGGTTCTTCTGAAACATTAACTGTGCGTGTGTTTGAAAGTCACGTTACCCCTTTGCAATTACCACCCTCCTCAAAGTTTTAATACGTTTAGAACGTTTAAATACTTTTTAAACAGTAGCCGAAAACCTCGTGGTTGTTTTAGTCAGTTCAGCGTAAATTAGACAGATAGGCCTACAGGTATGACGTTGCTATTGCTAAAAATGGTAGAGCTCTTTTGGCGAGATATTATATTTTAGTTTGTCCATATATCTCATGGGTCAAAGATTTGTGCTTGGGCACATTTCGCTGCGAAATAATGCGACAGGTGAGCTATGTTAGGGGTTGATATAGATCAGCATTGCGACAGTGTGATCAAGCTACGCGTGTTAGTCTATATCAAATACTAACGCAAGTACTTGCAGCCGTGAATGTAAAGGTTTTATATATTCACTTTTCCAGAAAATACGTAGTCTAGATCTTGTAGGCTTTTAAAATTCACAAAAATGGCGGGGCGACCAAGCAAGGCGCCGATCCAATCAACTGCGGGTGCTATCCCCATTATGAATGATAAAGGTTAGTGAAATTTTGGAGTTGATGGCAGTGCATTGTTGAAATTGTGCGTCGAAATTTAACAAATAACAAATGTGGTCATGTATATTATTATTTCAACATGTAAACGAAATGAACTAATCCTTGAAGGATACGTATGTAACTTTTCTCAACTAGATGAGTCCATTAGGATTTTGTTTGGGTACATTATAATACTCCAGTTACGACTTCTGTTTAGTTTTTATAACTTTAATTATAAATCATCTGTTTTAAAGTGTTTAGGGTATTCTTGTGTTACTTGAAGTCAGTGTTATGATTTCCATTACTTCCTCCTTTCTACCAGTTATCCATGAATACCCTTGGAATGGGATGATCTTGCCTTTCAATGAATCTTATCCCTGTTGCACAGGGAAATGCAACTTACTTGAGCACCAAGATGGTCATATTTTCCTTTCTTATAATGCTGTTTAGGGTTTTGGAACTGTAGATAAGAAACCGACTAGAGGTTTGTTGATCTCAAATTTTGTGTATGTTGATGATGAATATAAGAAGAAGATATAGATCTATCTCTTTGACTTTTAGGTGAGGTATCTATGCAGAAAGTTAAAGTCAGCAGATATGTAGCAGGCAAACGGTAAGCATGCACAGCCAACTGGCATAACTGTGTCTTCCAGGTGAACATGCCAGTGCCTGTGTACAGACTCTTCCGGCCCTTCTTTTAACACTGTCTTTTTTACTAAATCATGTTACCATTTAATAGAACCAATTTTACTAAGATGTGATAAAAAAAACTTGAGGCACAAAATAAAAATGGTAAAAGGTCCTCAGTCTAGCAGAGAAATCAAATCATGGAAAATTGTTTTCTAAGCAGTAAGTTCTGTGCTAACTGGTTAGAAAACAGTTTGCCACTATGGATGGAAATTAATTGCAGACAAAACATAGATTCTGAAATATCAAATACACAATACTTATGTTTTGCTGCAAGCCATCACAAACTTTTCATTGAAACTGAAACTGTCATGTCTATTGAATAAAACTAAATTTAAAATAAAAATACAGCTATGTTACACTTTTCACCAGAAACATTGCTTTCGCTTTTCCCAATGTAATTTTTTGTGATGAACCTTATCTTTACAAGTAAAGCTGTGAAACCTGCAACTTGCAAGTGTTTTTCAGTGTTGGTTTAAGCAGCGATTATTATCAAAGATATGGTGCATTGCAGCTACAGTGATGGACATAAGTAATCAGATAAATTAGAAAATAGATGAAAAAAAACAATCTGTAAATTCTATTACAGTGATGTATTGTTGTTTTTTTTACTTGCAGCCCCGAATATGCACCACAAGACTTCAGTGATGAAGAAGATGAAATTGAAATCAGTATGGCTAAGAAAGCCCAGCAGAGGATGGAGGCAGACACAGAAGAAATCACAGAAGCTGAGAAGGAAGACCCTAGACTCCGGAGGCTGATGGAAATGAAGAGGGATGAAGAAGAGGAAGATGATGATGATGATGCTGTTGAAGAAAGGTACAGTAAAACAGATGTAATATAAAGATTCTTAAGGTCATACAAAGATATCATTGTTACCACATATATACAATAAATTCCTGATTTCTTTTGTTTGAAAGAAAGTAACTGAAGTCACCATGTTTAAGGTGGGTAATAAAGAGGGCAGAGAGTCTGGTTAGACTCCAATGTCTTTTCCAATTTGAAGATAACATTGAAAAGGTCTTGATACATTTTGACAAGATCCTTGGATTTATACCAGTTCCACCTCTATGAACCTAATGTAATTGATTTTAAAAAGAAAAACAATAATTTAAATTGATACATACAGAGCTAATGAAAATTTCTCACTAATGTAATTGATTTTGATTATGAACAATTTTTACTGGCTGATTCAGAGTTGCCCGCAGGCGTCGCGTCCATGAGCCTGAAGTTATAGCTGAGGACTCTGATGATGAGGAGGAGGAAGAAGAGGAGGAACGCCAAGAGGAGGAAAGGCGAAGGCGTGTAGAACCAATGGAGGAGAGTGAAGAAGAAGATGAAGAAGAATTAGATGAGGAGGTGTGATATTGACTATATTATTAATTTTATTTATTTATTTATTTATTAAGTAGTAGTAAGTAGCATGATTAATGTTATTTGTAATCTACTGCAATGGTGTGTTGCAAGTTATATCCTTTTGAAGGGTGTTTTTGTCATTAGATGTTGGTAAATATTTTTTTCTTGTTAAATGTTTTCAAATTTCTTAAATGAACTGTTATGAATTTGCATTTTCTGTAGTATATACAGTGAAGAAATAATTTTTTGCAGGAAATAGAGAGAAGAAGAGCATTATTGCGACAAAAAGCTAGACAGAGACAAGAAGAAGATGTAAGTTATTTAAAAGCCTCTGCAATAGAAACTTTGGTGCTTAGAAATACAAATTTGAGTTAAGTTCCATGTTTATTTAAATGAAAATATATATATTTGAATAAACAGTCTGTACAAAAAAAAAAGACTTTAATCTTGAATAGAAACCCCCACCAAAAAGAAAAAGATATCTTTGTACTAACAAAGTAAACTGTGTATGATATTTTAAGAATTAAGTCTTCTGTGCTGAGAATTGTGCAGCCATGTCCCTGAAAGAGAATATTTTTCATTATTCTTATTATAAAATCTCTGGCAATATGATGAAAAACTCTGTAGATGGAGCCTATTGGGCTGTACACAATGTTTTTTTATCCTACAGGAAGTAATGGAAGTTGAAGATGAAAACAAAGAAGGGGAAAGTGAGGAAGAATCATCAGAATATGAAGAATTCACAGACTCAGAAGATGAGGAGACTGGGCCAAGGCTGAAACCAGTCTTTGTTAGAAAGTAAATAAAGAAGATCTTACTGCATCTTAAGTTGTGAATAGTGAAGACTTTAGAGGGTTGGCAAAGTCTTGTCTTGAGAATTGGCAGAGTTTTGTGTTGGTGCTAACTTGCAATGAAGACAACATGTAGATATTTCTTATTAGAATTTATGCTAAAAGGATTATGTTAGCAGATACCTTGAACAAATTTGAGCATTTGATTAATTTATAGAATTTCAATTAAATACAGAAACTGAAAATTTCAGAAAAGACAGAGTTACAATACAAGAGAAGGAAAAGGAGGATATAAAGTCCAGAGAGTTAGAAGCACAAGCCAAGAAATTGGCTGATGAACGTAAGAAAGAGGCTAGAAAGGTAAGATAATTTTTAATACATAGATCAGCATTTCAACCTTTTAGAATAAAAGTGATCTGTGAGTACATCAGATGCAAAAGATGTATTAAAAGGATATGAGTATTGTAATAAAGTTAAAATCTCCAAGAGTGTATTAGAATTCATGAAATTTCATGTACAGAAGCATAACATGTATATGAAATAGAACATAAACTTTGGACATCTTTAGTTCATATCTTATTATTTTAAGTACCTTTTCATTTATTTTAGTCATCTGATTCTTTTCATTTTACCCATGCACTGAACATTTTATATGGATTTTAGACTATAAATAAAAATTATTATTATTATTATTTTTATTATAATTATTATTATTATATGCATTATTGTTATATAATAGCTTGTGGAGGAGCTCACAAAACAAGAGATGGAGGAACAGAGAGATATAGCTGAGGCCTGCGATGCTGTGAACTCAGAGGAAGAAAATGATGAAGAAGAGTATGAAGCTTGGAAGGTGCGAGAACTCAAGAGGATAAAGAGAGACAGGGATGAGAGAGAAGCGTAAGTTTTCCTACTTGATTGTGAATTATTGTGTGTACAACATGTCGAATTTTTTTTTAGTCACATTTTCAACTTTTTTCTGTTTCATTGTAATTTGCATGAATCCAATATAAGCATTATTACTCCACAGTGAGTGTTGAATTTATTATAATGAAAGAAAGACAATAAAAGAATTGATTAAAGCAATAATAACTCTTCGTTTCGGCCAAAAAATGAAATTTTCCTGGAGTAAACAGCAATTTTCCCATACTTACCAATGGTTAATGAATCCATTTTTACATTCAAAGTTAGTCCCTGGTTTTTTTCTAAAAAGTTTGTTTTTTTGTTAAAATCTCTTGAGAGATTTTAACAGAGTATAGACATCAGTGGAGGTCACGTGGTCTAAAGACAAGTTCAAATATCAGAATAAAAGCTATAACTGCTGTTTTTGTGGTAAAACCAACATATATTATATTTCTATGAGTTATTCACAAGGTTTTTATTGTGAAATATAGATCTCATACGAAGAGTTATTATCCCTTTAATAATTTTGTCAATATTTTCATGGATTTAGACTGGAGAAAGAAAAAGTGGAGATTGATAGAATCCGAAACATGACAGAAGAGGAGAGGAAAGCAGAGCTAAAGGCCAACCCTAAGGTTATCACAAACAAAGCTTCCAAAGGAAAATACAAGTTCTTACAGAAGTACTATCACAGAGGAGCATTCTTTTTGGTCAGTACTGCAGTTTCAAACAAAACTTTTGTTATAAACTTAATTTTGATGAAGTCACAAAACAGATGAGATAGTGGCTAAATCTGTCATCTTTATGTTCTTGTATTATAATGAAATGGTCGAGGAAAATGACAGGATTTAAAATTTGTATGTGCTTTCAGTAATGATATGTTGTGTAGTTTAAAAGGCAGTTCATTAAAGTATTCATTTTAAGTCTTGTAAAAATGAAATATGGATTCATCATTTGCCCATCTGACTGCCTCTTATTCTGCTTTCTCTTTTCATTTCTAGCATGACAAGGAGGATGCTGTGTATAAAAGGGACTACTCTGCTCCCACACTGGAAGATCACTTTGATAAGACAGTGCTGCCTAAAGTCATGCAGGTTTGTACAATGTCAAGATATGTGAGGAGGAATTATTGGTTAAAGGTTGGGGGGGTCATGGTTTTTACATATTCAAAGGGGTTGGGAGGCTCAGGACATAGATAATGGGAAAGAATGATGGGTAGAATTTTTTTTTTTTTTTGTAAATACTTCAGGATGTTTACTTGGATCATTATTTTGATGAATTGAGCAGCCTGTGTAGTCTTCAGTGAAAAATGGTTAATCAGGCTGAAACCAGACCTTGTCCAACCAAAACGTAACTATTTGGTCTACTGTTGCATCTGTGTCTGGCAACTGTGTTTGACAAACACCTCTTATTTCTTTCAGCTTTCTACCATACTGTTATTTGCTGATAATATTTTCTCTGTCATATGATAACTATCATCAAGGATGAAACTTGAAATTTAAAGAACAATTTTCTTACGTATCTTACTTCAGGTGAAAAACTTTGGTCGCTCAGGTCGTACAAAATATACCCACTTGGTGGATCAGGACACTACAGAATTCAATTCACCATGGATCTCAGACACTGCAGCTAACTTAAAATTTCACACCACGAAAGGGGGTGGCATGAAAGAGGTGTTTGACAGACCCTCTGCAAAGAAGAGAAGATGATGCATACAATGTAGGATAGCTCTGGAAAGACTGATGGAAATACTGGAGGGACTGCTCCACATCTGTGAACACCATGTGTGTCTGTAGAAGCAGGCATATGCATCATATTGATGGTAATCATGGTGGGAGCTGGATTTAATTTTGGATGGAACTGCAGTGTGTTCCAACTGGGAGTCAGGATTTTACAAATTTGATATGATTCAAGTTTGGGGAAATGGATTTCCTATGGCTTCAAGAGAGCTTGGCTGTGGTTCCTAATGAACATTGGTCAATGAGGAGGAAAAGTCTATTAGTAATGCATCTGAATAAAGACTTTTAAAATAGCACCATATTCTTGGGCAGCTTGGAGTTAACTATGGCTGCATTTTAGTTTCACATGAAGAGGAAGCAATGTTTTTGAAAACTGATATCTGCCTTATGTACACTTGAGAAAAGTTTCTGGTTCAAAATGAAGTTAACAAGACTAATATTCATGTGTGCCAGAAAACAAAATGTATAAAGCAGAAGTAAAATGTGAAAACTAAATTTTTTTAAATAAATTTTTCAGATAACTATAAAGTAGTTTTCCTTGTATATGCAAAACTGCAAAAATTCTGCAAACTGCTCCTTTAAGGACACACTATTTAGAGTGTGAGACATGTTTTTGGGGTACAAAACGGAGCAAGTAAAAGTAAAATCAAAAGTATGTTTAATGGCTGTTAATGACATAATTTTCTAGTGGGTAAAAAAGGAAAATTAACATTCTACTGATGGACACTAAATTCAGGGGGTTCGAACAATCCACCCTAAATTTTGGGAAAGGGTCTGCTGTTGATAAAATTTTATCCTGGTACATGTAGGTTTCATGTTAAAAGGTCCTTTTTTCTTTTTCAGAAACCATTTGGAATTGCTCTGTGCCAGTTTGTTATGTTATTTAAATGAAAAAATTATGTAGTATACTAGTAAGATATACTAAGAATAAATTGCTCTTTGTAAGTAATACAAACGAATTGCTCTTTGTAAGTTTCGCCATGGCGGTATTAATATTTTTTTCTGAAAGTGCATTTCCACCACTTAGATATCAATCTAAACAATTCTGCCCAAAATCGTGCACAGAAACAAATCGGGCCTATCTCAAATGATCCGGTCGAGCAGGTTCTAGTCGTTCATGAATTTAAGATAATAGTTAGTGTTAGAATTAGGATGATTAATGTTCTGTTTGAGGCATTCAATTTGGTGCACAACCACTTGTATTTTCCCTTCTTTTTTTCCATCTGCTGGGAATTCCCCGAGATGGGAATTCCTTCATGACGTCATGTCATGTGACGATATATCGGGTCAATAAATCCAATATGGAGGGAAGGTGATGCACCTTTGCCGGTAGAAAATAATCAAAATTGAAAAGAAACTTTGCTTAACTTAACAATTTCCGTTTACCATGGATGGACACACAAGGAGATTGTCGTAAGTATGACTTTCATTACTAGTGACCCCTTGCGATATTTATATCTTACCGCAGTACCAGTAGCTATTGATGACAGATGTCGTTCTAAATTTCCATTGACGAAAAAACCTCCGGTATAGACCTATAATGAAACATAAGCAACTGCATAATGCCTTTGTAGTGTGCTCTGTATAACTATTGTAAGATTTATCGGACTTGAGCCATGCCAAGAATTCAGAGTTGAAAAGGAAAGTTTTCTTGGTCATATGATTCAGCAAGAAAAGGGTGAGAGAAGCGTAGAAAATGGATTTATTCACATTGAGATCTAAGCAGCTTGCCTTGAAGCAGAAAGGACAAGTTGGACAACCAAAACCATTGCACTACAGCTACTCAGGAATTTTTTGCACATATGTAGATACATTTACTGTATGTACCTTGCCCTCGAACATAGCGTACTACATTAGTGGATATTCTTTGGACACTATATATTATTATCCCAGTAACTGTGTGTTCATAGATGACAGCAATGTACACTTACATGTAGTTTGCATTGGCTACATTCAGCTTAATTATTGATTTATCAGGCCCGGAGCCAGGGGGTTGGGGGGGGGGGGGGTGTTTGAACAATCCAACCTAATTGTCAGGAAAAGGTGTGTTGTCAATGAAATTTTATCCTGGTACATGTACTGGTAGGTTGTATGTTAAAAGTTAATTTTTTAAAAGAAACCCTTTGAAATTGCTGGCTCTGTGCCTGTTTGTTCTGTTATTTATATGAAAAAAAAAATACATGTAGTATATTGTACTAGTAAGATATGCTAAGAATAATTTTGAAATCAATTAATTTGAATACATGATTGGTTTTGGCTTAACCTGATTCACATAACTGCAAACAATTTATCATTTCTAGGTATTATTATTATTATTTTCTTTCATCCCTTTTTTTTATGAAATAGCGTACCTTTTTTGTTATTTATGGAGTACACATATATGGAAGTGTTTGGAACATTTCATATTACATTTCACCAGTACTATATGGTGTCATTCATTGATGATACATTGCATTTTATATGACTTTTCTCTGTTAGTAAAAAGAATCTTTTGAATTGAATCTGTTATTTGTCCTTGTGGTATATGCATTTTTTTTATTCATTTATTTATATTATTTCTTCTTATCTTGCAGAACCTCAGGCCAGAGCCTCTACAGAGTGCTGGGTCTACAGAAGGGTGCAACACATGAAGAAATCAAAAAATCCTATAGAAAGGTAATGAATACTGAGACATTGGTCAATGAAATCAATACTTGGATACCAGAATATCCATAATTGTATTCTTGGTTCGTTGTTTGATAAAATATGAATGATGTCAGTGTCACATTCTACAGTATTTGGGATAAACAAAATACTAGTAATAAAAAAGGTTTCAGGTAAAGAAATTCTTTCTGCTACCTAACTTTGTTAATTCTCTGCAGTATTCTGGGTACTGAATTTCTTCTTTATTCCAAAATTGTGCATATTGAAAAATAAGTTCCTGAGGCCTTTTTTCTCTCTTTAATTTTTACATGTAGGAAATTTGTTTTTAAAATGTTTTCTACCAACCATCTAATTACTAGTAATATTGTTTAGAAAACCAGAGAGATCTTCCCAAATTTAATTACAAGATAATGTTGTAATAACCATTAAGACATAATGTGTGTTTGAAAGATCTTCACTAATGTTGTTAAGATATATCTTTTCAAATTAAGGTCACTGACAAAGCTTTTCACAATGTAACTTCCCTCCATTACACCACTTACATTCCTGAAAATCCTTTTATTCAATTGTATGATACCATGAATATTGGTTGCTTTTATATTTTGAAAGCCAGGTAAATATAAGAGTATATGAATTTAATAAGGATGTTAAAGGTTTTTAATTCACGTTTTCTAATTGAACACTTATCAATGAAATCTTATTGGTTCCCCCTGTTTTGCTGAATTGTTGGCTATCATTAAACCAACACATACTTGATTAGATTTTATTGACCTAGTTACTGGTGAAGGCAAATTCCAGTTTGTTATCGATAAAACATTGTTCCTTTTTTAGACCCATCATACTTGCAGGGCCGAAGGTTTATTTCAGTACAGTGTTTGAAAACTGTAAAGGGTGCAACATTTTCCCCTCTGTACAAATCATATAACTGTGAACAGTAGCTAAATACATACGGATATAATTACAATTATCTAGAAGCTAAAATATCTATCTTGGATCCTAAGAATTAGTGAACCTGCATGATGCATATTTGATTTTTTGCACTATTATGGAAAGAATCTATTAATTATTATCATTCCATGTTTTCTATTTTAAAACTAGGTACAATGTTGAATTCCTAATCTTCATAATGTCATATGTTTTAGTTAAATGTATAGTGACCGATTACATGTGTTGTACTACAAAGTTTTTTCAATCACCTGGCAAGAAGGTGGCAACTTTTTCAGTGAAAAAAATCAAGTTTACTGGAACATGAGAATATCGACATGGATTGATCATAAGCTGACATGTCTACAGTACTCTGCTTGCTTGAACTCTCACAAGTATCAGATAACCTCTTGACACATTTCCTCCATGTTCTTATAACAAAAGCTTTGAGAATCCACCCCCTGATAAAGAATTCGCCCAGCCCTTAAAAAAATATCAGAGTCCACAAATGCATATATTTGTCATATAATATAGAAGTAGTACATATGATATAATATCTATGTAGCACATTAGTATATAGTATTACGTGACAGAGAGGCTGCAGGACAAAGAAGTTATCAATATAATGATGAAATAGTATTGATCCAGGTAGGCAGGGTCAGTATAGTTTATCAGTATGTATGGAGTGGATTGTGTAGGGTTTAAGAATCAATAACCCTGTGTAGTACTGTGCTGTGGAAGTGGGCTGCCTGCAACATCTTTCTTAATTTGATTGCAATTTCCATACTTAAAGTTGGTGTTGGGATGTAAAATTAATATTATAAAAGGCAAAATTTGTTCATCTTAATTCTAATATTTCACTATTAGGAGGAGTGAATTGTCTATGAGTCTCGATGTTCATTACAAGGGAACAAACTACCAATAAGTTGTGATCAGAGAGATACAATTCTAGTAGAAAGACTGATGAGATAAAGATGATTAAATTACTTTTCTCATCTGTCTGCTTTTGGGACTTTAAGTCTGCATATGAACATAAACTTTGTAAGCCAATTGAATTTTCAGCACGTATAAGCTTCAAAAGCAGTTAATTCAAGAATACAGCTGGCTGTTTCTTTTATCATTCTCTTGCCTTCACTAAACAGCAGATACCATTAGTTACCCAACAATAGATTTAATTCCAAAAATGCATTTTAATACCAATACATTCTTTTCAGATTTGTAATAGCTTATATTGCATAGCTATCATTTCAAATTTGTATACTAGTACCTAAGACCTGTGTTTTGATTTTCAGCTTGCACTGAAGTATCACCCTGATAAGAATTTGGATAACCCTGCTGCTGCAGAACATGTGAGTATACCATAATGCCATCTCATGTCAACACTGATCATTCTTTCGTAGTACTGTTATTTTATAATACCACTTGTTATATGTTGGTTTAATAGTTTTTTAGAAGTGTGTTTGTGCTTTTTCATGTTGATGTGTTTGTGTGTGTGTGCGTGCATGTGCACGTGTGTGCTTGGTTGCTAGCTTGTTTTGTATATGTATATGTATGTATGATTGTCCTTTCATGCCTGCATATACAGGGTACCGTACTGAATGTATTAAAGTTTACAATAGGATTTTTCATTGTAAATATATATATATATATATATATATATATATATATATATATATTTGAATTTTTTTTATTTTCCTTTTTTCCAGTTTAAAGACATAAACCATGCCCATACAGTTCTTAGTGACACAACCCGCCGAGGCATTTATGACAGATATGGTTCTCTGGGTATTTACATAGGGGAGCAGTTTGGAGAGGAAAATGTCAATGCTTACTTTGTGCTCACAAGTGGCTGGTGCAAGGTAAGGAATTCATTCTGTGTCAAAATAAAGTGAGTTTTAGAAATGAAAACATAGAATGCCAACTATTGAAGTAATGACACGCTTGCAATTGGTTAATAACAGTAAACTGGATTTGAGTAAATAAAATATTTAATTGCAATGTCATGCATGTTTGCATTTGATAGAAAAAGATGAAAAAATATGTAGAGCTATTACTGCAAAAAATAATTGTGCATAATGTTTTGAAAGTTGATATTGCTGACTGGAGGAGGGGAAAGATGAAACATCTCAATGCTATCTTGTCTGCAACCAGTTTGTTTTCTAGGATTATAGATGCTATCATGTTATACTGTATTTTGTCCTAGATATATTTCTGTATATAAAGATATTTTCATTCAGATGTTGCAAACTTTTTAAATTAAACCCATACTTTACTTTGATTTTTTTTCATGCTGTTTGTCTTCGGTATCTCTAAAGTATCATAACCATGAATTGATGTAGCAAGTATCACTTTTATGGTAATTACTATAAGTGACCCAATTTTAAATCAGGCATTAATAAAAACTCACATTACCCACATGTACTAGTACTGTATAATCCTGATGAATGCTGCACGTCTACCATGATTCATCTGTGTTCATCATTTGCTGTTATTGTAAAGTTTAGGGCCATGGTGTGGTACAGGTATTAAGACACTCACAGGACATGTGTTGCCATGATCTTGTGCACATATACCAGTACATGTAACGGTATATGCTGCTTGTATGGCCAGATCATGGATATTGAACCTGTGGTTTTACTCACAGTCACGACTTTGGTTTAGATTATTAAAGAAAGACTTTCATGTGTAGTTGAGGTTTTTTTTACAGCACAGATAAGTACTAGTACATGTTGCAAACTAGAAAGGGGTTTCAACAGAAAAACATTGCTTATTAGGAACAAAATGTCTGTGAGGAACTAAGATGACAACACTGTTGTGGCCAAGGGTCAGCTATATGAGTGGAGTATCTGGTGTGAGTTAAGATATTCAGTAAATCCGAGCAATGACAAATTGAAATGGTGAACAGTTTTGATCACATACATTTTGTATGCAACCATGACATAGTGGAATCAAACTTATGGAAACTTCACAGTTTTAAGGCTTTTTTTTCCAAAAAAGAGAATTTGTGTATGTGTGGACCCTTGTTTAAAAACATTTTTGAAATATATGCATCTGCAAAGCAAGTGGTATATTCAGAGAGGTTCTGTTTAAAAGAGCACACTGCTAGTTTTCTTCTAATCTCTTGTACACTCTCTTCACTGTTATTGTGGATGCAGTAGATTAATCAAAAGAATACAAAGTTTAGTTATATTACTTTTTTTCCTTAATTCCAGGCTCTTTTCATATTCTGTGGAGTTATCACTGGGTGTTACCTCTGCTGTTGCTGTTGTTGTTGCTGCAACTTTTGCTGTGGCAAATGCAAGCCTGCACACCCTGAGGATGAAGGCAAATATGCTAATCTACATGTGAGTATATGAAATGGAGTCCTAACCACCATGGGGATTAGGAATAGGGGTGCACTGTTTAGATTAGCTCTCACAATTATGATAAGAACATTGCTTTCTCTAGTCTTTAATTAAATGATTTTTGCCTGATCAAAAAGTGGAAGTAAAGCAAAGATAAATAAGATAAATGTGTTGTGATATATCGGATATTGTTGAAAATATTTCATGTTTTTTGCCCAAATAATTGCCTAAAATCTACTATAGGAAGCTAAAGAGCAATTAATCATTCAGTCCTTGTCTTCATATTAGAAAAATGAAGGCTGATACCAAACATGAATGAGTGCATTCTGGCTTGAGTAATTTACATCTGTTCAAAAGAGCAATTTAATTGTATTTTTTATTTGCCTCTACCCCTTTATAAATTTCAAGTGACAATAAAATTAAAGGTCGTCTGTTTTCTTTGAATATAGAAAGCAAATGTTAAGTCCTCATTATTTTCTGGGAGGGAGAATTCTATGTTCTGTTTATGAAAGAAAACACATGATGGTGCCAACCTGTCAATAACTTACCCTCTACCAGGGCGAGTGATAGATTTTTTTACAGGTATTCACAGATATGTCTCTAGCTAGATAGATAGTCGTTTACAGCTGAACTCACCCTGTTAAGGAATCTCAAGGCTGATTACATGGCTGATAATCGTTTGCATAACTACTCAGGCACTGCCACTTAGCAGGTCCAGTCTAAGTCTGCGTGACAGCAATCAAGACAGTTAATTACTCTGACTTCAATCACTTGCTCTTCTGTGACAGATAAAAAAGCCTTAGACTGGTTGCGTAACGAGCAGTTATCACATGGTTGTGAAGTGAAGCTCATGCAGAGCAAGTACAAAGCCTTTGGCGCGCGGGCAGAGATAATTGCTCCCACATGGGATTCCTCAACAGGGTGGGTTTAGCTGAAAATGACCATCTATCTAGCTAGAGACATATCTGTGAATATCTGTAAAAAATCTATCACTCACCCTGGTAGAGGGTATCAATAACTGTTGTAGAGTCATGGAATCAAGCATCTCATTGTTTTAACAAGTCTTAAAAAATTGATTTCTGTTAAGAATGTTTTTTACCTTTTACAGATTGGTCTTTACATTTCTCTGGGTGACTTTCTTTTGAGACATTTCATTGTTTTTGAATTAATGACAGCTTGTTGCAGAATTCTTATAAAACCATTCATGCTGTTCTTGGTCAGCTTTGCATGCATTAATACAGTCATTTGATAAGAAGTGCAATAGAATGCAGAAATTTAACAGATCTTTGATATTCTTTTCTTTTCTCTACCATCTTCATTTTATTTTTAATTAATTATTTTCTTTTAAGCTTCAAATAAAGACATTGTATCTTTTGCTATTATAAAAATAGGCAGACCATGTTATGTGTAGAGTGTACCTTTATCATGTACTGTCATAAGTATGCTGTATATTAAATAAATGACTTGGGTGGTCCAGTATAAGATAATATGTGAGTCAATATTATAATGATATATCAAAAAGGATAATATTGTTTGACATCCATAGTATTTTTTTTTTTTTTTTGGGGGGGGGGGGGGTGCATTCACTGCTTGATTATTGTTTACTGTTTGCAAATAAGTCTCAAATAAATTTGTAACAGGAGCTTGCAAACACACACAAACAAACACACACGTTTACATGTATATCTATGCTTTGCAGTTCTGAATATGATAGTTAGAAATGGTTTTGTGTACACATTATGTAGCACTAGTATGTAGCTTCATTTATATACACACTCCTTTCATTTGTTTTTGTCTGTATTATTTATTTGTTGTAACTCAGCCGGATGATATAGAAGCCATGATGAAAGCAGAAGAAGAGGCGGCTAGGAGAGAAGGGAAGAAGGTGAATGTCAGCAAAGATAAAGAAACATTTGAATATTCACGTAATTTAGTGCCAGATTTTGTGTGGAGAAAATAAAACTGAAAATTAATCTCCGGCTTTTTTGTGTTGGTTTGATATCTTTTCTTGCTTCACTTAAGTTATAACCATCTTGCCTTCTTTGCTTCTTGTTTTCATTCATTATAAATTAACACTGCTACCCTTCTTGCACAATTTTTTCAAATATCATGGTGATTTGAATGGTGCACACCATGCATGTGCAAAATAAACTACTGTATGTCTAAAGGTCTAGTCAAAGTTGCAATAACCCATGGTTTTCCCCTTGTAGTAAGGTTTACTGTAGGTGATGTACTGGGAGGGTTTCTCCAAACACTGCCTTCAAACAAGATGGCATTTCTAATTGCTTTTTAGTTTCTTTCTTTCTTAGTGGATGCAGTAGGTGATACAGTTGCAAATAACTAACTAGCTAATAATCTTTGCTCAATAAATATAAAAATGTACATGTAGTACATGTACCAGTACTACTTTGGTAATTTCTTTAATGTGTTTACTAAGTTTCAGGAACTCCAAGATATTTAGAGTCTGATTTATAGCATTTAAAATATTTGAAAAGAACATTTTAGTGATAAGTTACTGTTTATAAGCATGGAGTCCCCCACTGCCTTGATTTTTAAAGTAAGTCACTGTTAGGGTTTTAAAAAAATAAATGTAAGAAATTTGGAATCAGATGTTTTCAGGGGTTGGAGTAGCAGTTATTTTATCATGGTATTGTGAAATACTTATTAATTTTTCACCTTTTATTTATTTTGAAATTAATAAATATATGTATATGTGCATGATGCATTTTATATCTTAAGCTTTTTCTCACATACATCTGTATTTCACAGTGACTTTTCTTTAATTATCCAGTAAGGAAGGGATGTTGGATAAGATGAGCTTATAAGTTTGATGATTGACACAAATTCATAATTTATTTTCAAGGAGGAGTTCAGCAGTGATGAGGAAGGAGAAGGTGAAGACGGCCCTGTGACATCACAACCAAAGTCCTCTGCATTTGCAATGCCCCCAGCAGGAGACCAGAACGCAACATCACAAATGGGGCCAATTCCTATGCCTCCTCCACCAGATCATAGCCAGAACATGGCCAATGAAAAGACAGGTTTAAGATCAGATGATGTACCCACGTATGGGGTAGATGTAGGACATTCTTCATAGATTGTACAATAGATGGAGAAAGACGGAGATCTGGTTCATGAAAATACAAGACAGTATTCATAAACAGTTGAAAAATTGGGTGCAATACATGTCTTGGCTGTATAATGTGATGAGATATGTCACATTCTTTTTATGTGATAACAACAGATATGAAGCTGCCGTCAGTGGTACTTTATTGTAGAGGAAATATTTCAGTTTCTTTGATGATGGTTGTGTTTGTTAGATATACTGCTGTGGCTAAAACCAGGATAACAATATGCAACCAACATTCATAGAAGTGTTGGCAAGTTCTGGTCTGGCTATATAAATGAACAACTTACCTTGAGTCCCTTTCATCCAAAATTAAGACAAACATTCACAACATCATCAATACCAAATAGGCAAACAACACTGGGTATTAGTTGTTCGAGATTTTGTGATAATTTTTTTTATTTCAATTATGTAATTGTGCCCAATAATATTCTCGGGTGTATTCAGTTTAAATATATTTTACCATGGGCTTATTTCCACAATGTACCATAGGTAGGCTTTCTGGGAATTCACAATCTTAAACTTAATGCATTAAGTATTAGTTAAGCACATTTACTAGTATTTCCTTATCTACTTATGGCACTGTAGGCTTATCAAAATAAAGAGGTTGTTGCTGTAAACTATAGTTACATACTAAAAACTTATTGCAAAATAGATTTAGATTTGATATGGCATATATTCCCATACATCACAAAGGATATTCCAGTTTAGTAAAATCGAGTGTGCTGTAAAGAAAGACCAATTGCAGCTAAAGCAGTCGTGTCTCATAAATCTCCCTGTAATTGTAACATTGCCAACAAATATAGAGAATCCAAAGAGTAGTCTCTGAGAAATACCAGTATACCCTATCTTTGCCAGCAATTAAGGTATCACTTGGAAAGTACAAAATTTCCAAAAGGATATATATAGAGCTCTGATGTTGTAGTTTAGGAATATAATGCCAGAAACTGTTTTGTTTCAGATCTTAGTTTTTCTTCATCTTTTTATTATTTTTTCTTCTGTTAGAAAGTTTCTAAACATGAATATTTGAAAAGAATGTAACTTTAAAAAGATATATAGACATAAATGTAGATCATTAGTGTTAGAGTTAATCATTATATATACTGGATTAAGGACATGCACTACAAACTGTTTTTTTATTGTATTGTGTATTTAAATGGGCTATGATATGTGTCTAGAAGTGAGAATATTATGCGAAAAAAAGCTTTTTTATTAAATAGGGGCATCTAGCTAGATAGAATGTGTAGACAATAATGGTTATAATTGAAGCATGCATGCAGAAATTACAGAAAATTAGAGGCCAAGAGTTGGGTGGTACACTGTGGTACCATGACAGAGACATGACAGCAAAGTACAAGTTTATGTATGGTCCAGTTTTGACAGCTTAATTTACAGTAGCACTGCATTATCTCAGTGTAATGGATATGGTAATGACTTGATCTTTTCAATGGCCAAAAATTATTAATTTTCAGATACATAATTATATAATCACTAAAATTATGTCAATGTAGCATTAATGGTGCTTTGACTGCATAGAATAGAGTAGCCTGCTTTGTTAATGTTGTTGCTACCACTCATTGGAAATGTTCTAAACTTAAGAAATAATGAGAAATTTCAGTATCTGTAAAATTCACAATTTTCCCCAATTGAAAAGATTGAGTTATAACCGTACTTTCTGCCATGTAATTCTGCAACTTACTATGGTGGTAGTTACGTAGGACTACTGAGGAATAAGGGCTCATTCCCAATGAAACTATTGTTCTATGTAGATATAGCTTCAACTCTGCAGGGACTCTCACTGAATGCAACCAGATTAAGAGATTAACAAGCCTTCTGGTGTAGAGCAGAGTACAGTAGAGCTAGTGATTATACCAGGACATTGAGAACAAGAGATGTGTTCATTTGATTGCATTCAGCATGAGTCCCCATGGAGTTCACTACTGAGATAGTACAGCACTACAGTCACTTGAATCAATTGCAGCTATATAACTTGTGGTGTACGTGTTGAGGTGGTGGATCTTGCAGGCTATTGCTTTATATAGAATGGGTTATCAAGGCAGTTGTTATAAACACAAGGTCAGAAATATAATAGAATGACTTTGGAACACATTTGCAAGAAAAGACTCAGGTCACTGCTTGTTATTACAGAATGTATTGTTTGGTGATTAGACATTCCATTACTTTGTGTGCAAAGCTTCACTAGAAGTGTTTTAAAACCGATTAATGTCTACAGTCTGTGGTCATAGTTAATGTAATGTATTAAGAGTAAAGAGCAAGTCAAAACTGTATACTAGTCTCATCCCCATGTGCAAGATTGGTAAGGTATTCTATTTTGCCAGTCTTTCTGTGGTTGAGTTTATCATACAGCTCAGTTATTGAAGTGCAATGCTTGATGCATTTTGATGTGCATGCATGTGTATATATATATCACTTTTATGGGATTGTATACGGGATTGTGACGGAAAATAGTTGTTTTTTAACATGTTATCTCCTGGAATCTTCAGTTTATTTTCTAGTCTTTATCAACCACCACTCCATAGAGTACCACATCCAAACATATCCTATGGACGTTTTTAAGATCACATTTATTCTCAAGGTCAAGTGAATTTTTCGCAAGTATTCCTTATGCTTTATTTAAAGTAACCAGGGGGTTATATTTCATAATTGTATAAGTTTAAACCGAGTTAAATAATTTTGGACTAATGTTCAAACTCTGTAAAAAGAAAATGGGATGATTTATTACTGAACACTGATAATTCTATATACCATCCATTAAAGTGATTTCTACATATTTCTGCACTGTAGGTTGTACTGTTCGTACATGGACATATTCCGACTGAAATATTATCTCTGTTCATACAGAACTTTAGATTGTAATCAGTTGATATAATGTGCAGGTAAAGTAAAGGATGAGAAAGTATCATTTTCTGTGCTGTTTTCTCTGCATTATGTTTCCTCAGACTAAATGTCTCATTTTTTTTCTAAATGGTCCATGTCCTCAGAAATAATTTAGAAAAATACAAAAGTTTACTGAAATTGTATTGCATGAGCCTGGTCACATGTTGGAAATAAGAACAGGATGACAAAAACTTCCAAGGTCAAGGAAACCTTTCAATATCCACAGCAATTGGAGGCACATTCGACCCAAAAGTACAATTTTCAACATCAGTTGGATTAAGCAACAAAATCATTATGAATATTACAATTATTTATTGACATTATCCTGGCAAAGCTAGCCAAAGCTTCAGAGGGGTCAGTCTCAAACCAGCTCATTTAATCTGACCATCCAGAAAAAAACTAGATGTAGGATCAGAAAGCACATAAAACCTCATGGAATACACCACATTTGTCACTGGTCACACAGGTCAATGGTTTGTTCAAAATGCATGGGATTCCAAAAATATGTACATCACTATTTCTGGTAAAAATACATATTAACAAATTTACAATTGATGAAGTCAAAAGTAGATAAATCTTTTCATTTAGAAATGTCCATGATCCTTTTAATAAATATCTCAACAACAATTTAAACACAAGCAATGGAAAAAAATAAATACATCTCTATGGAACAGCTTTTACATCCAGTATTATAATCAAATTTGTTGTTCTTCATTCTCATTTAACCAATATTTCAAATCAATAAAAGTATACATGCAGGAAATGGCTCTCAAGTATCTTCATTCAAAGAGAAAATGCTAAGAAAATGCATCCATTCTGTAACTGATGGATGTAATTAAATGTAATCAACGGTGATCTGTTTCTACTCTTTTAAGTGAAATCATAACTGATACACATTCTGTATGTAACAAATGAGCAAAGCCTCATTAATTAGCAAGGATATGTTGCAACCGATTCTTAATGCAGCATACATGTAGAAAATGCTCTTGAAAACGACCTATTCAAAAAGTGTAAATTGTATTTAGCATTTACCAAAAATGTATCAATATAGAAAACAATAAAGTACTTATACCAGCCCTTGTTAAATACTGAAAAATAGGTCATGACTGGATATTGCTTCAGCTGCTGATAAAAAAATGGAAAATCTGGAATCTGGTGTCAATAATTTGCACCTTAGCAACTTCTCTTGAACTTATTGGGTCAATTTGCATTTCACACAAAATCCCCAACATACTAAGGTCAGTGCACATTTTAAAGTGAGGGGAAAAGGCCATTTCTTGAAGGCAACATCCACCAAAATGCTGAAATAAAATTGGGCCATGGCTCGCAAATTGCAAATTCAACTACTTCCATTATTGTCATAATGGCAGCTGAATTTGTGACAAGTTTCCATGGAGAAAGTTATTTGTACAACTAGTGAATATTAAAATTGCATTTATTTAAGTATTGAATGAAAGGGCTCTGGTGAATGCACAAATTTAAGTTGACGAACATCGTTTGCATTAAATATTTTGACAACAACACTTATGCACAACATACAGGGAAAGGACCTCCACTGGATATAATCTTAAGTAATCGTATTAAGTAACAAACAAGAGTAAAGAGGTTGCCAGTCAATTTTACAGGAAACTTTTATATATAGACACACATTATTGAGGATGAGACCTTTCTTTCAAATCAACCTTATTAAATGACATTGCAATTTCAACCCTGCATATAAAATTGCACAATTGCACCTCCTTTTACACAGACACAAAAGGTCATGATGTTACGTCACTGTCAGATCTTATCTTCACTTCTACACAACATTTAGACTGGAGATATCCATGCAGAAATATACAATTATGGAAAGAATGATATGAAAAATGTGGAGTAAAGGAATCATCTTGCTGTTAGAAGAGGATATTCCGTATGTCAGCAAAACGGTGAAGCTGTTGGATCTATTGTTTTAAACACATCCCTTAAAGTCACTTCTGATTCTTGACCAGTAGAGCCAGCGATAATTTGATCTTGGTCAGCCACAACAGCTTGGTCTCCAAGACTGTTATTTGGTGGCCCATTGGCCTGCTGCTGTGGAGATTGACCACTGTAGCTCGAACTCTGATTAGTTCTACTTAAACCAAGCATTTTCTTGGGAGGTCGACTGTAGACGTTAACTTGCCGACTGTAAGCTGAATATCCAGATTCATTTTGAGAGGATTCTGGCATACTAAGTGGCGATGTGTACTCAACAGACTCCTTATCAAACTTAAAACTTTGATTACCATTTTCGTGCACAGGTTGTAATTGCTCCTGGTTAGAAACCAAACGATCTGCCTTTGAATAAGCTGGTGTGCTGCCCATTAGTGGCTGAACATTTGAAGTTTTCCTCTTAAATCTTGGATCATTTCTGTAATCCACTTTGTTACTGTTACTACTACTACTACTGTTGTCTGGTTGGCTTCTCTGCCTCTGCAATTGCTGTCCTTGTAAATGTAATGGTTTGGCCATTGACAGAGGTGGGGGCTGCCGTAATGCTAAAGGCATCTCGGGGATTTCTTCAGCTTTTTCTTCTGTAGCACCAAGCTGACTGGCAGCAGGCACCCTTGGGTCTGCAGGGCGTGACCTTGGGTCCTGTGGCTTGTGGGGTGGAGTGAGAGCTTGAGCAGCTGCTGCAGCTGCCCTAGGATCCCTTGAACCTCTGTTAGTGTCTGTGGGAGACCTTGATGGGGATTGTCCATTTACCCTCAACATTCTCGGGTCCATTTGACTGAGTAATTTTTTTAACCTTGGATCATTTTGAATCTTAGGGTCTGCTGGGTCCATACCTGGGGGTAGGCCCACCTTTTTTGTGTCAGTAGTCACTATTTTCAGTTGATATGGCACAAGACACTTCATGTCTAGCGTAATAACTTCAAGTTTTTCTGGTTCTTTGTTGTAAGAGGATTGGTTCTGGTTTATTGTATTCAATACATTTTGCCTCCTTGGATCACTTCTTGCCCCTCTTGGGTCTTGGGTCTGTTGTTGTTGTTGTTGTTGTTGTTGTTGCAGTTGCATTCTAGGATCTTGATGCTGTTGTTGATTTCTTGGATCTTGTCTCCCTTGTTGCCTTGGATCTGGTCTGGTGACTGGTGTACTCAGGAGAGGTCTAAAAATACAAACATACATACATAACATTAGTATAAAGGGTGTGCACATTGTCTTCTCTTCGTACCCTTTTTCATTCTTTTTAATGCATGGAAAGTAAGCTCTCTAGTACTGCAGTCTGAAATCAAGGAATTCAACAATTATTTTCAGGATCATAAGAAGAAACTTACAAATAATGATTAACCAACATGACGGGATGTTTTTTGTAGAGTTGAACTTGTAAACCATACCAATAATACTACTACACACTTTGATGTAATATTTAAGTTTGCTCTTTTAAAAACTATTAAATTATGATGTGCTTAATTATTTCTTTCTCTTGTGTAAATATATACAGGTGTTTGTGACACTTTTTGTATGTGGCTTACAAGTACTGCGCATTCTAATAGGTCTTTTATATATACAAACTGTCCAGTGCACATAAAGTACATAATGTACATAAAGAATATGTGTGATGGGTCAATGTTCTGAACTAATAAAACAGACGTGATTTTCAGTGATTTCAATAAAGCAAAACAAGAACAAATCAATAAGTCAATAAATAAAAAGAAAAAATTGCTATTTGATGAGATCACGAAACTTACCTGACAGGAGCTGCAGCAGGCAGGAGAGGTGGTGGAGGGCCCTGTTTAATGACGCTTAGCATTTTGGCAATATCAAACACAGGGGGTGCTGGCCCTGATGCCACTAATGGTACAGCAGGTGGCGGCTGCTGCTGCTGCTGTTGCTGGGGTGCTGACTTGGCAGGCTGGATGAGAGAATGTTTTATTATAAACATATTTATACATTTGATTCACGTGACCAGTGGAAACAAAGTGCTGCATTCATATATTAACTTGTATATTAAATATGATAAGTAAAACTTGATAGCTAGGTTGCTTATTCAAATATCCCACATCTGGTGCTTTGCAAAACAATAATTTCACTTTATTTCGTTGAAGAGGTCTACACTTGCCTCCTTTTTTAAAATGCTTCACTATATTCCACAATTCCATGCACATAATACAAGCAAGCACCACCTCTCGTGAGCAAAATACAAGTGCGATTATCATACTGTTCACAGCACTAGTCATGGGATGAGCTACACCTTAATAATAATAATAATAATACTTGTGCATTGCAGATGATGGGTGACACCTCTTGTAACTAGCATGTAGTTGAGATTAAAATTTACCTGTTGATTAATACTTTTCAAAATGTCTGTTAATTGATTCTTAGATGACCCAGAAGATTCTTCTTCATCACTTGAATACCAATTATCATCTTCTGCTTCTAAAATGAAGGATTAAATGTATCATGTGAAAAATTATGCAATGAAGAAATTATTTAATGAATGTGACAACTATCTTGCATGTGAGTGTGTATCAGCTACCTTAGGTCAAAAAATTTACCTTTGGTTTGGTCAGCACCTTGTTCAGCTTCTGCCAAGTTTTCCTTTTGCTGCTGCTGTATGCGCAGAAAAAGTTCACGCTGTTTTGGTGGCAAGTTGGGTGGGATGACAAAAGGTTTGTTTTCTCCATCACCTTCCATTTCACCTTGCTGTTTTTCATCCCCAGAGCCTGAAAACATAGTTTTTAGTATTGTTCAAATTTGGGTTCAATTTCTTTGTGTAGCACTGACCAAATGCCTTTATAGCATCACTTTAAAATCAAATGGTATCTGCTGTTGTTCTGCTATCTTTAAAGGAAAACTCATAACATCAATTTGAACTCACTGCCTTAACTTGGTCCTTGTAAAATATAACAATAATGCATTTAAAAAAAATCTGTTTCAAGAACATGTGATATTCTCTAGTGTTTACCTTGCTGTGGCTGCTGTTGAGGAATCTGCTGCTGCTGCTGTTGTTGTTGTTGTTGTTGTTGTTGTTGAAGCAGAGGCGGTGGTGGCTGGTCTAGTCCTATAGGTGGTGGTGGCTGACCAAAGAAAGCATCAAAGAACCCAACAGCCTGTTGTGCAGCAGCAACTACTGCTGCAGCTGCAGGGGGAAGTGGGGTCATCCCTGGGGGTGGCATGCTCATGGGACCAAGGGGACCCATGGGAGGCCTGGGAGGCATCACTCCTGCCATTCTGGGAGGGGGGCCTGGAGGGGGCATGCGGGGAGGTCCAATAGGGGCATCCCCAAGGAGCCCAGGTCTAGAAGGGGAAGGAGAAGTCATATCCTTGTAGAAACCAGGCCTGAAAAGAGAGAGCCGTTTAGTAGTTAGAAGTTAAGCCCAACTTATTTTTACCTTCACCTTTAACAAGTTACTTTTTCAAACATGCTGTTGCCACTGAATTACAATGTTTGAACCAAATAAAACTGCACCACCAACTTGACCACTTTACCTGACAGGTCGTGGCACTGGAGAGGCTTGCTGTAGCTGTGGTATCTGTTGTTGTTGTTGTGGTTGCTGCTGAGAAACTGCAGTCTTGGGTGGTGGCTGCAGCTGTGATTGTTGTTGCTGCTGTTCTTGAGGCTGTTGTTGCTGTTGATGTTGTGGTGTTGATTGTAGTTTACTGGGACTCAGCTGCTGCTGCTGTCCTGATTGTGGGGACTGTGTATTCTGTAGCAGTGATGCTGTTGGTGTGACTTTAATGTCAAAAAGGGATGGAATCTTTTTCTGTTGCTCCTTCAATCTCTCCACCTGTTCTTTGATATGACGAGGAGGGGAACCTTATAGAAACAAAACAAATTTAACTTAATTTTCAAATATGGTAAAGTTGGATATCACTCTTTATATCTTTCAATATTTTTATCTTTATTTATAAATCTATTAGAAATTCAATTTCCAGCATAATAAGATAATGCAGCTTACCTAACAGACTTGGTTTCTTAACTTTGGCACCAGGTGGACCTTGAATATCAAATAGATCTTCCTCCGACAAGTCTATTGCCTGCAAGCACAAGGACATGCAAAATAACAATTTAATAATTTATAGTGCAATTTTTTATGCATAAAGAACATATCAGATGACACATATACAAACATTCATTTTCTTTGCTGAAAATGAACTGTGTTTCAAAACCATACAATAAAGGGAGTTCAAGTTAAAATAAGTTAAAAAAAAAAAAACTTCAACTGATGGTATCTTTTACCTTCTGAAGCAAAGGTCTGGTGTCTTCTGTCAGCCGTTCATGAGAGAATTTACAATTTTCCCCCTCATGACATGGTTGTCCAGTGTGATAATACTTGCATGGCCAGTCTTCTGGGAACAGTTAAGGAAACGATTCCAGTCTGACAAAAAAACTATAATTTTTTTTTAATGTTTTAAACTTTATATATAAGCTATACAGATTGATATTTATCAAAATACATTTCTCCTTACAACCAACAATACTTGAATGCAAAGGATACTGTGAAGGTAAATGCAGTTCTCTCCCTTGGCACAGTAGCCTTGAATGTAAAACTTGCAAACCTCCAGCTTCCTAGGTGGTGTGAAGTCATGGTTAAACTGACAGCCTTCACCCTACAAAACAAAAGATCACTCAATAAATTTACAAAAGTAAAAGCTACATATAGTTAGTTGGAGCTGATAGAAAAAGATTACAATGTGAACCTTATAAAAACATGCACATGCTGATTCCACAGAGCTTCCAAACATCATTTTTTGGCATGATTTCTGTACCTTGGCACATTTCCCTTCCTTATAAAACTTGCACTGTGGCCTGTTCATTTGGCGCTGCTGCATCTGCATCTCTCTTTTCATTTGCATCTGTTGTTGCTTTGCAAAATACATCTTCTTTTTCTCCAGCTTCTTCTGCCTGGCAGCAGCAGACATGCCACCCTTTTTTTGTCCTCCCAGTTGAAACATGTCCTACAGGAGAGAACAGACAGTCAAATAAGTTGAAAAAGATGACTTAATGCTCCTTTTCCATCAGATTGATGTCCATTGGGTTTAACAGTTTCATTACCAAGTACAAAGAGACCACCACTGATATCTGTTGGTCGTAAAAGACCCTGTATAGTTACTGAGAATGAATTCCAGTACTGGCACTTTAAAACAACAACAGCAGACAATATAAACATGTTTTTCATATTCTGCTGGGGTGTAGACAAAGGATAAGCCATAGAAACATACATACTTTCCTTGAAAAACCAAATCTGCTGAGAGCCTGGCACAACGTAAGGGGAAATAAGAGAGGGGAGTCTAAGCAGCAGCACAAGCCCAACATGTGGGAGGCAAGTCTCGGCTCTCTGATCAGTCATCTACCACAAAGAACCCAAACAATAACCTGGTGTTCAATCATCTCCCTGGTGCAATAGGCCAACATCATAATAATAAAACTTACCTGTTTCTCATCTGCTGCAATGTTAACATCCATGTAATCTTCGTCCACCATACTCAACAGACTTTTCTTGGATGGTGGAGGCCCATACTCATCATCACTTAAAAAGAAATTTCAAGAAATATAGGAATAAGTCAATACTTACAGCACAGTGATTATCTTGTACAAAAGAAAATGATACAAAAACATGCTGAAGATGGGGAAAATCAACTCACATTATGTGTTCAGATTGTATCATACACATAATATAGGTTTTGTCTCAATGTTAATATCATATTATTTCAGCAAGCACAAAATTAGTTGTTGCTATTAAATTTTGGATGCTGTTGACTGCACACTTACTCTGAATAATCTGGGCTGTCATAGGGTCCTGGAGGACTCATGTATGGGCTGTCATAGGGCCCTGGTGGACTTCTGTAGGGGCTGCCATATGGACCTGGGGGACTGCGGTATGGGCTGTCATATGGGCCCTGTGGACTACTGTATGGTTCAGGCTGTTTCCTGGCAGACACAGGAGGCCAGGATTGTGCTAGGTCAGCATCGTTGACATTATCATGGTCGATGTATCGCTTACGCTTCTTGGACTTTTTCTAAAAATAAATGGGGACACTCTGATAATATAAAATGTATTCTTTGAAGATATAACCAGCAAAGTATTTTAGTAAACCTTTCTTGCAGAAGAGCCATGGTTACTGTAGGCCTTTTCATAACAAGCAAAATTGATGCTGAACACTTCTGAGATGAAAATCAGAGCAACAAACATGACTGATATGTCTCAAATTTCCTTAGCTGTAAAAAAAACATACCCCCAGGGGTTGCATGCATGCTGGTTTGTCCAAGTGTAAGGTTGGAAGACATTCAGTCCAATGTAAGTCAGCTATTTAAAGGCTTTGCCTCTTGGAACAATTAGCTTAAAGTTTATGGATTGGGAAAAATAACTAACATCCATGGTTTATCTACTTATTGAATTCATTACCTAGCACTACATAAAGCTGACTTAACATCTGCCAAATGAATTTCTTGATAGTTATAATAAATTCAATGTTACCGCTCCTACTACAAATTGGTTTTCTTTCAGTTACCTGAAACTTGGAATGTTAAGGAGGGAAATCAAGCTCAAGGCACTTTCTTCAATACTTAATAACACACCTGTGTGATATGCAACTATATCATATAGATTCGAAAATATATCTAGAACAAATTACAATTATTGTGCTGAACAAAATATTACCTGTATGGCTTTAAATAACCACAATGACACATTTGAAATCAGTTTGTTGAGGTGAGATTAGATAAAAGTGAGATTTTCAAATCATCTCACAAATATACATATCTAATTCTGTTACACATTTTATTCTTCTTGAGTTCTTCATACCTTCAACTTTTTCAGTCTGTCCCTTTCTTTTCTTCGTTCTTTTCTTTTCTTACGTCTTTCTTTTTTCTTCCTCTTCTTTTCTTCCAAACTATCCTCTTCGTCTTCCTCCTCACTGCTTTCATCATCTGCAAAATCAAGAACATTATTTCCACTTTTTAACCTTCAACATTCAAGTGTAATTGCATCAGTTTCCTTTTTAATTTTATCACTTGGATGGATGACTTGAGGTTTATACACAAATGACTTGTACAGTTAAACCCCCTTTACACTGGACTGGCGTCTTTTCTGCGTCCTTTATGTGACCATGAAACTGGCATTGGTGTGGTCATAGAAAGGAGGCACAAGCATCCCTTTGGTTGCAGAATGCATACTCAATGATCGGCCAGCTGTAGGCATTTAAATTTTTTTTCCCTCTCAAACAGGGCCGTACTGTGGGATGCAGAAAGACATTGTCCAGTGTAAAGAGGGCTTTAGGTATAGACGATGAGGGATTCTATAGTGACAAGACATCAGCTACATGTAGTCCTTACCTTGCTCATCATGATGTTGCACCTCTTCCTCTTCTGGTTTCACCATTTCTGCTTCCTCACTGTCTGCACCATCATCATTGTCTAATTCGCCATCTTCTAGGATTTCCCCTTCCTCCATATCCTCTGGATCTGCCACTTCAGGTTTAAGATCACCAGGAATGCACTCCTGTTCACCTTCTATGTGATTGCCATCAGCTTGATTTCTTTGCAAATGTTCTGACCCTTTGTTGTCTCCATTATCCAATGTTCCATATCCTTCCACTATATCTGTCCTTTTATTGCCATGCTCTCTTACTGACTGTTCCAAATTTTTCTCACTGAAATCAAAATTAAACAGAAACATTAACAGCAAAAGTACTGAAAACAAGGTATCATTTCACTCCTAAAATTTAGATTACAGTTTCGACTCTGTATAAATCAATTTTGAATCTTATATCCTCTTACTGTTCACTGCGAGGAAAAATATTTTGACAATCATTTATGTGGCATCAACATAATATTTGCAGATCAGGCAGCCTCTTATCAATCACACAATGTTGTTCAACTGAAAACAAAATAATTTTGCATCATTTTCTTTCACGGTTGTAGCTAGATTCAGGCAGAGACTATGGACGTTTCCTCTGAAAATTTCCCACATTACATAAACTGATCTGGGCAACCCCTCCACAAGTTGTTTGGGCCTAGTTTGCTGGAACACACTTCTATATCTTGGGCTCAAAATGCACAAAGAACTGAGTGAAAAATTCTAGTTTCATTAATTACAGAAAATGGGGGCATAGCAGTTTTCTTAGGTGCATCCTTTTATCATTATAAAACATTTTACCACATATTCCATAGGAGTTTGTAAATTTTAAGGTACCAGTTAGGTAAATTATTCTTTTTAAACATATAAAAAAAGTATTGTTGCCAAGCTTTCTGTACGGGTACTTCACAATTGCAAAAATTCCATTAGCTAAAATTAAAGTTCAGGTTTTATTTGAATATACATGTATGAGCTCTTTCTCACATTCAGAGACAGTTAACACCTAATAAATCTGGTCAGTGCTTCTTTCAAAGTTTTGTCCTTTTGGATGAAAACTATCAAATTGCAAGTATGCCAGAGTTACAATTTGAGATACCTACAAAATTCAAACTATGGTGCATATTTGAAGATAATTATCAGTTTACAAATGTAACCTTTCCTACAAACAAAATTTAAGGTAGGCAATATATCATTCTATTATTTTTGCAGTACTAAATCCTAATGTGAGAATTTACTGAGTCCTAAGGTCATGTAAATCATGTGATGTTGAACAATGAAGGTATTATTGCAATATAATGATATAACATCAACATTATGATCATTATGGCAAGCAAGCTATAAGAACTGATTTTAGTAAAATGGGAATTTTTTATACCTAAAAAGGATTTTTGGTTTAACATAGATTGGTTCAATCTTTAAATTACGACAATGTGGTATACATTATCACCATTCTTTATTTTGTTTTAATTCTTATTTTATCTTTTTCATTCCAATTTTTTTATTGTTCATTTGTTTACTTTGGTTGGGGGCAGAGAGGGCTACTTTTACATCATCAAATCACCTAATGACAGACTTCAAATAATAAGGCTTCGTTCACATGGAAAGTTATTTTCTAAAAATCTATTTTCTATTCGCGGTATCTTATGATCATGGTCTGTGCCCTGAATATCCTGCGGCGTAATTACTGGCAGCGCGAGCCAGTTACTTAAAGTAACTTATAGTAACTGGCTCGCGCTGCCAGTAATTACGCCGTGGGATATTCAGGGCACAGACCGTGATCATAAGACATACTGCGAATAGAAAATAGAATTTAGAAAATAGACATTGCATGTGAATGAAGCCTAAGTGTTCTAGAACTTGAAAAATTGAAAACGGATACAATTTCTCTTCCTTTCCACTACTCCCCCACACCACTCAAATAAATAAATATCTTGAGTTCTTTAAATTTCAGCTTGTAATATTGAATATTCCAAAACAAAACAAAGAATAAAATGTGGACTTCTTCCACAGTTAATCTTATGCTGAATAAAGAATTAAAACTTGTTTGAAATTTCATAAAATTGTTTGGAAAATTACATTTAAAAAAAAACAACCATACAAAGGACTGCAAATCAAATGCAAAATAAGGCTATGAAAATTATCAAATTTGTATTTTTCTCAACTTTTCAAGACCTTTTTTTTTTAAAGACATTTGAACAGGTCTTGCAGCCTAGTAGGCAGTTAATTTGTAGAAGACAATACCAATATCTAAAACTTTATCACTTTTTTGGGTGGAGATAAATATTGCACATTAATATGACAGCATTAACCACTTTCTTCTTTTTTTCACATTATAATGAGTTAGAACATATATATTATATATTTTTTTGTTTTGTAAAAAAATTAATAAATTTAAGGCACATGAGGCACAAAACTTTGGTTATGTTGTTCTAAAATTGATTAGATTGGAGTTTATGGTAATTTTACCTTAGCAGTAGTATTTTAAATTTTGTCTTATAAACATTTTCAAATGTCTACATCTAAAGCCATTTAACAGTATATATTCTTGCTTCATCTTTCTCTCTTTTTATTGTAATTTTTCTCACCATTCTGTTATCATCTTTGCTAATTCTGTAACTACTTTTTAGGGTACATCTCAAATGTGTTGGTGTTGTTTATTTTATGCACTTTGTTTCATTCAGTCTTGGGAGACATTTTTTCAACAAGTGAGGGAACATACATTCCGGGAAGTGGTGCAGTATGTTGGACAAGGACAGGAGCGTTTGCACATTAAATGCATGCATACAACACAGAATAGCTAGATGCAGAAATTAGAATATGCTAGTCTAACACATTGATCCAAAGATACGCTTAAGATACACAGACTGCAGTGAGGTCCCTTAATTGGGCGAGGACTCAATATTTGCTCTCCTACTTTATTTTCCCCAAAAAATTTACAAATGTAAACTAGTATGGAAAAAAATTTTTTTAAAAAAACTACAGAAATGCTGCAGAACTTATTCCCAATGAGATTTTAAAGAATTCGGTTCAATTCCTGCAATAGATAAATTAACAAAGGTCCATAAATAAATTAATCAAAAAATTAAAAAAAACAAAACAAAAAAAAAATCTTATAGAAAAACTAAGCTAAATGTGTTTACATATAAATAAATGAATGTGACTTCACAGTTACATAATGCAAAATTGCATTAAGGAGCCAGTAAAATATATTAGCAAGGAAAAATGGGTCAACAACTAATTATAGCCCTTATTTCACCAGCTTTGATATGTTGGCAGATATCTCCTTTATAAAAACAAGAGGGTGCTCACAAAAAAGATCAAGCACTAACAGCAACGTTCTGAGGAAAAATAAATATATTGATCAACCCTTCCTCCCTGTAACCTACTTTCTTTGAACTCTCCCGTCACATGACCTAATGCTGGGTGGCCATTTTGTTTCAATTTGACCCCTTGACCTTCATCAAACTTCTTCCTTTACCTACCTTCTATTTGTTTCGATTACCCTCCCATATTCAGTACAGGACATGCAATTTAGGGTAATAACCTGGTAAACTAGTTAAAAACTTAGATGTTTATGTGACGGTCGACTGGAGTCGGGGAAAGAAAATAAATTGGCTCTTTGGCTCATTAACATAAATTATGCACGTTTCCTTTCCTTGGGGTTTCTCCTTTTTACCTTCTCCCCTCGTACCTAAAGGAGACCTCACTGCAAATTGTGTTTCCTGAACAAGCTACAGAGAAAATGGAAAAGGTTTATGTAGTTAACCTCGCTGGATACTCGACCTTTCTTTGTCTTCAATCCCAGAATCTTTGTTATCCTCCCTAACCAATGGAGGAGGGTTGGCAAACACACTTTCAAGGGACATTTTCTCAGTATTTAACCAATTCACTGAGAAGATTCTTATACCCAGATAAACTTAACAATCTGAGCTTTGAAGTATACTAAGAATGTGTAAGTAATAGGTCCTTTATCCGTTTGCCTTCACGCAGTTTCTTCATGGCATTTACGCCCATATCTTTGTGCTGGCAAAGATGGCGGACTAGCTTAGGCGGATCGCCACGCATGACGTCATATGAATAAATTACTGAATTAAACACCACAGTCCAGGATGTTTTGTTTCTCCAAATGCATCTTAATTAAAATTATGATATGCCCTTCCTAAATTTGTACATGAGTTACAACAGTTATGCAACTTCAAATGATTTAGTCAATTAGTGTATATTTTGAAAAAGTATCGCTTTTTTCCGCTAATTATGCACCTTTCTCAAATGGAGCTGTTGCTCTCTTTTGAAGTAAAGATTTTACTTTTTTCTATATAGTAAACTTGGATGTAAAATATATATAAAATACATTTGATATTTCTGTTATGTTCATATAATAATTTAGCGTTTTATAAAAGTCTGCTTAAGTAATTTGTATGAAAGCAAAATGCAAAAATAATAAAAACGAAATCAAATACAGGCATTTAACTTTGTATATACTCCATGTTGGAAAGTGTTATTATTCTAGGTACGCTTTCTCTTCCAGGTTTTACAGTTGGTAAGGGCCTTGTAACTTGTATAAATGCATGTACCATGCCTTTATCATTATTTAATACTAGAGTGTTTAATGCCTGCCTTGCTACGTGCTGCTTTGTTCTATGAAAATAAGGTCATTGTTATTCAATTCACATTACTTGGCTAGCACGCTCAAGATGAGTTACTTGGATGAGATGGTCAGCTTGGTCACTGATCCAGCTAGTGTAACGAAACTGAGGGTCTGTGCAACAGAAAGTCTGCCCTCCATTTAGTTATGATGGTTAAGGTTAATATGTATAGTATACTGTTGTATAAGAAATATATTGTATATAATATTTTAATTTGAGTTTTTTTTTTTTTTGTGTGTGTGTGTGTGTGTGTGTGTTCTAATGATTATTAATAGTAATGTGTGTTTATATTCATGAGCTACGAAGAGTTGATATTGAAAGTTCTCCTGAACTTTGGAAAAACATGCTTTTATGATTATATGTATATATGGTATAATATATAATAATTTAATGTCATTTGCTTCAGGTAATTTTAGTATACAGGTGCCAATCAATCAGAATGTCAGATAGTGAAGGAAGTGTATATTCTGAAGATGAGAAGGATAGGAGAAGTGAGGTAGGGCTCTTACTTCTCTTTATGGTTTTCTTTGATTTGCCTTTGATAGAAATATTTTATAATTTAACAAAATTCCTGATTCAATACAAGGGTAAATATGGTGAAAACATTTTATATAAGTTGAAGGATAATGAGTACATACTTAAGCTATTAAAAACAAAAAAAAAAACTACAACAAAGATATACATCTACAATACAACTACAATACTGTCAAATGATACAAATGAACAGGAAGATGTTCATGAAACCACCAAATTAACCAACATAAGTTCTTGCCACCCTCTTTTACACAGCACCCCCCTCCCCTTTTAGGCAAAAATATAAATAGATGCCGGAGACAAAAAAGTCCAGGAGACCAGTCTTAATAGTTTTTGATAAGACAGCATTTGAATGCATATTTTGATAAAATCATTACAGGATGAAGATGAAGGGAGTGATATTGGAAGAAAGGGGCGTAGGATTCACGACAGTGAGGCAGAGGAGGGAGAAGAAGAGGATCCAGAACCAGAGGAAGAACCAGAAGGAGAGGACCTGGATGACGATGATGAGGCAAGGACTTTTTCTTTATACAAATGTCAGCAAAGAGTTTTGTTTAATTCCTTTTAAAGAATTGAGATTTGACTGTAATTTAGGTTCTGAGTGAGTGAAGATGATGAATTTGTTTGTAATGAGGGTTAATTCAGTCATTTGTTTTCCCTCATTTGAATTTGCAAATGTTGAAATGTTATTTTTCCTTCTTATTTCATAAGGAGTATGATTCTGAAGAATATGAAGATACTGATGTCAGACATAAAAGAAAGAAATCAAAGCATTCAGGATTCATCTTAGAAGAAGCTGGTTAGTTCTTTCTTTGAGTTAACTGAACACAATGGTTTAGATGACGTGAAAGTCTTTCTGTCCTAAAGCTAAGTAGAATGATTGGCAAAACAAAAAAAATGTCTTTTTGCTTTCTGATAGTTCCACTATGTCAAAACAAAAGTCATGGTGAAAATAATGAAGTGAAAATGTGTTAGAAAGTATAAGATATAACTTGCATACAACTCCTGTTCTTTATGACAAAGTCTTAAGATGATAAGTTCTGTTCCACAGATGTTGATGAGGAGGGTGAGGAAGATGAGGAAGATCTAGAATGGGAAGAAGGTGCTGAAGACATTATAGACCGTAAGACTGGATTTGAAGGTCCTAGCGCCAGGGACATAGAGAGCAGAAGGCGCATGGAGCAAATGTGGAGGTACCTAGCTTCAACTATTTTTATGCAAGGTTTTTTAAAACCTGTATGAACATTTTGAGGCAGACTAATTATGTTGCTTCAGCTCAGGGCTTTACATTTAACTCGGAGTCCTTCGAGAAAATAAAGTCATAGAATACATCTTGATGGAGATGACAATAATGTCCAAAAAAAAAAAAGAAGTAAAAAGACCACAGTTGCAGATGGCTGATCCTCAAAGAAAAAACTGATTGGAATATAATTCAGTTTCCAGATATGAATTTTTTTGTTTTAACCACAGCTATGTATTGCCTGTTTTAGCACTCAGAATGAAGATGAAATTGAAGAATACTACAGACGCAAGTATGCTGACAGCTCCATGGCAGAGAGGTTTGGAGAAGGAGAGGAGATGTCTGATGAAATCACACAGCAAGGATTGTTGCCTGGTGTAAAGTGAGTAACTTTGAATTGATAATATTTTAAATTGTATAGACACAGTGTTTAAAGTTTATAGGATTAAACTCAAGATTATTCACTATGTTTACAAAAAATATGATTTTTTTTTATCATATGTAATGTTGTAATTATATTAAAGTGTGAAACACACTAAGTTAGTGAAAATCAGATTATGCACATTGTATTTATTTCTATTTTACAACTGATGACTGCTATCTGATTGATATGTCTTATGTGGCTTATTTTCATATTTCTTGTTTAATTTGAATAGACATAATATTTATGAGTGTTTTTTCTATTTTCTAGAGATCCAAATCTATGGGTAGTCAAGTGTAGAATGGGTGAAGAAAAAGCCACAGTTATTGCCTTGATGAGGAAGTTCATTGCCTATCAGTTCACAGATGAGGTTTGTTAAAAACTTAATCTTATGTCTTCTTTCACATTTATGAGTTACACTTATGATATAATATTTTGTGAAAATAGCACTAAAAACAGATAATTGGTAATATGATCAAGAATTTATTCCAGATTACTGTTCATTGTTGTTTCTATGAAACTTACTTCAGGCCAAACAAACTCTTTGTTAAACAATTTCATTTCATCATTACTTGTGTGAACATTTCTGTTTATGTATGAATTAAGAATTAACATGAAAAAACATAGGTTCCCAAGTACCCTTACAAATTATTTTATGTCATATTGTATTTATTGGTATGTGGTTTATGATTTTAGCCTTTGCAAATCAAATCTGTGATAGCCAAAGAGGGGTTGAAGGGCTACATTTATGTAGAAGCCTACAAGCAGACCCATGTCAAACAAGCCATAGAGGGAGTGGGCAATTTGAGAATGGGAATGTGGCAACAACAGGTATGCAATAACCCAACCTTTATTCTTTATTTTTATACTCTAGCTTAGTAAGTTAGAAGGGAGTAAATAGGAGCCTCTTTTTGTGGGTCAGTTTGCACATTGCAGAGTTTTGTGTAAAAAACCACTTGAAAAATTAAGAAGGATTTCAATAGAATTTGACACATTTGATGACCATAAATGTAGATGTCTTCGTTTATAGGTTCAAATACATCAGCTTGGACAATAGTTCAAATACATCAGCTTGGACAATAGCTCTATATTGTGCTTCTGTAAGTTCTACGATGTATCAGAGTTCATACTTTAGAATTGATGTAACCTGTGTAACATCATCTGAAAGAATTGGATTGCCTTACCAACTTCAGTTTTCTTTAAAGGAACATCTTGTTTGTTTTACAGATGGTTCCAATCAAAGAGATGACAGATGTATTGAAAGTGGTGAAGGAGACAGTTCACCTTAAAGCAAAGGCCTGGGTGAGACTGAAAAGAGGGCTTTACAAGGATGATCTGGCACAGGTAGGTTTTGTGGAGGGGCAAACTTCTAGAGTTTTGATGAATTCTAGCTAAACCATGCACATTTGGAATGTAGATTTGTTTGACACTTTTTTGCGTGTATGTGCTGAGTATCACCAGTAGGATCTTCTCTACAAGAAACAGCAATAAAAAAGAAAACAGCTTTGTCATTAAATGACTTTTTTGTCTTTTTTTTTCTTTTGGTCAGCATATTTAAATCTTGTGAAAAATTGGTAGCAGTAGCCCAGTAAAGGCATGTGCAAGCATGCATACATGATTGTTTTCTCTCCTGTTCCCTAGGTGGACTATGTGGAGCCCTCACAGAATGTGGTTCACCTGAAGCTTATTCCTAGGATTGATTACAGCAAAATGAGGGGTGTTTTAAGATCAAGTGCCAATGTGAGTATTGAACTGTATACAGATTTACTAATATATCTTTATCTATAAAAATATTATATATAATGCTTTGATGATCATCATAAAATATCATATTATGTACCATAGTGAATGTAATATGTCCAGTGTGACTACAAAGTATTAATTTGAAGAAAAAGATTAATCCTGATATTCAATGCTCCGAAATCTTAGTATCTATAGCAATTTTTTGATATCATGAACTTAATTTATTAATATTTTTAGGTTTTATTTTATTGGTAACAGCCAAATGAAAATGCCACTGTTTGATGACAGTTGCTAAAAGTGAAATCCATCTTGATTTGAAGGAGAACTTCAGAACCACAGTGCACATTTTTGCATTTAACTTTATGTTTTAAAAATCTTGAATAATTTTTTCCTGAATTTTCTTTTACCACTGTAGGAGCCAGAGAAGAGGAAAAGAGCCAAGCGACCAACACAGAAATTGTTTGATATAGATGCCATCAGGTAAACCTTTTTGCTGTCGTCCATTGAAGGTTTTAAGTCTGGTTTGAAATTACTCGACAGTGGGTTTGTTCTTATGTTTCAGTATTTAATGGCAAAATATATAGATAAGTATACAGATAAAGGATATCTTGTCAAAAGGTCCTTTCTCCAGAAATATGTTGGGAACTATGATCCTCTTCTTTTACCAATTTTTAATTGTGTTATATAACTAATGTTTTCAGGTCAATTGGTGGTGAGGTGACATCAGATGGAGATTTCTTCATCTTTGAAGGCAACAGATACAGTCGCAAAGGATTTCTATTCAAAAGCTTTGTTATGGCTGCAATAGTAAGTAGCACCGATAGACAACAGAGATGGAAACAAGAATTGAAAAAACATATCTTTCACATTTTCAGATAGTCTGACTGTTTTATGTTGTTTTGTTAATTGTTTGACTGTTAATTTTAAACGAGTTGTGAGCCACTTATTTTGTTAGGAAGTGTATTGATAGTGATCTTTACAGTTAAAAAGTTGTGGATAAAAACTTCTTTGAAACCAAGACATATGTTTCCCTAAGCATTCACTGTAGGAGCATTAAATGAAATTATAAGTGGCATATGAAAATTTAAAGGATAATTGCTAACTTTCTATATCTACATATAAGTTTGAGTGGTCTTTGTTTTTGTATTGATTTCTATAATTCTATATCTTAATGAATTAAAACTGAACTAAATAATTTATTGGAAGAAACTTGAAGCATGTAATTCTGCCCTTTACTGGTTTCAGTTATAACTGTTGTGACATTGTTTTACTACCTCAGGTTGCAGAGGGTGTGAAGCCTACATTGTCAGAGTTGGAGAAGTTTGAGGACCAGCCTGAAGATGCCTCAGTGGAACGTATCCTTCAATCCATATTGATTCCTTTTATGTTTATGGATATACATTTTTTAAATATTAAACTAAAAAAAAGGACATTGAAAAAGCTGTGTGCTTAGATATGGCAATATTTACTTTCTCTATGCACATGCATGCACACACTTTCACAAACAGATCACTTATTTCATGTTTTCATTTGGAAATTTTGCTTAAAGATGATGATCAATTTTTTTTCCTCATTTAAGTTTTAAAGAAAATGAGAAAAATATGGACAAGAGTGACTTATATGTCCTTTTTTAATAATATTTTAGTGATAATTATCAAAAGGTTACAATATAGAAAATCTCGGAACCATGAACAATCTAATAGATTTGATTTTGTAGCCTTCTTATATATATATATCATGTCTTGTAGTACCAAACATATACCTTAACTCCAGTTAAGTGGTTCCAGAATCTCGCAGCGTGTCCGAAGTCTCTCACAACCTGGCACCTGGAGACAATGTGGAAGTGTGTGAGGGAGAATTGATCCATCTCCAGGGCAAAGTGATCAGCATTGACGGCAATAAGATCACCATGATGCCCAGGCATGAAGATCTCAAGGTAACCTATTGAACTCTTCAAATGACTGGGAGGCCCAATATTGGGATAACCAGACATTAAAACCTTGATAGATAGAAAAATGTCTGTAAACTTGGTAATGTCCTATTTAAAGACCAAATGAATTCTCAGTTGTTTGAGCAGTGCACATGCGACATAAATGTAAAGAAAGGCATTATCATTTAGGGATGTTTGGTAAAAAATCATCTTTTTTTTAAAAGTTATTTCTGTTATTCACTTTTCTTACACAGTGATTCAATTATAATAGCACTTTTTTGTAGAATTCAACATTGATGTCCTTGGAAGATTTTCTGTAATGCAACTCTTACAATTTCCATTTAATCATGAATGGTTTATCTAATTCTTTATTATCAACTCTCACCACTGGATGACATACAGGGCTCGTGATTTCCATTACCCTAGCAAATTAGAGTTTTTATTTATTAATGTGTGCAGTTTATGAAAATGATATTTTATCGTATAATTATATGTATAAATGAAATGAAATATTATTCGAATATTTTGATGGTGTATGCTGTTGGGGTAAGACATGGGTATTTTTTTTTCTTTTCATTCAAGGATCCACTAGAGTTTCCTGCCCATGAGTTACGCAAGTACTTCAAAATGGGCGACCATGTCAAAGTGATCTCGGGCAGGTATGAGGGGGACACTGGACTGATTGTTCGTGTGGAGGATAACATGGTGGTTTTGTTCTCAGACTTGACTATGCATGAGGTAGGTTTCTTTGTTGTTGGAGACTTATCGCTTATTGCATTAAAACCAGGAAAGTTGTAAATGAGGATTAATTCTTTTGTGGGAAAAAGTTAACTGAAAGGTTAATGAGGATAAAGATTAGTGGAGTCTGTTAATTATCTAGTAATAGAAATACAACGTTGTTTGATTGGTATCTTAAAAGAAAAGGGACACCATGTTTCCAGGACAAATTGTAAAAAATAGAATTCCTTTATAGGATTGCTGAAGTTTTTTTTTTTTTTTTTTTTTTTTTTTTTACAAAAAAGTAAAGGAGCCATAAGTCCTATCATGTTGGTAATTCTCCATTATATTCACTAAAGGAGCCATAAGTCCTATCATGTTGGTAATTCTCCATTATATTCACTTTGGGGAATGAGCAAGTTTCACAATTAACTGTACAGAACTACAGATGAGAAATTAACACATGCCTTGATGACGTCCAGAATCAGTTACTGTAATAGTGTCTTTTTTTGGTGTAAGTCAAAATCTATGTACTAAATTGCACATTATCCAAAACTCCAGAAACAGGCTAGTTACAAAAGTGAAAAGTGATAATGAGAAACACATAACAGCTGCCTTAGTTAAAAGCACTCCACTGACTGTCTGTTGGACATAAAGAATTACTTAAAGTTAAACATATAATTTATAAAGCTGCTGTATAGAAGAAACTAAATGATGTTTTTGTATTATCGATAAAGCTTCTGTCTAGAAAAGACTAAATAATATTTATTGTATAATTTTATAAAGCTGCTGTGTAGAAGAGCAACAATATTTTAGAAAATCTTCAACCACACCAACAGGGATGGATTATTGGGAATTCCATTTTTAATAAATTACTTTAAGAACAAACCGTTTTAGAGAAAAAGAGCCATGGGATCAAAAGTTATGTAACCTTCCTATTCTCAGTATTTACCAACTCCTTACTCCCTCATTTCCAGCTTTGGTCCATCTCCACAGCTTTAATGTAATGTTTGGATTTTATGCCACCTTTAACAATGTCCAGCTTAAAATTAGATTTCCCTGCCACCAAACAATACAGTTCTGCACCACCATTTAAGAAATGGAGATATACTTGCAAGCAATACTGCAGTATAGCTATTTATATTGAACCATAGTTGAAGCATCAAGGACCGCAGTAGGGTGTAGTAGAAAAAAAGACTTCAACGTTCACCCCTTATTTTAGGTCAGCTTTAGAGACTTCTTTGAATTTATGTACACACTTTATTATCCCAGGTTGTACATCAGATGACACGTCAAATGAAATTGGGGCATAATTAAGCCCAGTACCTGTGGTATATTTTAAGGGCACATTTGAGACTAAGAAAGAAGAGGTGTGTAGTTACACCTTGAACATACTATTTAGAGTGTACTTATTGTCTTGACATACAAAAAAAGATGAAATGTCAAGATTCGGCTCCCACAGAAGGCACTCCCTTTCAATTACCTTGAATAACAGAACTTTGGTTAGTTTGTGAGCATTTGACTACATACATGTAACTATGCAGCGATTCTAATTTTTACAAAGTGTCTCTGAAGCAGAGTGACCTTATTTTTCAACACCAATCAAACTATTGTATTTCTATTATTCCAATTATTGACAGGCCCCACTAATCTTGATCTTTATTATAAACATAGACAACAGTTATGTCTGTGCACTGCAATGGAGGCTTCCTTAGCTTGGCTATAAGTCTTGGCCATAGGCCCACGGGTCATTATATGCACATCTTGATGCTAAATTTAAGTTATATTATTTGAAAACTTAGCATTTGCCCCCATAAAACCATTATTTCCATAATATATTTTTTTTTTTCAGTTGAAAGTTCTGCCCAAAGATCTGCAGTTATGTACTGACAGAGCCACAGGTGTAGATACCATGGGACAGTTCCAGTTTGGAGACTTGGTTCAACTAGAGTAAGCTATTATGTCTGGCATGTTACCGGAGAGATGTGGAAAAGGAGTGTTACAGTTAATGATACTCATTTTATTGCTTGCATAAAATTTTGAACCTGGTCTTGTAGCAACAATTTTTTAAAGTATTCTCTAGGATGTGCTGAGCTGAAGTTCTTGAAATGTTGAAAATCTGAAATAAATTCAGTTGAAATGTGTGTATTCTTTCAGTCTTATGAATACTTAAAAAATTGAAATTTGAATGGAAATTGTCATGATGGTGAAAAGTATGAATGAAGAAAAGAAAAAACAGCTCTTTTTCTTGCATATTTCAGTCCTCAGACAGTTGCAGTCATTGTCCGGCTGGAAAAGGAGAGTTTCCAGGTCTTGAACATGCATGGCAAGGTCAGCTGTATGCAAAGTACCTTATGGAGTTGTTTTAATGATCATGTAGATACAATGCTCTACTGATAAAGTTTGATCTAAACACAGCTAACTTTTCGAGTGTCTTTCTTTGTTGCTATATTTTTATCCGTTAATAAATATTTATCATTATGATTTGCAAGTAATTTATTGGTGAATAGCCTTCTCATAGTCTTAAATGGATGTAAGCTGTAGCTTACAGACGCAAAATGGTTCATATAACTTGTACCGTTCAAGGCACAGTGCTTGGTATCCACGCTTTCTTAAATCTTCCTCTTTTACTTGTAAATAACTCAGTTTTTACTTTTTTATCTAAAAAGTTTATTACCTTCTAGTGCATTACAACTTGTTTAAAAATGGCCTTTGTATGCCTATTGAAAAAATGTGAAAAGCATGTAGCCATATAGATTACATAATGTGGGCCAAGTTAAGGGGAAATGGTCCTAAGAAAATCCATTTCAGGATATTTTTAATTTAAAGTAGAAACATTGATGACTTAAGTACAAGGTTTTTTTAGGATGCCAGAAAAAATTCAATATCTGTAGCCACTGTATCTGTTTTATCTATTTTGATTTAAATATGAAATTCATTGGTTGATGTTTGTTGGATAATATATTGCCAAATATATGTAACATTGCTTTGTTTTGTTGTTTTTATCCCTCATATAACTTGATTTTGAAGGTGGTTCATGTAAAACACCAAGCTGTATCCAAGAGAAGGGATTCTACCAGAGCTGTTGCTTTGGATGCAGAGAATAACAATATCCAGGTCAAGGACATTGTCAAGGTCATTGATGGCCCCCATTCTGTAAGTAAAAAGTTCCATGGCCTGATGGCCCTTTATGTTCACTGTCTTGGAATCTATTGTGAAACACATTTATTTTCACACTGTTTTTTCTGAGCATCACTTGAATATTTGCTTTTGGTATTTCTTATGTGAAAGTAATACTGCTTTGTACATTTTTGAGAGTTCAGTCAAATTTATAAAAAGGATCATTGGTACTATGTGTCGTGATCAACAAATTGATAGAAATATCACATTTCTAACATTGTTTACACATCACATTGTTATATAGAAATGTTTGACTCTGTTGTGATGTTAAAAAAAAGGATCCTTAAGTGTGGCTTATCGAAAGTTCCAATTTGTAGGGGCGTCAAGGTCAGATAAAGCACCTGTACCGTAGCTATGCATTCCTGTATTCTCGCATGATGACTGACAATGGAGGCATATTTGTGTGCAGGACCAGGCATTTAGTTCTGGCTGGAGGGTCCAAGGTATAGACCACATGAAGTACAACTGAAACTAAAATTATGAATATCAGCAGGTTTACCATCAAAGACACAAAAGTAGAATTATTTAGTTTTCACCTCACATCCCATAGCTCTGAAACTGATATGTATGTTGTAATATAGAGATGTTATCAAGTAAGAAATAAAATTGTTTTTGTATTTGGCTAAGTATCAAGTATTGAAGTTATTACACCATAATTCTAAATATCTGTATCATTCCCACAGCATGAGAAAGTATGAAATTGATACAGTTTTTACTTGTTTTCCCAGGTCACTTCCACAGGCCCCATGCTGGCAGGTTATATGTCTCCTCGCCTGTCCAGTCCTGCTCACCCCAGTGGTGGGGGTGGGGGTGCTGGGGGGCCAGGTGGCGCAGGGCGTGGCCGGGGAACCAGCAACAGGGATAGGGGTCTCATTGGACAGACTGTCAGGATCATTCAGGGCTCATATAAAGGTAAGCTTTTTGAGGGGTTGATGGTATTTCGTGTATTTAATGAAGAGTCTACTTAATTTGAGAAAAGATGTTGTACATTGTTGAAATATGGGTTGAATACTGGTTGAGATATATGAATGTAAACAAATGATGTCAGTTTTCTCTTTAAGATGCACCTGTGATGTAGTATGTTAAAGTGATTCCTATAAGTGCAAGTGCCTGTGAAATTCTCCAGATATTGAATTTGATGACTAAAAACATATATTCTTATAAACACCTAAAAGTAGACTTTAAGTTCTACAAGAGATAAAGTTCTTAACATGACAGAAGGATTCCCTGATGGAGGTTTTATATTTTCAGGCCACTTTGTCAGTATCATTCGTGTACTATACTGTCATTGAACAAACTTTTCATAAGTTTAACCTTTATTTTCACTTTTTAGGTTACATTGGTATCGTCAAGGATGCCACAGATACTACTGCTAGAGTGGAGTTACATTCCAGCTGCAAAACTATCTCGGTGGATAAAACAAGAATACGTTCAGTTAGGTAAGCTCAGTTCAAGTTAAAATAATTGAGGTTTGCTAATGTGAACTTAATTTAATCTTGTTCTTTCTTGAATTACTTTTGTCACATGTTCTCGCAACATTTGTTTAAGTTCAAGGAATTGTTTAAGTTCAAGGAATTGTTCAGAGAGCCTGAGTTCACGGGTGTTAGGTAAGGACATCTAACAAAAATGTAAATATCTAAATGAAATTTGATTTCCTGGATAGCTAGGTCTTTTAGTACCCTAGGCTTTACAGCTTTAATACCCTGTATAAAATTTAATAAGATACATGAACAGTTCTGCATATAAGAAGAGTCATTGAACAGTTTTGAATAATGTATGACTTTCTATTGTTAAGTGTGAAAATGGTTTGAAAAAGAAAATTGTAATTTGTAAACAAATAATTTTAAAATATTGTATTCGGCCAGCCTGTATTCCCCAGGATTTTGGCATGAAAAAAAAAATATATATATGTTATATAAATGCTGCCGACAGCATTTAGTTTTTCCAGATGTTCATTAAGAGTGTTAATGAAATACAGGCAACTTGGGAGGTTTCTGCATAAAGATCCAGGAAAGGAAACAAAAAAAAAAAATCTTTGAAACTTTGTGAAGACCTTCTCTAGACTTTGGCACCTTACTGCTAGTGCTAATAAATTAAAATACAATACCAAAATAGTGCTCAACATAGCAACTACAAATGCTTGTAAAGGTTTCATGAAAACTGGTGCTTACCCGCCAAGTAACCTCCATTGCTAGGTGACAAATAACTAATAAAAAAAACATAAAATCTTTGATTATGAAATTTACTTATTGTATAAAATCAACAAGTTCATGATAATGTCATCTATTATGAATTCAAATGGTGATATGAATATTTTTTTTTGCAGTGATGGCCGTCCAGGTGGCGCTTCATCTTACACACCCAGGACGCCAATGTACGGAAGTGGTGGCCAGACCCCCATGTATGGCTCACGTACACCCATGTATGGCTCTCAGACACCGCTCCATGATGGCAGCAGAACCCCCCACTACGGCAGCCAGACCCCCTTACATGACGGTGGAGGAAGGACTCCTGCCTGGGATCCCACGCAGTCTAACACTCCTGCAAGGTGAGGAGTTGGAATCACTGTGGAGGGAATGGTTTGTGAATGGGCACAGAATCTTAATATTTTGAACAGGAAAATAGCATTGGCTTAGCTGATATATAATCTAGCTGCCTGTCTGGATATATAAATTGTAATTATCATTTTTCTTTGAATATGCCATGGAGTTGGAAAGCCCTTCCTCACCTCTCTTGCAAACAAGAAGAAATTGCAGCCAGGAGCTGATATTTTCTCTCCATTAGTGTCACAGATTTCATGGAAGTGTTGTCAAATTTGTAATTATCTACAAATGTTTTATGGCCACTTTTCTATTGATTTTTTAATAAAACAACAAAATTCTTTTGCACTGTCCCTTAAGGTATTTTAACCTAGTCTGAAAATATGTTTATTAAACAAATGTTTTTATTAAAATTATTTAAGATGTTTCCAATAATTTTTTTCATAAGCAGCCTTGATTGAAAAAAATTTAAAAAATGCATAAAACTTTGATGCATGTTTTTTAATAGTGCTCAAAAGGACAAATTTTCAGAATATCATTTTATGCCCAATGTTTATGTGTATTCTTGTCAAACATTTGTAGCTCAAAATTGACCCATTGGTATTTTTGTAGCAATAAAATGGAAGATATTTCACATCATTTCAGTTGAAAGTGAATAGATGACTTCTCTTTTTGTTCAGGGCCAACGACTTTGAGTACAACTTCGATGAAGCATCCCCATCCCCTGCTGGTGTGGATTATGGCACGCCTAACCCTGCCACCCCTGGGTATTCTGCTGACACCCCCAGTCCTGCAGGAGGGCCATACACCCCGCAGACCCCAGGGAGCAGTTACTCCTACCAATCCTCACCTTCTCCTGGAGGGTACACACGTAAGATGCATAGCAACTTGTACATTTTAGACTAATAAAAATAGAAAAGACTGATAGAACTGAGATTCACGTTATAAAAATTACATTACATATTATTAAAGCATTTTTTTCAATTACAGCTATCTGAATTGTGCATGTTAAAGCAAACATATATTGAATCATGTGTATTGTATGCTTATGAAAAGCAAGAAAAATCAATCATTCATTTTACAAAGGTATGTGAGGAATTCAATTCAGATTTTAGTTTTAATAGATCTGTGAGGTAAATATTGATATAATTTCTGACCAGTATTTGTTGGGTCTATCAATTCCAGCAAGCCCTGGAGGATACATCCCCACCCCGAGTCCTCAGGGGTATGGCAGTAACACACCATCCCCCTCTGGTTATGGTAGCACCCCATCACCCATGGGGTACAGTCCTATGACCCCCGGGGCACCATACACACCACAGACACCTGGAACAGGTAAAACTACAGGATATATGATTGAACAATTGAATTCTATTACTCTATTCTATCAATCTGTTGTAAGAAAGAAAGAGATCTTTGAAGACAGCCTCACTTATAATTTTTTTCAGTAATCTCCTTTAGTTTCTACTCACATTCAGTATAAAAAATGATAGCCCTTTGCTTTTTTATATTATGAAAAAAGAATAGTACTGTGCAATTTGATTATCCCCTTTTGTGTCTAGCTGCGTCATAAAATAGTTAACTTAAAAACCTCTAATCAAATAAAGCCCCAGACAGATTTTGAATGGCTTTAACTTTCCTTTAATTTGACTGCAGAGATTTACATGAGGCTTCAGCTAATATGCTAGACTGGAGATTTAAACTAAAAAAAAGGGGGGGCTGTAAAGTAACTTCATTGGACAGTAATTCATGAAAGTGCAGTATTTATGTATGCCAACCCTATAAGAGACCCTTATATGTTGCACTTCCATTATATAATGTCTAAATATATTTGCCTAAAAAAAGTGGAATCAGCGGAATTAAGCTCTCATCATCTAGCCTTGGATGCATGAAGAAGGTGTATGCAGGGATGATGATATTAGTTTATTGTTCCAGGCATGGAGCATGGTGCCGCAGACTGGCATACCACTGACATAGAGACGAGAATCAAAGACACCCACGATGATCCTAACCTGATCCACCAGATAGGCGTCATAAGGGGAATCTCGGTAAGAACATGTGATGGGATGGTGATGATGTGAAACTGACATTTTGCATATTTTATAAAGATCTTTTTTGGTTATCTTTTTTTTTTCTTCATTTTATTATTATTTTTTTTTAAGTAATGTGTTTTGAGCATCAGTGCTCCAGGCAATATTAGCTTTTGAATATGACTGCTTTATTTGATCAAATTAACATCGATATCCCTGTGTACCAAAGGCAATACCAGGTTGCAATGCTAATGGTGCTAAGTGGATTATTTTTGATAAATTACATTAGTGACTTTTAAAATCCACCTGATATATTTTCAAGACACAGCTTAGCAATTGTTCAGCTGAGTTAATTAAAAAGCAGTCATAAAAGGGTCATGTTTGCCATTAGTTACGTTAGCACTTAATAACTTGATCAAGTTAAATTAACAGCATGTATTGGCACTGTTCCAGGCTGGCATGTGCTCCCTGTTCTTACCTGAAGATGAGAAGGTGATCACAGTGTCCTGTGAACAGCTGGAACCAGTGGTACCCACTAAGGGGGACAGGGTGAGTTGAAGGAACATGATTTATGTGAGGGGGTTAATTTTTATGTTATTTATTTATTGTTATTATTATTTGTGTGTGTGTGTGTGTGAGTGTGTGTGTGTGAAACATTGAAGATTTAAAAGTGAAGCATAAATTGCTACCTTTTAAAGACTTTTTTTTTTACCTTTTGTGTAAGTTATACATAATGTATCACATTTTTTCCTTTATGATCTTTCATAGGTACAGTTTGTAAGTTTGATGTAATTTTAATCATTTTAAAAAGACTGGGTACTTTTGTATTGATTTAAAAGGTGTGGTGTTGCATTTTCCTGATAATGTAATATTTATTTCTCTACAGGTAAAAGTGATCATTGGTGAAGAAAGAGAGGCCTGTGGTCAGCTTCTGTCCATTGATGGCATGGAGGGAGTGGTCAAGACTGACCATGGAGACTTAAAAATGTTGCAGATGAGATGTCTTTGTAAGATGCCACCAGCCTGAAATGAGACTGGTTAAGTAAATCCAGAGACTTGTTGAGCTTTTACAACTGACTATACATAAAATTTATTCCCTGCAAGTGCTGCAAGCCCAAAAATAAAAACACACATATATACAAGGGAAGTCACCTTTCCATAATCCCATGGGGAAAAGGACATGAGATTACTACTCTGACTTTGAATTAGATTCTGCAAAAATTCACCAGCTTGTGCTCTAAGTAGAACATATTTTAATTATGAAGTCACAGTGTTGTTAACAGAATGACACAAGTGAGGTTTTATTTTGTGTTAACCTGGGTTTGCATGCTTATGTAATAGACTCACACAGGAAAAGAATTTGACCATTTCACCTGCAGCCTAACACAGAATGTGTTTGTAATGACATCCTATTCAGAAATTGTAAATGTATTTTGATTAGCTTTAGAGTAGTTTACAGGTTGATTGGATTTTTGAATGAGAAAAATGTGGAAACTGTTTTGTTGTCATTTACTGTTTTTGTAGTGTTCACTGACCATCACTTTTTGTAGCCCGAAAATAAGCGTATGAATGTCATTTTTGAACCACTTATTTGGCTGAGGAAGCCATTTGGAAGTGACACTGTCAACCATTCTGAACGAATTTGATGGAAAATGCCTTGCTGTTATATTCATTTTATTTTTGTGTACTTTCACTGCTTATCATCTGCCAAAAGTACAAGAAAAATAGGAAGTGTTACATCAGTCATTATCAACTATGAACTTATGTATGAGAAGGATTTGAAGGACAAATAAATGAAATGTAAAATAATTTTGGTCAACTGTGTAAATGCACCAATTGACTCCCAAATTGAACAGAGGCAGACCTCTAACATGACTTCCCTTTATATACGGCTATCAAGAGATAGCCGCAACCCTTTGAGCACTATAACACCAGCCTTTTTCTGAATTTGACCTCGAAAAATTGGTCAAAATGAAAGTCCTATCTGATTGTTTCGCAGGCAGTCATCGAACTTTAGGAATAAGGGTAGAACGTTTCACTGGTGATTTTTGCCCGATCAAGATATACACACCCTGAGCTTCAGAGCTAACTTGACACTAACCTTTTCACTGTAGCCTATCTCCATCGTGTCAAGTAACCTCTGACGAAAATAGTTTGACCTATTTTATATAAGCCAATCGAATCCATGTTTCAAAAATTTTCACCAAAGTTTGGTGAAAACGCTGATTGGTTGATCGTCAATCGGCAATCCTCGGCTGATTCCGCAAGCTCCATACTAACAACATAGTTATTGTCGAGTGCGGAGACATCCGAGTAGTTTCGAGTGGTTCCGAGTGTTACTTGACACGATGGAGATATGTATTTGTGTGTGTGTACGTGTCAAATGAGGATCTTGTCATAGAATTTAGGACCCTCTTTAGCAGGAATTCCTGTACCTTTCACAGAATAGTTTTATTTCAATTTTTCCTAACGAAATAGGGGAGCGTATCACAAAACGACAAGATTAACGATAAAGAGCACAGCATGCCCAATCTGAAATAGCGTTTAAGAAAGTTCAGACACTCCGCCGTAGATGACAACATTTTCTCTCTGTATTCAATTGCCGCTTCAAACATTCTACACTTCTATCCAGTCGATGTTCTTGGTCAACAGGCGTCTCCTAGCAGCTACACTTGGGCTTCGTTCACATGCAATGTCTATTTTCTAAATTCTATTTTCTATTCGCGCTATCTAATGATCACGGTCTGTGCACTGAATATCCCGCCGCGTAATTACTGGCAGCGCGAGCCAGTTACTTATAGTAACTTATAGTAACTTATAGTAACTGGCTCGCGCTGCCAGTAATTACGCGGCGGGATATTCAGTGCACAGACCGTGATCATAAGACATGCCGCAAATAGAAAATAGAATTTAGAAAATAGACATTGCATGTGAACGAAGCCTTAGTCTTCGTATTGTCCAGTTTCCTTACCCGATGCGCTGCCTCTCAACATTAACTTGCTGTTCTCGTTTATCTTCTCCATCCCGAGTAGTGCGAGATTAATTAAAGGCAGTAATGGCAAACATGTACAATATACAGGTTGATTGCTATTTAGCTAGTAAGGACAGACAAAATTGATAAGCAGGTTAACGAGCGTAGGCCACGTTGATCACACTTTGTTCGCAATTGAGATAAGAATAGTTCTACTCGCTTTCTCCTGTATTCTCGATAGATTGGCTGAAGTCCCAAGAAGTAGACCCCGCGTCGATAATTAGACTTATTGTAAGTCTATTCATTTTCTTATTCTAATTTTTAGACGAGAATTTTGGACAATTCACATTTTCTATTTTGTGCTGTGACATATGAGCTCTCAAAATTATTTCTCCTCCTGTAACAGGAACAGTTTATTTATACATTGGTGACAAATGTTAAAGGTATACCCTGCCGTGCTCTCGCTTTATAGGCCTCCACGGCTTAAGTTTATCAATAGTTCGAGGCACAATTATTAAAAAGGAAATTGTACTGTGCCAAGCGACGAGACAATGATATTGCGTAATAAAAAAAAACACAAGTTATATAGCAGTGGATTTTTTTTATCCATTTATTTGTTTATTAAAAAGTTAATAAGGGAAGTGGATGTCACAATTTATTTTTTATCAAACACAATAGTCATCAACGCGATGGTATCCAGAAAGTTTCATACTTACTTTGAATGATGTGTCACCTTTTAACTAATTTTCTTAACACCCACCCGCTTTTTTCATAACTGCCCTTATATCACACCGTTTTCCATGCTATACTTCATACGGATTCGTTCACCGAAACAATTATCGATATGCGCCCACCAACGATATTTTGTATCACGAATTTCTGTACTGAATGTTTTCTACAAGTTCAGTATTTGCTTACCAGTATTGAAGTTTGCTGTCTTCTTGAATAAGAAAAATCAAAATATGCTGTTACAAGGGACATCATTGTTCACGTATTACAGTATTAGAAATAAAATTGTGCTTCAGCATGCGAAAAGGACCTCTTTGCAACCCCACAATTGAAAATATGTGCACTATTTGTTTTGATATTTATTTTTATGATATAACATTACGTAATTTTAATTAATTTAACAATATTCAATGCTATATAATAACTAACACAATTCTTTACTACAGGGACCTTTCAATAAAAGCTGCCGCTATCGGCCAAATTTCGAACACTATATTTGTGTTTGTCATTTACTTTCGCTCGGGGTTAATGAGGAAACATAAAGTATGATAGATCAGAAACGGTACGTGTACACTGCTTCGAATATTTTATTATGATCGACCACATTCGTACATTTGTATAACAATAATAACCTTTCAATATTACAGTATGTCTTTATTCTTCATGTTCAGTTCGCCGCAAGGACAGTTTATAAAATTTTGTTATCCTGGGTAGTATCTTTCAGTAGTCTTAAATTAGGAAACAATTACTTTTGAAAAGTGACTCTGCATCGCGTGCTGATGTTGCAAAATTAACGAAAGGAAAAGGGAAGCCAATAGAATGCAATAGCCTTGGAGGCAATAACAGCCAAGACAATTTCCCTTGCACTGAGGCCACTTGAGTTTGCGTCAGTTCAGCACTGATATGGCAAGAGTAAAAGGGAGCAAAAGTTCACAAACCTATATCAGTTTCTATTTCACGGATTGTTTTGTTGGGCTTCGAAGTGTTAGTAATTATTAGAACGCCCCTTCAATAAATGAAACCCGGAAGATATGTCATGGTAAATGAAAAAAGAAACGATATTCTAGAACTTTTGCAAATATCTGGAAGCCCAACCTTTATCTAAATCTAGGACCCATCAACTAACTTACGTGGCTAGAAGGAAAGAAATAACGATAAAAAGCCCCATTGCCCGCAAATCAATTAAGACCGATAAACGGGGGAACGACCACTTTTGAAATGACGTGCGCATGAATTAACTTGGAATCATATGGGATAGCGATTGTGTTTTGTTTTTGATAGAGTAAAGGAAGCGCCGGTAGAAATATGATTTACATAAATATATATATATATATATATATATATATATATATTGAGCTTAAGGAGTAGTGTAGCGTCAGAGGATTATTAGCAATTAAAAAAAAATATCCTCTAAGTTAGGTTAAATGCTTTCAAGGTATTTGTTATTCTAAGTCCGTTTTGACAGTACTGTTCTTGCTTTTTTTACACGTTCAGTTGTTCATTTGTCATCATCATCTACAATAAAAGAAATCTTTTTTATATTAGAAAGCGGGATGGGGGCGGTAATTCGACCCAGAACATTCGATCATCTCTGTAACAGTCCAGAGTGCTTTCTGTGAAGAAACGCGGAAGTAAACGAATGGCCATACTAATGGACAGTGTAGGCATCATTTCAAACGAAATACAGTCGCTCCTTAGCAATCAAAGAAGGTCAATGGAAGACATTCCACATTAAAGCTACCGCAAGAACAATGCCACCTGTGACAACACAACGAGTTGAAATATAAAATGGACGACTTTGAACGGGTTAATCGTGGCTAATCACCAAGTTTATCTTTGATGCTTGGCTTGAATGCTTTGACCGGAACAGGTAATGTGGACCTGAAGTCATTTGGTGCTAGGACAATTCTGTATTCCCCGATGAACTTTTTTGTTTGCTATTTCAAGGAGTGATAAAGAGCGAGGAAAATTTACCGAGCTGGGCAGCTTTTTAGAGCAAAAAGATCATAGAATGTAAACGAAAATATCAAGTAAATATTTCTTTAATAGAGAATTGAAAAAATACATATTAGAAAAATACCTTATTTCGCTTATTTCGCTCATTTCACTTTGTTCAATAAAATGTCAGAAGTCAGAGTCATAGTGCGTAATCAAATTTATTTTATGCCGCATAAGATTTTACACATGAAAAGATATATGGAAACATCATAACAGATGATCTCGACAGCTGGTATCAACACAATTACTACATGAACTCACTGTTACGGCGTTTTATTGAGTGAAATGAAGACTAGGGCAATAGAATGTGGTTATTGTCAATTCTTACCATATGCAAATGGAAATATTTGTTTGATTAGCGAGGCCTTAATTCTACGTCTGGTAAGCGTTCATCAAAATAACCCTGTTTATTTTCAATCATGTATCGACGGCGGTATCTTGTGGGAAGTCGACAATGGTCTGTAAATATGTCCGAGTAATCAATTTTTCACTTTTGTGATACACAGGGTTCTATCTAAATAATATTGTTGAGTATTAATTTGCTAGAGTCTGTGATGAGAAGTCGTAGGGTATCAATGTACCGCTTGGTCTGACAATGCAGAATATGCGTGGCCCTAGACTTCCGGAGCACTGGTGAAGACAGGTATGCCTACGGACCCGTATGTGTATGTCTTCTGCAAGCGCACTAGAACACGCTTACTTATTATTAACTGGTGTGTTTCTACAAGTTGCGACTGTAATGGAAGAAGTTTAGAGACGTAAAGATGTACCTGTTGTGCTGTCCATATAGTCAGAACTGCTTAACTTAAGGAGGTTCGGGAACTATTTATGGCTAAATTATATCATTGAATAAGATTTTCTAAACCTTATCAGAAATGGGTTAATTTTGAAAAGTAGCATAGAATATGAATACGTGATATCTACGTTCGTTTATTGACTTGCCAATTAGGCCTACATTGAAACCATAACTTACAAATGACTTGGCAAAAGATAGTAACGATATTAGTAATAGAGATGTTGGAGTAATAAATGAAAAATAAATACACTTAAGTTCGATTAGAGCTTAGTGGAAAGCTTAAAGTGATCCGTGGAATGTTTAGCCAACTTTGAG